TGAACCGCTGGTCCGAATGACATGAAACCACCTCCAGACGAAAGCTAACTCAATTATCCACAACTTCCAAGAAGAAGTCAGAGGCTGAATCGGAGTGTAAACTCTTCATTTGATACGATACTTCGGACGCATCTCACTAGCTCGACCGAGTGCGGGTCCGTACATGGGGCAGACAGAGTCTTTCCTTCCTCAACTAGTCTCCAGTGATAGGCAATGTTCCAATTAGCTCCAAATGACCTGATTAAGACATCAAACGTGCATATGTATGCAAATGCAAGTCTAAAACTACTATGTATGCAAAAGAAGAGAAAAGGAACAAGATATGATGCTAATGGATGTTAAAACTATGCAAAAGATGCATAAAAGAAATACTAAAACTAAGTAAAATGCAAGTACAGCAGTGGTTGGTGGGGAAAGCCGGTGGTATGTGCATTTGCTGACCAGGAAAAGTCCCTTGGGGTCCTTGGTAAGTTTTTTTGACCATACCCATGTTGTGGGGCTTGACTCGATCGAGCTTGCTGTTGTTGAGGATAGACCTGGTCCTGAGGGTTAGCAACATCAGTGTTTCGGTATGACATGGCTGGGTTGGACTTGTAATTATAGTATCCTTTGTTGTAACCTCCTTGCCCATTGCTCATGTAGCACACTTCAGCAAATTGTGTATCCTCCCCTTCTTGGACTGGTTCCATCTCTTCAGCAGACACAAAATTGACTTTCTTCATTGTGGACTGAGCTAAGATAAGCTTATCCAACTTCTCATTCAATGCCTTGACATCTTTTCTCAATTTCTCATCTGACTCGATCGAGTGGTGGGTCGAGCTCCGGTTGGTGCGATCATACTCTTCTCCATAGCTTCCATTGGAGTTTGCAATGTTTTCCACAAGCTGCCAGCCATCATCCACATCCTGATTAAGGAAGTTCCCATTGCTGGCTGTGTCCAACATCTCTCTATATCTTGCAAGCAATCCTCTATAAAGAGTAGAGAAGTGACTCATTGTTGAATCCATGATGTGGGCACTGACTTGTGTAGCCTTTGAACCTCTCCCAAGCCTCAGCGAATGTCTCATTGTTCCTCTGATGAAGCTCGATATCTCACTCCTTAGCTTGGCTGTGCGACCGGTGGAGAAAAACTTAGCAAGAAAGGCCTTCTTGCATTCATCCCAAGTGGTGATTGTGCCATGGGGCAAGCTCTTCTCCCATTGGTGAGCTTTGTCAGCAAGAGACATAGGAAAGAGTCTCAGCTTGATGGCATCTTCAGAGACACCATTGATCTTTGTCAAATCACAAGCCTATCAAACTCATCAAGGTGATCAATGGGGTCTTCACTTGGCAATCCATGGAACATCTTGTTCTGCACAAGGTTGATCATTCCCAGCTTGATCTCAAAGTTGTGGTTCTGCAGGTGGTGGAACAATCCCTTGTCTCTTTGATGGCGGTTTGGAGCATCTCCTAGACCAATCGGTCGAGTTTGCCTAGCTCGACCGAGTCCATTGCCCAAAGGGTTTCCATTCCCCTCTGGTACATCCATGGTATCAGTAACAAGCACCTCAGGTTCCTCTTGTACCCTCTGAGTTCCTCTGACTCTCTTTCTACCCGTGGTGAAATCTAGCTCGACCAAGTCTTCTGTTGTTCGACTCGATCGAGTTCGCATACACCTGCAAAAAGAATCAAAAACCCAGCAATACAAAGAACAGGGGTGGGATAGCTTGATCGTCCAAGTGTATTAGAAACTCAAATGCAACAATATTCAACCCAAATGGCAACGGCGCCAAATTGATGATAGGATTTGTGTGTGTGATGTGATGATATGGTATGAAATGTAAATGAGGTGGAATGCAACAGTGGTGTATGAAGGTGAGATGGTATGATGCAAGACACAATCACAATCAATCAATTCACCGTAACAATCATAGTCATCGAAGTATAAGGGATATCAATCCATAAGGGTGAAATTATTACTCTATGAGGATATGCAATAACAAGGAAGTCAAGCAGACAATAAATGAGATGGTAGTAACTCTAACAACCTAATGAAACAGAAATGCAATGCAATAAAGTGAAGAAATCAGTAAAGCAACAGCTCGACCAAGGACTCGAGTAGAGTGAGAACAGAGTAACCAAGCTCGATCGAGTTGAGGGTCTACTTAATGTAAAAAGCGATATAGGATCATTGCTCAAACTAATCCATCCAACCCTATGAACTCCATTTCGAGAGCAAGGTTTATTGGAGCTCTTAGTGGACCTTTTCCAGCGATTTCCATCACTTCCATGTGGAGAATCGCCTATGGACATACAAGCCAGGGGTAGTGGTCATGTAGCCTTAAGGATTTCCAAAAGAGAGAGATTTCTAGATTAAGAACATAAGCAAGAAGGATTAAGCATAAAGATCCCCTAATCTAGCCCATCTTTGACCCTAAAGGAAACTACTCACTACACATGAATGTAAACACAATCAAATGCAATGAAATACATAAATGAAAGAGGAGATAAAATGAAAACTTTTATTGAAATAAGCAAGTGCAAATACAAAAGATAATCCAGATCTAAGGTTCAAGAAGCAAGAGCTTCAAGAACACAAAGATGGCTTAGGGTTGCAAAAAGTAAAATACAATAATTAAGAAAAGCTAAAACAAAATAGCTAAAGCTTGTTGTTTTTTCGTGGCTTAGAGCCTTTAAATACAAGAGATTAGGTTTAGGGTCAAAGGAAAGTCAAGGGGGAAGCAACATTTTTCGGGTTTGACTGTTGACTTCTCAGCTCGATCGAGTTGAAGCTTGGCCGGTCGAGTTGAGGAACTCGACCGGATGGTCGAGTAGGTGGTCGAGCTGGTCTTCAAGATGACTTCCTCCTTCTTCCTTTGCGTATCCAGTTGAGCTGCGTCCATGCACCAAGTCCTTCCTTGCTCCTCACGTCCCATATGCTCCAAAATGCTCCAAAAGACCTATTTCAAAGGACCAAACATGCATATGTATGCAAATGCAACCTAAAACTACTATGAATGCACAAGAAGGGAAAAGGAACAAGATATGATGCTAATGGATACTAAAACTATGCAAAAGATGCATAAAAGATGTACTAAAACTATGTAAAATGCAAGTACATCACTTGCATACCTTGTAGTGCACTTATCTGCTCCTAGTGTTCGATAACCCGTTACTACACCTGACCTGTTCACTTGCAGAATCAGGGATAAGAATAGGTAAAACCTGATCCCGCATCACTTGCGCAACACCTTCACAGTTCTAATGGCTGCCTCATTTCCCGGTTCTAATGGCCGCCCCATTTCACGGTTCCAATGGACGCCCCATTTTCATATGCTTTACGCGTTAGAATACGCTACATCCCACAGTTCTAATGACTGCCCCATCAACTCGTAAGCCCACCATGATCATGATGCTCTCATCATTGCTAGACCAAACACACATCAACCGCCAGGCAATAGATTCTCGTTCTCTTACATGCAATCCTAACCGCGGTTTATCCGTTACACATGCCTTTAACATACTATTCACGAATATATATAGATATTTCATATCAGTCATCGAGTTGTATCACAACATCAATCATCATCTCCTCCATTTTATATTTTTATATTATCTTATAATATATAGTATTTTATATTATCCTCTTCACATAAAAAAAAAATATATATATATATATATACAAACTCAATAAATAATCTCTAGTTACAAATCACTTATACATTCACACCAATCTATTACCTTACAATTGTAGATTTATTTATATAATTTAAAATACTCATCATGTACCAAATAAATCATAGAAACCACATAATTCAGATGTATATATATATACAATTACTAATTAATTATCAAGCATCAACCAATTATTGCACTAGATTTAATCATAATCTTTAGCGATTACTAAGCATAGTATAATGCATAGAATCAGTTCGAGTCACCCTCACCTTTAAAATAATTATAGATATCTGATGAAAATAGCTTGATGAACAGCCTTGTGAACGCATAAATAACTTCTGTAATGAACTGTCCAATTTTCGCTCCCACCGTTGATTCTTAGCCTGTAGTACCATAAAACTCTCCACGAAGTTTCGACCAGATCGGACAACGACTGAGTCCACTACGCTCCTTGAAGTTACCATGTAGTAACTGTTTCTAGTTCAGACTTGGTACAAATGCAGACAGCTTCTGTTGTTTCTTGGCCGGGAAGCAACCACTTTAACTTCTCTAATGCCATTCTGATTGAGTTACAGTATGCTCCTATTGCTTCTCTGACGCGGGCTCTAACCATAACAACATCTTGTGTTGTCCAATTCTTTCATAATTAGTCGGAATCTTCTCCTCAATACCACATGTCAGATCTGCCTTTCTTCTTCAACTCTCTTCCCCATCGTCCATTTTATTTTGCCCACGGTCTGTCTCAACTCCTATTTGGTTCATTATGTCCCTAGGTGATTAAATCAAGCATTAGTTCGAATAAGTTTAATTGTTCACAACCTACTAGTAAATCAACTATCGCAGTCTAAAAGATGTTGCCCACCAAATACTAGTTCAACAGAATGATTCAACACTTTCGATGCTCAAATCAAGATCATATGCTAATTGGCCAGATTAACAACAAGCAGTACGCATAAGCAGAGGTGAAGATTTTAAGTAAAACCCTAATTCATGTGATCGATCATCAAGCAATCATGAATGATATCCTTTGACTTCCTAACACTTAACAAGTAAACTACTCAGACATAGAGAAGGAAAACGAATTCATATTCATAGGAACAGAGATCCGAATCCTCTCTTGATCCGAATCCACTATGGTATGATCTTTCCACTTTCGTGGCTCCGACCCCTTTGTTAATCCCTAGTCGCTAAACTTTTGGTATGTCCCTAGGTGATTAAATCAAGCATTAGTTCGATTAAGTTCAATTGTTCACAACCTACAAGTAAATCAACTTTCGCAGTCTAAAAGAGGTTGCCCACCAAATACTAGTTCAGGCGAATGATACAGCACTTTCGAGGCTCAAATCAACCTTAGATCATATGCTAATTGGCCAGATTAACAACAAGCATTAAGTATAAGCAAAGATGAAGATTATAAGTAAAACCCTAATTCATGTGATCGATCATCAAGCATACATGAATGCCATCCTTTGACTTCCTATCACTTAACAAGTAAACTACTCAGACATAGAGAAGGAAAACGAATTCATATTCATAAGAACAGAGATTCGAATCCTCTCTTGAAAGAGAACAAGCAAGAACAAAGTAAAAGCAAGCAAAACTTTATTAAAGATGTAAAGTAAATTGTGGTCTCTCTCCTTCTTGAGTTACAAGGCTAAAAAGAAGTATTTATAATGCTCTAAGTATAGAAAAGCGGCTAGACCTAGATCTAGTAAGTCGGCGCTGACATTGGGCTTGAAACGTGTGAAACGGGCTTCAAAACGGCTTCGGGTCGACCGGACCGTTCGGACGGTCGGTCGGGACGTTCGGCCGGCTGTCGGGTCGTGTCGGCTATCGGCACGGTCGGGTCGATCGTGGCCGAGAGTTTTCGCATCGTTCGTCGGGTTCGGCCGGTGGATGATTGGCCAAGGTTTTCGGCCGGACGTGGGACGAGGCTTCCTGGTCGGACGGCGCGATCGGCCGCGGTACGTGAGTTGTGCCGCGCGGCCGCGAGGCGTTGCCTTCCTGTTCGCGCGGTATGGTCGTGCGCATCTTCGGGCGTGTGATTCTGGTTTGGCCGACCGCGGGACGATGCTTCCCGGATCGGACGAATGTTCGGATGTTGGCCGACCGCGGGACGGATGTTCTCGGCCGGCTGTTCTGCTCGTTCGGCCGCGGTTTCTCGATAGAGCCGCCTGGACCAGTCTTTGCTATTTTGACCATAACTTTTTTCTACTCATCCAAATGATGCCAATCCAATTGCGTTGGAGAGTTAACTCACTCAGAGCACGCAGGGAACTGGTCTTGATGAAATCCATTGAGTAGATCTTTTTTTAGCTCCTCCCAAAGTAGAAGCTGTGACAGTGGACTGGTTTGAAGTCCAAATCCTCTGTTTTGCTCCATAATGCACCTTTTGACCTAAAATGACTCTTTGCAGTATAAATCCATAAAAAATACCTTTTAAGACAAGAATCCGGGTTGACGAGCTATTTCCCCCTTAAAACTATCATATATCACCAAATCCTCATGAAGTTTGAACATCGGTCTAATTCCACATCGTTTAATAGTTCTCAGTCGATTTCCACACCAGTAAATAGTTCTCTATCGATTCTCACACCAGTAAATAGTTCTCTATCTAATCCCACACTGATTTCAAAACTTTCGGTTATTGTTTAAAAACCAAATGTAAACTGACCGAATTATTTTTAAACCAAAAATCAAAGCCCGATTTCATAAAGAAAAACCCGACCCTTAAAATTTAACCAGAACAACACAAATTTCCCAAATTCTTGAATTAATTTCTTTTCATTTGCCCTAAAAAGCTTAAAAATCTGGGTTTTATAAATCGAAGTTGAAAGTTGGAAGTTTCTAGGTGGCTTACGCGTCTATCGTGTCAAGACCGGTGGCGGAGATTGCTGTTCCGGCGGTCATGGACTTTGGTGGTTGTTTTGATTGCTTTTATTGGGAAATTGAGAAGAGATTTGGTTATTGAAACTCCTAAAACCACAGAAGAAGTGTTACGATTTATGCTTAATGTTATTCTATTTTTATTAGAAAATAACGTATTCTTATTGTTCATCAGTCACAATTTCATCAGTTCATGAATCATTAGCATCCTTGTAGATTGTGTCGAATTTAATCAAAATTCTGCAAGTAATTGTTTGCTGTCTAATGCTGGGTTCGTGGTTAAACAGTACTCGTGTCCAATAAACTAAATCAAAATAAAAGCAGTGTTTTCGATGGTTCGAGCTTTATTTGTTCGTGACTTAGTTTGATGATGTACTGAATTTAAATCAAGAAGCCGATTTCTCTATTTGGATTAATTGATTTTGGAAGGATTGATTTTAAATATTTTCAGAACCCAGAATTCGAAGAACGGGTGGAGAAGAAGAAGATCGGGTCGATTTTTTTATTTATCGGACCAAGTTAGAATATGGTTTCATTTCGGTTTATGAATTATTTGGTCGGTTTACATTTGGTTTTTAAACAATAACCGAAACTTTTAAAATCAGTGTGGGATTAGATAGAGAACTATTTACTGGTGTGGGAATCGATAGAGAACTATTTACTGGTGTAGAAATCGACTGAGAACTATTAAACGATGTGGAATTAGACCGATGTTCAAACTTCATGGGATTTGGTGATATATGATAGTTTTAAGGGGGAAATAGCTCGTCAACCCCAAGAATCCACTAGAAAACCATTAGAAAACCATAGTAAAATAGTATAAAAGTATGTAAAATAGAGGTATATCAGATGGGTCAATTCTCTACCACCTCAGTCCATTACAACATGGAATGAATATAAGGGAGCATTCTTAAACCAATTCTACACAAACCAAAGATCCAACTCTATAAGGAGCAAGATATCCGGTTTTAAGCAAGCACCAATGGATTCTTTCTATGAAGCATTGAAGAGATTCAAGGAGTATACAAGAAGCTGCCCTAACCATGGTTTCTTTGAAGGTAACCTTTGGAAAATCTTTTACAATGGGATTGATCATAAATACAAGCTTTCTCTCGATACCGCAAGTAATGGGAACTTCATGACCAAGTCGGTGCAGGAAGCCAAGCTTTTGATTGAGAATCTTGCTGTGAGTGATGCCAATGCCTGCCCTGACTACAATAGAAGTGTGAAGACCACAAGCCCATTATCAGAATCAGCTCAAATCTCGGAACTAAAGAACATAGTTTCACAACTACTAAAGGGCCGACAAGGAGTTCATGCCATTGAAGACGCCTTAGCTACCAATGAAGACCCTCTCATGGAGTTTATTGGAGATGCCACCGAGGAGAATCAAGAGGAGGTAAACTACATTTGAGGAAATTATGGGAATAGAGGATTCAATCCACCATTTCGAGCTCACCCAAACTTATCATACCGGAGCAACAATGTGGAGAATCCTAATGATCAAGTCTACTCCAATAAAATGCATATCAAGGAGGTCAATACCAGCCTAAGAAGAAAGTATATCCCACAGGAATCTATCAAGTGAAGCAGCCATTCACTTTCCCTCAAGGAGCTACTTCGGCTCAACAAGAAGAGAAGGTTGATGTCGCATTAAAGAAGTACATGGAGGAGCAAAGGTTGATAACCAAGAACCTTTATGAGAAGCTTGATCACATGTTTGGTGATCTCAGCAGCAAGTTTGGGTCTCTCTTAACTCATGTCCAGAAGCTAGAGGTACAAATCGCTCAAACAGCCGAGGCGGCTAAGAAGCAACATGAGGGAAACCCTCAAAAGTTTTGTAGTGTTGTCTTGTCTAAGGTGAACCAGATTGTTCCCACACTATCTCAAGGGAAAGCAGAAGAATATGAGTATAAGGAGAGGCAAAAGCCGGGTAGATACACATGGGAATCAAGAAGAGCTTACAAGAGAAGACTAGAAGGCAAGCCACTACCAAAGCTAGAATATCCGGGGAAGTTTGTGATCACTTCTTGCATCAATGGCTATCAACTCAATGATTGACTATGTGATACTGGTGCTAATGTGAACCTCATGTCTCTTGCACTAGCAAAAGACTTGGGATTCAAGGAATTCAAGGGATTCAAGGAATTCAAGAGTCCAAAGGTGAGAGTTGAATTTGCGGATTTATCATGATAGAGCCTTATGGAGTTCTTGAAGATGTTATGCTGGAGAAAGGAGGGCGACTTGTCCGAACTGATTTAAAAATCATGGTATGGGAAGCCTCAAAGAGGAATCAACTTTTCCTTGGAATCCCATTCCTAGCCACAGCCAGTGCGGTCATCGACTAATTGAGAAACCACTTGTCACTCGTCAATATTCGGCAAGATGTTTTCTTCCCAACCATGAACTTCAAGTCACCACCAAGTGCAACCAAGCTACCACCAGAAGAAGCCACTATCATGCCTAAGAAGGAAGCCTTGATACCTAGAGAAACAAAGAAGAGTGAGCACTTTCCCAAAAAACAAAGGAGAAGAAGAAACCATTGGAGCTGAAACATAAAGATGTCTTCAAGGACATCAACTCGGTTTTGCTTCCAAGCTTTGATGAATATGGAGGTGAAGAGGAGCCTGATGGTGTGTCTAAGTCCTTCCACCAGATAAGAATCCTTACCCCCATGGATCCGGAGCTTAAAGATGATCATTCCATGAAGGAGAAACTCGGGAAGACCATGAAGCTTTTCCCAAGGATGACATGGGAAACGATCTTGGAGAGACCAAACCACCACAAGAGCCTCCTGAACCAGAGAATTGAGAAGCTAAAGGGACCCCAAACCCTTTTAGTTGCTCTTCCCAACACTTAAAAAGAAAAAAAATGAGTCAAGTTACATGACTTAAAACAAAGCGCTTTGTGGGAGGCAACCCACATGGTTTTATTTGCATTTTCATTTTTTATATTATCTTTATATTTTTAACTATCTATTTTAATTTTGCAGGAATTTTTAAAATTATAAAAAAATACAAAAAAAAATGTTTATAGAATGAAGACCCAAAAAGAGACCAAACTTTGAAAGTGTCCCATTCAAGGCAAAATCTCCATACCAGGTAAGTAACTATTACTAATACATTCAACCTTAACCATCTTTGATCTTCACTTCATGAGAATTTAAACTATTGCACTTTATTAGAAATATTTCATGGTTTATATTGCTTACTTTTGATGGTAATTGAATGAGAATGAATATTCACTTGTCAAACTCATATTATGCATTGATTTCACTAATACTAAACTATAATCTGGCCTTGAGATCCCTATTCAAGATCCAAAATGTTTTATATAGTTTATACATTTACCCTTACTCTTTAGATTGAGAATTTCAAGATGACTACTTGAGGATCTCAAGCTGAGAACGATCTGATCAGTGATTTAAAGATTTTTTCAAGTGCCAAATTATTTGACTGGAAGAATACATGGAGAGTTTCTATAACCAACCCAAAACCATCATACCCTAGCGGCTTAAGGAAGGTTTCAAAGGAGAATCACGCATAATCACAAGGAACAAGGCAGTCAACACCTGGGAATGATAGAGGAAGGATAGAAAATCGATTCGGTCGAAGAAAATCCCATTTGGACCGAGTAGATTTGAAGATGTCCCAACCTGCCTAGTTCTCTCGGCGATGACGTGTACACGAAGAACCAAGTCTCGGCCAATTCCCAAACTGTGTCCCCGAAGTCCACCAAACTTCACAGGCGGCCATAAAATCACACTTTGGTCAGAAAATCCAAAAGATACGACAGTGAAATGTTCACGGTTCAGGAGATGTACACAAGAGCCGTATCCGGTCTACCGCGGTGAAGAAAATGGCCGACAAAACAAAATCACGGCATAGGCGCGACCAGCGGCTGGAAATCACTTCATGGAGCCTAACTAACACATCTATGTAGGAAGAAACAAAAACGGATGAGCCAAACTTCAGTTGGTCAAGGAAACTCCTTCCCGGAGCTGAATTGCCCACTTTGCGAAGGAAGTCTCAGTCCACTAGTTTGAATGCACTCAAACTTCACCAGAGGCCACAAAATATCAGGTTGGTCAATGAAATTTCAATATAGGTCAAGGAATCTTTTAATGGGTTGTTATGTAGTTCATAGCATTACCATTCGGGCGAACGATATATACCATCTCGGCCAAAACGCAAACTGGTGTGAACCAAGGCCTGAAATTCAAAACTCACCGACCAGTATTGCCTAAAGAGGAGTACTATCAACCAAACCGGACCTGATCTTCATTACATAATGGTCATCATTTGGTAACATCATCCCAAGCTTTATCTTTTTAATTTTTTCATTTCATTTCTCTTATTTACCTCTCTTCATCCGATTTGCTTACACCGGGACGGTGCAAGTTAAGTTCTGGGGAGATAATTACTAACTAAGTTTTTTCATTTTGGTATTTTATTTTGCATTATATTGTTTTTATTGAGTCGTCTTTTTACTGTGTCAAAAGTTTTGTTGAGAATCATGACCTTATCTTGGATCTAACCATTGTTGTGCTGATATTTAAGTGACCATTGAGAAATTCTTGGCAATACACTTTACCAGAAGTGCACTATGAGTGGATCGATCTACCAAAAACTCCCACACCTCTAAGGGCTTAAGAAGGATCAATCTTTGACTCCGCCCTTAATGAACTTAATCTTCTCAGCTAGGCGCTTGGTATGCAAAAGGCATGACTCCTCATCCTCACCATCAAATGAAAGTCTGTGTGAGTCCATGTTTCCCTCTCTCTCCCCTTCAATTTAAAGAAAAAGCATCAAGGTCCAAGTAACCGGAGATTTGGTGGCAACCACCATCAATACTTGCGTCTATGGAAGGCCTATAAATCCAAGTAATCGGGAATTAGGTGGCTACAACCATCAATACTCACGTCTTTGGAAGATCCATCCAAGTAAGAAAATCTCTAAACCACTAAAGAGAAGAAGTTGATAAAAAAAATTTACATTGCTACTCTAATAGAGGGATGAATCAACTTGAAGAAGTGAGAAGAGAGAGAGGAGGAACAGGAAGTGAAGACATGTGTTTAATCAAGAGGATGGGTATAGTATCAAAAAGCCGACTGATCGATACTCCCTAGTTGAGACCACAACTTTAGAAACTAAAGAAGTCAAGGATGGCGAATTTGAATGGTCTAAGGAGAGGTGGTGACTGTTTGGGATGATCGCAAAACTCATGGTATGTACTCTTTCTTAATTAAAAATTGTTATTGCTGTCTTATGCCGATTGCTAAAGTAAAAGTCGACTTCGATCTTGAAAGATTTGAGAGTTCTCATGTTTTCAAACCTCTTTTTCTCCTTAGTTTGCTTGGGGACAAGCAAAAGGCTAAGTATGGGGGAGTTGATATCACTATATTTTACATGTTTGCACTTAATATTTATTTATATTTTCAAGCATTTTTCATAAAATCTTTTGCCTTTAGGGGTAATTTTCTTGTATTTGAAGTCTTTGTAGGTGAAACTATTACAAAAGATGCAAACATGAGCAAAAGAGCGTCAAACCAAGTTCCATGCAAGTTTCCAACTCATGAGCATCAGTTTATCTCTAAGTGTCGATTCTTGCTATCGAGCAGAAACGGAGTATCAGAAGTTTAGCCGTAAATGGAGGTGTTGCCGACGTCCAAAAGAGGTAATCTTGGTCTTGATGGATAGATATTCGAGTCATGCATCGCGTCGAATGGGAATGAAGACATTTGGATCAACCATCAGACATGTCCGATTAGCTACAAGATGAAGCCCATGGCAAGATTTGGTGTATCCCACGGCCCGGACCACTGCAGATAGGCTTTGGCTCTCTCAGGAAGCGGCCTAGCTGATCTTTAAAGTCTTCCTTGATGTAATCCCAGCCCATACACGACGTGATTAAAGAGGCGCGACTCATGTGAAACCTTCCATTTCCGGCACACCGAAAACCCTACTCGACTCTTGATGTGAGTCAGGTTTTACCAAACTCTTAGACCTCTGCAAGTGCACAGATCGCGGAAGTATGGGTATCGAACACAAGGACTGGCTATTGAGTACACTTTGAAACTATGGATTTTGGATCAAGCTAAAACAAAAGTATGATTGGAGGTTGTAATGGTGAACAGAACTAGCAAGTAAACGAGGTTGTAAATCAATAAGGAAGAAGCGCTAGGTCAACAGGGGCTAATCGCAGAGAAGCAAGCAATGATCAATGAAACAATGATAGATGAATTGATTAGGGATATTGGGATATTAAGAACCGTCTAGAACACAGATCACGAATATAAAACCATTCCACTTTCGAGGCTCCGGCTCCTTTGTTAATCTACCTAGTCGCTAAACTTTTGGTATGTCCCTAGGTGATTAAATCAAGCTTTAGAATGAATAGGTTCTGATACAGTTCACTAGATTATAGTAAATCAACTTTCGCAGTCTAAGAAACCTAGCTTGCCAAAGAATATGTCCGGCGAATGATACAACACTTCGAGGCTCAAATCAACCTAAGATCGGATTACTAGATGCGCGGTAAAGCAATCAGCATTAGTTAAGTGCACAAGACGAGACAAAGACTCTATGATAATCCCTAGCTAAACATCGAAATCAAAGATCATGCAAGCAACTCATTGATTAGTAACCCTAGCAACCTAACTAGTGGATTACTCAGACATGATCAAAGCAATAACACATAAAGATGAAGAAAACATGATTGCAATAAACTCTAAGTATGAAAATCGTGATACAAGGGCGGCTCTCTTTCTCAAGAGGCTAAAAAGTTGTATTTATAGTGCTAGGTCTTCAGAGGCGGCATTAGGTCAAGCCGGGCTGTGAAAACGTGTGAAACGGGCTTCAAAACGGGCTTCGGGTCGATCGGACCGTTCGGACGGTCGGTCGGGACGGTCGGCCGGTCATCGGGTCGTGTCGGCTATCGGCACGGTCGGAACGATCGTGGCCGAGAGTTTTCGTGTTCGGCCGACGGGTCGGACGGATGGATGATTTGGCCGATGAATCTTGGCCGGTCGCGGGACGAAGCCTTCCTGGTCGGACGGATGGGTCGGCCGTGGTACATGGTTGTGCCGCGCGGCCGCGATGCGTTGCCTTCTGTTCGCGTGGCGCGGTCGAGCTAAGAACGCTCGACCGCGGGACGTTGCTTTCCGGGTCGGTACGTGAGCTCGGCCGTGGACTTTGCGGGACGCGGATGAAGTGGATACATTGGCCAGTCTTCACTAATTTGATCATAACTTCACTTTACTCATCCAAATGATGCCAATCCAATTGCGTTGGAGTTAACTCACTCAGAGCACGCGGGGAACTGGTCTTGATGAAATCCATTGAGTAGATCTTTTTCTGGGCCCTCTCAAAGTTGATGCTTGGGTATGGAGCGGCTTGAAGCGCAAATTCTATGGTTTTGCTCCAAAATGCATCATTTCACCTGTTTAGACTCTAGTACTATAAATCCAATAAAACTACCTTTTTAGATAGAAAACCTGCCAAAAACCATTAGAAAACAAACTAAAACAGTATAAAAAGCATGTAAAATAGAGGTATATCAACTCTCGCCCATATATACATGTTTTTAGCCTCCAAAGAAAGAGAGATCAGGGAGAGAGATTCGTGCAAGATAAGAGCCTCCATAAAGGAGAAGAAAAGCCCTAGGAGTTCGTCGTCTAGGAAGAAGGAGGGGCCGCTCAAGCCTTGCACTTGTTAATTACTTGTTTTCAATTTCCTTTTCTTTTCTATTCAACTGTGTACTTGAGATCGAGAGTTCTAAGGGAGATCCGACCTGTTTCTTCAATAGAGAATCTTTCTTTTATCCCTTTACCTCTTTAAATACTTGCAAAATGTCTTCAATCTTGCTTGGCTTGGTTGTTTGCATCATGGCCGAGTATATATCTCGGTTAGGCCGAGGAGATCTATGGTTGCTGTGATGATTTGATTGTGTGCAATTTGAATGGGATTTTAACTTATGGATCTTAACCTTTACTTGAACTTAATGCATGATTGCTTTACCGCACATCTAGGTATTCTGATCATAGTGAGATAGAACCACAACAGTGCTTAATCTAGCTCTCAAAACTAGTATTTGGTAAGCAATGAGTCATAGCCAATGAAAGTTGAGTTATGGACCATTGTGAACAATTGAGTCTTGATCATCTTTTACGCATGTTTGCAATACTAATAGCCAACGAAAGCTCAGTATATTAGGTTGTTTTAAACATAGTGGTTGGAATCACGACACTGAAAAGACCATACCTTAGTGATTCATGTTCAAGACGGCTTTTAACCTTATCCCATGCAACTATTTTTGCATTACATGCTCCATATGATTGTCATTTGCCTAACTTCTTGTTTCAATCTTGATGATAGGTGGTGGAAGAATGGAGACGCAGAAACTATCATGATCTTGAGCGACATAAAACTTTGCTATGTAGCACATAAGTACTCTCTTTTTCATGTCATCCGCAAGTACTAATTCAGTATGCACAACTATTAGATCATCCACCACCTGTTATCTTTTACTAAAATGGGTTAAAACATTTTTTTATTTGATTAGGAACTCGAGAGTACAAGATCAAGTCTGTTCAAGGGTTATCTAGGTTTCAATTCAATGGTAATTTGAGAGATGTTTGTGAGTTCAGGAAGAAATAGTAAGTCACTGTAAGCATACTTTTACATGAACCCTAAGACCTTCAAACATCCAGAGTAATCACATAATAGAATCATAAGAGTTTATAGATGACTTACCTCTAACCATTGTAGAGAAGAGATGGAGGTATTGAATCTGAGATAGGTGATTAGGTTTCTCTCCCCTTGCCTATGAACTTTATGTGTCTCTTTTAGGATGCCTTTACAATGGACTAAAGGCATATATTTATAGGTGGAGAGAGGACCTAATTCCTCTTTAGGGTTTCCTTAAAGTTAATCTCAACCGTCCATCAAAGTAGAGATAAAAAGGAAATACTCCATTATATTTAAGTTAATTAAATACCAAATATGTTATGAAATAGCAATAGCCCAATAGGGAAACGGATTAATATAAGACCATATAATAGGAAGATAAATTATCTTACAGTCTCCCACTTGGTCGTTATAAAGATCCATTTATGTTTTCTTATTGGAATCATAAGGCCGGCATAATATGCTAAACCCTTTTCTTTGGTCATCATAAGTGTCTTGACTAATCTAGTAATCAATGGGAGTCATGGCGGTCGCATATCATTCTGCAACATGATCCCTTCCATGTACTACTACATTGACTACCTTCATAGCTAGACCATAAGTAGGAGTTATCATAATGGTCCCTTTATGTCTTAATGAAAGACAAATTCTGTTATCATAAATCCAAAACAATAATGTGTGCACAATGGAAACAGAATAAATAAAAGATGTAAGAGTCATAAAAGATCTCAAAAAATGTCAAATATAGGCTAAACATAAAAGCAGACAACATAATTTAGAGCTGTCTTCAAGACCCATACTTTCAGCATGCTTTATAAGGTCTTTGAAGGCAAAGCTTTCGTAAATATGTCTGCAACCATAAGATCAGTGCCTATGTGTTCAATGACAAACTTTCCTCTCTTGACATCTTGCTTTAGTGATATTTAAGGTCCTGTGTTTGGCACCTTTGGATATCCTATTATACTTGGAAAAGAAGATGGCAACTTGATTGTCACAATAAAGAGTTAAAGGCTTTGCACCCCTAAACTCAGACACAAAATTCTTCAACCAAGTCTCTTAAGTAGAAGCCTCATAACATGCTACATACTCAGCTTCCATAGTGGATGTGTAAATAAACTGCGACTTCTGGCTTTTTCATGAGATGGCACCTCCGCCAAGGAGATACACATAGCCAAGAGTGCAGTGCCTAATGTCATGGCATCCACCAAAATCTGAGTCTGAAAAACCAACCATCTGTGGATGTGTTGATCTCCTATAAGTCAGCATGTGATTTCTTGTCCCCTTTAAGTGTCTCATTAATAAATCAAAATCATTGCTAGCCAATCATCATCATACAATACCTTATATATGAACATACTCCCACTAATCCTGAGATACATAAAATGATATATAATGTTTTCTTTCTGAAACTAAATTTCATAAGGTTTCATTAAACCTTTTAATATCATTATCTCGAAGGTTGTTTCTGTCCATAAATTGATTTCTTAAGTTTGCAGACCATGTCTTCCTGACCTTCGATTATGAAGCCTTCAGGTTGACACATATACCTTATATATGAACATACTCCCACTAATCCTGAGATACATAAAATGATATATAATGTTTTCTTTCTGAAACTAAATTTCATAAGGTTTCATTAAACCTTTTAATATCATTATCTCGAAGGTTGTTTCTGTCCATAAATTGATTTCTTAAGTTTGCAGACCATGTCTTCCTGACCTTCGATTATGAAGCCTTCAGGTTGACACATATAGACTTGTTCTTCTAAGTCTCCATTAAGAAAGCGGTTTTCACATCCATTTGATGTAACTCAAGATCATATCTGAGCTACTAATGCCAAGATAATTCTGAGAGAGTCTTTTCTAGACACAGGATGAAAAGGTCTCACAATAATCAATGCCTTCTTTTCTGATTAAACCCTTTGGCTACAAGTCTGGCTTTATATCGTTCAACATTGCCTTACAGTCAAGTTTGGTCTTAAAGATCCACTTACACCCAACTGCTTTGTGTCCTTCAGGCAATGGAACAATGTCCCAAACTTCATTCTTAACCATTGAGTCTATTTCATCATTACTGGCATCAATCCATTTATCAGAATTAACATCTGTCATGGCTTGTGAATAAGAAACCGGGTCTTTAATGCTCCCTCCCCCAGATTCTATGAGATAAAGCATGTAGTCATCAGAAATAGCAGATCTCCTCTCACGAGTTGGTCTTCTTAATGCTGGTTCCTCTTGTACTACAAGTTCATTANAAATTTCATAAGGTTTCATTAAACCTTTTAATATCATTATCTCGAAGATTGTTTCTGTCCATAAATTGATTTCTTAAGTTTGCAGACCATGTCTTCCTGATCTTCGATTATGAAGACTTCAGGTTGACACATATAGACTTATTCTTCTAAGTCTCCATTAAGAAAAACGGTTTTCACATCCATTTGATGTAACTCCAGATCATTCTGAGCTACTAATGCCAAGATAATTCTGAGAGAGTATTTTCTTGACACAGGTGAGAAGGTCTCACAATAATCAATGCCTTCTTTCTGATTAAACATTTTGGCTACAAGTCTGGCTTTATATAGTTCAACAATGCCTTTACAGTCGAGTTTGCTCTTAAAGATCCACTTACACCCAACTGCTTTGTGTCCTTCAGGCAATGGAACAATGTCCCAAACTTCATTCTTAACCATTAAGTTTATTTCATCATTACTGGCATCAATCCATTTATCAGAATTAACATCTATTATGGCTCGTGAATAAGAAACCGGGTCATTAATGCTCCCTCCCCCAGATTCTATGAGATAAGGGATGTAGTCATCAGAAATAGCAGATCTCCTCTCACGAGTTGATCTCCTTAATTCTGGTTCCTCTTATACTACAAGTTCATTATTGGCGATGTTTTCATCATGGAGTGATTGATCATTCACTGGTTTCTCCTCATTGTTAAGTGGTTCAACAACAGGAGGATTCCCAACATTCGGAGTTAAGGGTAAAGGGATATTTATCCTAATTTCCTGAATGATCACATCTTGTACTTTATTACTCCCACTAATCTCGCCATTCTCATGGAATCTGGCATTTCAGGTTTCTAACTATTCTCATACAATGGAATGAACAATAAAACATATTTCCTTTAGATTTCTAAGGTTAACCATAAAGGAAACCACTAACTGTTCTGAAATCTAATTCCTTTTCATGTGGGTTATATATTCTTGATTTAGCTGGGCATCAAATTTAAAGATGTCAGACACTAGGTTTCCAGCCTTTACACAGTTCAAAAGGACTTTGAAACTGTTTTGCTGTAAACTTTACTCAAGATATTGATTGCAATACATAATGCATTCATCCACAAGGAGATATGTAAGTTAGTCCGAATCATTATGGATCTAACCATTTCCATAAGTATGATTGTACCTTTGAGTTACACCATTCTGCCATAAAAATTTACCACCTCTATTTTACCTAATGATTTTCAGCTTTCTATCTAATTGCTTCTCATCTTCAGTAATGAATGTTTGTACAACATTCAGATATTGAGAATTTTCATGCAATAGATAAAGATAACAATAATGTGAAAACCTTCAATAAAGATGACAAATTACTTTTCTCCTTTCAATGTTGGAACATCAAATTGGTCCGCAAATATTTGTATGATTTCAAGAAGGTACATACTTCTTGTGGTTCTTCTTTTACTGTGTTTAGTTTGCTTACCCTTAATGCAATCTAGGCACACTTTACTATTGGTAAAATTTAGGTTCAAAAGAACCCATCCTTTTCCAATTATTAATTCTTTAGCTAGAAACATGTTCGAGTCATTTAAACCACAAGGAATACTTATCTTAAGCACATGTTGACAGTTAAGTCCACCTTTAGAATGCACAATGAGATGTATTTTAAAATCTTGATCAGCCAAGTTTAACATAAGAGGCCATCAATTAATATTCTAGAACCAATTCAATCAGGTTCAGAATAATATTAAAACAACTATCTCCTTAAGTTAATAACAATTCAAGTTTTCTTAATGAAACTAATTTCCAGGAAACAAATAATGAGACAATGAATGTCAATAATTTAGTTGACTCGATTGTTTCGTTTTCCCTTATAGAACTAGTTTCCCTTGAATTGTTATTGATGATAAATTTATGCATCAAACATGTGTAGAAGCACTTACTACCTTATGTAATTAATTACTCTTTAATTTTTGAATTATCTTATCTTTAAGGCAATTTTAATGAAAAACTATAAAGCTTTTATTTGCCGTTTTTCTTCTTAATAAGTGGATTATAATCTTTAATTCTGGATAGTGCTCTTTCATGGCTTACTTAATGCCATTTTTTCCGGTTTTAGATTTAGCTTCTTGGACATGATGGGCAATCCTAATGCCTTCACGGTCAAGCTTAGACTCCTCTTGAACCAACTTACTAGTCAATTCATTAGACGTCCATTTTTCATCAATGGCGTTGTAATTGATCTGAAATGGTCCATACTGAGGAGGCAAAGAATTCAGGATAAACTGGACAAGAAAAGAATCATCCACACTAAGTCCCAAATTCTTCAGCTTAGCCGCAAGGTCAATCATTTCAATGCAATGTTCATGCATAGACCTTGTGCCATCATGCTTCATGGTTGTAAGATCTGCCATAAGTTTCCCAGCAAGGAATTTGTCTGCAGTCTTAAACCGTTCTTATATGGCTGCAAGATGGCTGCAAGATAAGCCTTAGCTTTATCTGCAGCTGGAAGGGAAGATTAATATTGCTAGCAATTGTCATCCTTAAGAACATTATGTTCAGTCTGTTCGTCTCTCCCATGCTTTATGGAGTTGATATTCTTCCTCAGTACTTTCATCAGTCACTGGATTTGGCTCATCTTGACGAAGTGCCAATTCCAGATCAAGTACTCCTAATGTGAACTCAACTTTCTCTTTCCATTCTGAGAAGTTGGTCCCTATGAGGATTGGAACATAGAGACCATTGATGACAAGTGAGCAGGAAAAGCTCTAGCTTAGAGATACAACAAGTAGTGTAATTAGGCTTCAAAATATAATCAGACACATGATAAATTAAAAACATATGACAAAAATATGGAGTTCCTGTGGGCAATCACCATAACTACATTAAGGTCACATGTTCATGAATCATAAGCAAGTGATGCAGTGAATTATTTAGACTAAGTTATCTGTGGATATCTTAATCTACACATACAAACACTTCATTCAAACAATGGTTTTCAATTGCAAATCTTTATAGGATGTAGTCACTGTGGTGATATCTAAACCCAATTTATGCACATTATATGAAACCAATGTTCTGTAGAATGCATAATTCGAACTATTGAATTCGAAACAAATACGGTTATGCACGGAATAATTTTCAGAATGATAATATAAAATCGTTTTCAGATTTTATCGGTCAAGCGATTATGCAGAGATTATAAGCAGAACGAATTCACACGATTTATGCACATAACCAGTTATCATCATTAATTTCGCACGAATTATGCACGATTCAGTGATTGCGGAAATAATCTATGAAAAACCTAAATTCACAGAGACATAAAATATCACAGAAGGATTTCGAGAAACCCTAATTCGCAAAAGTCCGATAATTGCACGGAATCAAAATTCAGATAAATTTTCAATTTACAGAAGTACGCGATTTGCAAGGTGATAATAATTTCCGAAAACTAAAATTTCAGACACACAGATTATGCACGCTATCAAATACAGATTCATATATGCAAAACCTAAGAAGCAATTCAGTTCATGATCCTATTACTCTTAATGGATTAAACAGATGTTCACAACCATTCTCTGATACCACATGTAAGCATACTTTTACATGAACCCTAAGACCTTCAAACATCCAGAGTAATCACATAATAGAATCATAAGAGTTTATAAATGACTTACTTCTAACCATTGTAGAGAAGAGATGGAGGTATTAAATCTGAGATAGGTGATTAGGTTTCTCTCCCCTTGCCTATGAACTTTATGTGTCTCTTTTAGGATGCCTTTACAATGGACTAAAGGCATATATTTATAGGTGGAGAGAGGACCTAATTCCTCTTTAGGGTTTCCTTAAAGTTAATCTCAACCGTCCATCAAAGTAGAGATAAAAAAGGAAATACTCCATTATATTTAAGTTAATTAAATACCAAATATGTTATGGAATAGCAATAACCTAATAGGAAAACGGATTAATATAAGACCATATAATAGGAAGATAAATTTATCTTACAGTCACAACCATAACTCTGTTATAGTAGATTACGTAATACATATTGTCAGGGAAAAACTTTTATCATAATAATTTGTTTTCGTGTAACAGTTTCGATGAAGAAGATGAGTCCACAAATGGAGAATGCGGTTCTACAACGAGCAGCTCTTGGGGAAGCAGCTCCGATGGAAGTAGCTCTGGTGCTGGACCATCTGGTGCTGGACCTTCTGATGCCAGAGGTTTTGGTTCTGATATCATATTTATTGATTAGCAAATGAACATGTAATGAGTACCCTGTTTTTACTCTGTTTTTATATCGGCTAAGAACTTCGAATTTTCTATCTTGCACCTTGTGGTCGTTTTGGATATTCTCATTAGTAGATATTCGGAACCTCTTAAATCTGTTTCTCCGTTTTATTCTTTTCCATATTTAGACTCCTACTTATGCAACAAAATGTAAAACAAGCTAATCAAAGATGCTTTGAGAATGCATACAAACTATCTCCTTCTACACATAGCAAGAGAACCAGTGGCGATATTCGTTATAACTTCAAAGGCCCGTTTAAGTATACCATAAATGACATAGATATAATATGTTTTTATACATTTTGTGATTAAATTATGGTAACAATACGCTTAACCCTTAATAGTTAAAACCGATGAGAGGATATTTTTCTGTTTGTTGAATATTGTTGTTATAACCGACAAAATACTACTTTCTTGTTTGTTAGATTAACTTATTTATTTTCCTTCTATGGTTCAACTTAAGAAATAATTGCATACATCGGATGTGCGGTAGATACGAATATTATTTTTCTTCCATCCTTATCTCATATTTTACATTTTTAGGTTGAGTGGATTAAGTGTATCATACTAGTATTTGCGAAGTGAAAATTTCGAATGGAACCACTACGTTAACTCTCAGCCGCGGAATTACCGAGATGCCTTTAATGAAAATCTTGAATAAATCTTCGAATTTTCCTTTTTAAAAAAAAAAAACGAATTTGATTTTTCACTAAAATATTTGTAGATAAAAAACCTACCTACTATATTTCACCCACAATTTTGGAAGAAAATAGAAAATTTAGAAAGAAAAATTAAAAAGAAAACCCTAGGTTTCATAATCATCTTTGTCTTTTATAAATAGGTAGGAACAAGCAAAATCAACACAAGGAAATGGTCGGACCGGGTTCAACCATGAACCGGACCTATTCCTGGTTTGGGTCACTAAAGAAACCGTGGATAGTTGACCCGGCTAGCGAACCGGGTCCAACCAGGAAAAAACCGGAAACCGGTGAACCCAAAAACCGTGTTAAACCGGTGTTGCAAATAAAACAATAAAAAAAACTCACTTCTTTAAGAAATGAATTGGCGTTAATTATGCTAGGTATTTGTTTCTATCTCCTGTTAAGCTTTCTCTGCAACTTACCACTGCTGGATAATTCAAAGTCAAGGAAACACATCACGTTGTGATGTTCGTAATCAAGTAATTGCAGAAGTATATTAATATTAGACCATATCGATCTACTAATTCTCTAATCAAACCACCTTCACTTAGTTTATTGGATTCGATTTAATTTTACTTATCAACTTTGTTGGCTTTTGTTTCATTCTTTATTTTGTTTATTAATTTTTTTGAAGTATACTCAACTATGGAGGAGAATAATTAAGAACTTCCACTTTCACGTATAGTTGGGAAAGACCGGTCCATTATTCTGAAAATATTATTGAACCAGGTTGAACCGGGTCGATCCATATTGACCCATGACCCAAAATATTTCCGGTTCGGTCACCGGTCCGGTTTTAAAAACATTGTATCTATACCATTATTTGCAAAGTAAAAACGCACCACAATCGTCCTCACTAAATATTACCCCAATGCCCTTAATGAATTCGTGTAATCTCGCCTAATGACATATCTAATTGCGTCTTTCTGCCACTATGCTAATTAAAACGAGATAATGTAATCATAAAAGTAATACTTCCTTTTATATTGGTTATGAGATAATCATGTGTGGTTGGGAAAGATATATTCATAAAAGGATAGTTTCGGATTTGGTTGAGACGATAGATTCTGATTTACATTTATCAGATCATTGGTAATATTTTAACTAATGTAATCAGAAAAGTAATACTTCCTTTTATCTTGGTTATGGCCTTATGGGATAAACATGTGTGTTGAGAAAGATATATTCATAAAACATAGTTTTGGATTCGGTTGATATGATAGATTCATATTTGCATTTATCGAATCATTGTTATTAATTTAATTGGAGGGATTAATCGCTGGAACCCTAGGTCACTTTCCTATATATATACTTCGGCTAGCTCCCATAACGTCTACAGTTTTAATTTTTTGTTATTGCTTTAGTTTTTGCTGATATATGTTTTAGCTATGGTCTCATGTTATTATAGGGTTCGTGCAGTCGATTATGTTTTCCGTTTTCATGCGACTGAGGTTCTAACTACGTCTGTTTTGTCTTTGTGCAGCTAGGGTTAATGTCAATTCGGATTTCCACAGCGTCTTCTATGCAGAAGGTTGATGCATAGACAAGTATGATCCCGTCCGTGTATGAGAGACAACCCTAATCGCTCTTTAAAAAATATCGTTTGGGTATTCTCTCATATTGGATACTATTTATTTTGGTATATGTTTGGCCGATTTTTTTATTTTGCTCTACTTTTGTATAGTTTCATAACCCTAATCATGGATTGTGTTTTCTTTTACGCAGAAGGTCGATGGATAGACAAGTAAAGTAATGGTTTGATTTTCTATATATATATATATGTATATATATTTCTCAGGTAGCTCTCATATCTCTACGGTTCGATTTCATATGATTATTGCTTTAGTTATCAATTGTGTTAATTGTGATCTCATGTTGTTTTAGTGTTTGTGCAGTCGTTGGTGTTAACGTTTGCACACGGTTCTGAATTTGTTTGTTCCTTATTTGCTTATTTTTTATTTTCTCATATGTTTAGCCGACAGGTTTTTATGTTCTACTTTTGTATTATGCTTAATTTCATAACCCTAATCATTGGATTTTGTTTCATTTTACGCAGAAGGTCGACGCATATACAGGCAAGTAATTGTTTTCCTAAATATATACTACCTCCCATATCATGATAGTTTGTACTGATTTGATGTTCTTGCTTTAGTTATTATCCATCTATGCTTTAGCTATGATATCATGATATTCTAGAGGTTGTGCAATCGTTGGTGTTTTTGTTTGCACACGGTTCTGAATTCGTTTGTTCCTTATTTGCGCAGCTAGGGTTATCTGCAGATTGGTGTCTTGCGGCGTACTGTACTGTAAGTTTCTGTTTCTGTTTCTTATATATATTTACACATCATTCTTCTCTGATTTCTTATTCTCTCATATTGGCTATTTTGTATTTTCTTATATGTTTAGCCGATGGCTTTTATGTTCTACTTTTGTAATTTGTTTAGTTTCATAACCCTACTCATTGGATTGTGTTTTCTTTTATGCAGAAGGTCGACGCATATACAGGTAAGTAATTGTATTCCTAAATATATACTACCTCCCGTATCATCTATGGATGTATTTGACGTTCTTGCTTTAGTTATTATCCATCTATGTTTTAGCTATGATATCATGATATTTTAGGGATGGTGCAGTCATTGGTGTTTTCGTTTGTACACGGTTCTGAAATCGGTTGTTCTTATTTGCGCAGCTAGGATTATCTGCAGATTGGTGTCTTGCGACGTAGTGTACTGTAAGTTTCTGCTTGCGTTTCTTATATTTATTTACACATCATTTTGCTTTGAATTCTTATTCTCTCATATTGGTTATTTTGTATTTTCTTATAAGTTTAGCCGATATGTTCTTTATGCTCTACTTTCGTATTTTGTTTAGTTTCGTTACCCTAAACATTGGATTGTGTTTTCTTTGATGCAGAAGGTCGATGCATATACAGGTAAGTAATTGTTTTCCTAAATATATACTATATCCCATATCGTTTACTGATTGATTTTATGTTCTCTCTTTATTTAATACCCGTCCATGTTTTAGCTACAATATCATGATATATTAGTGTTGGTGCAGTCGTTGATACATTCGCTTGCACACAGTTCTGGATTCGTTCGTTTTTTCCATTGTTTAGCTAGGGTTATCTGCATATAAGTGTCTTGCGGAGTAATATTCTGTAACTTTCTGCTTACGTTCTTTATATTTATTTCCACTTCGTTCTGCTCTCATTTCGTTTCTTATTAACTCATGTTGACTGTTTTGTATTTTCTTATAGGTTTAGCGGATAGGTTTTTCTACTCTACATTTGTATTTTATTTAGCTTCATAACCTTAGTCATTCGATTGTATTTTCATTTATGCAGAAAGTCGACGCATATACAGGCAAGTATTGTTTTCCTACATATATACTACCTCCCGTATCGTCTACGGTTTGATTTGAAGTTCTTGCTTTGTTTATTACACGACTCGACTATGTTTTAACTATGATATCGTGTTCTTTTAGGATTGGTGCAGTCGATGATGCGTTCGCTTAGACACGGTTCTGGATTCGTTTTTTTTTTTTTTTTTTTACACAGTTAGCGTTATCTGCAGAATGGTGTCTTTCGGCGTAATGCGCTGTAAGTTTCTGCTTGCGTTTCTTATATTATTTACACGTCCTTCTGCTCTAATTTCTTTGAATCGAAAATCTTGGATATATGTTGTGATATTTTGAAGCTTCGTCAAAAAGATGCTTTTGGTCCGACTTTGATTCAAATATGTAGATTGAGACACACGGTATATTTAGTTTGCTTTGAGCTTTTTTTGGTTCGATGTCTATAACTCTTGAGGTTAGTTTTCTGCGCAGATCGAGGCACATATTTGGGACGTTAAATGCTTATATCATGTTTTTTAAAAATATTTTGAATTGTTTTGTTTTTTTTGTAGGTTATTAACCATATGCCTATATTTCATCGACTGACGTTTTATCCATGATCTTCGTATTGTATTGCACTTACGTGGATCGATGTTTCTGCATATGTGTTTAAAGGATTTTAGATTTTGCTATTGTATCATTTGCAGGTTCTGTTCGCAGTAGATGTATCTAATCTGGATGAGGGCATGCCACTTACGAATTCATCTTGGTTTTAGTCCTTACCAATTTTTATATATAGGGTGATCTTTTTGAATTAAATTTTGGTAGACGGGTGGTATACATTCGCGTTCAATTGCTGGTGCTTGTGAAGATTGATATACAAGGATAATTGTTTGGGTTGCGTTTGTTTAGAATTTTCCATATTTATTTCGTGATTGTTTACGGTTGCCAATTCGTCTGTTTGATGTTTTGAAATTTTTGATTCTTGATACACATGGTCTTACTAGATCCTGTAATCGAATAGAGGCATGCAAGCTGATAATAAAAAAAAAAAAACTTTATACCTTCCCAATGCATCGGAATTTTACAGTTACGGTTTATATTTTTATATTGAACAAAGTGTCAACATCTTGAACATATGGCTGGAGAACAAAGCTGTTTGTAATGGTCAAGTGACATCTCCATTCCCATTTAGCACAATGGCTTAGACTTCTCATGCTATTCCGGCCAAAAAGTTTGATGTGCCTTTTCAAGACTTATCTTCAAAAATATAATGATAAATTAGGCATATTGTTGTTTATGCATGCATAGTTTGATTGTTATATGTTTAACGTCCCGAACACCAAGTACGTTTTGATGTATATTCTTATTATTGTTATGATTAATTGACACTTTGTAATCAAGTAATTAAACATTCATACATGAAACAGTGAGATGATGTGTGTTATAAATCAATTTTAGTTAGACATTATCGTTTTAGTTTAAATTCTGTTTCAGATATAAAAATATCACAACCAATGAATTAAATCGAACAGTAAAAGTTTTATGGAAAGTCGATATATTCGCTGAGCAGCCTGACATAGAAATAGTTGACCAATTGGCGGTTTCAATTTGAACCGATTCCATTTTCAAATAGCAACTCTTCTCTTGAAACTTTTCGCTTTACTTTAACACTTATTATCGTAATAAAGCCATGGTCAAAACTGCACTATTATAAACCTTCGTATTCCACACACCGATTTAAAAAAAAAGAGAGTCATTACATTATTTTCTTTGCAGAACTCAGATAGATATTGCGATGGCAGCATCTGACAAAATTAGCTTTCGGACATCGGAAAGGACGAATTGGTGCATCTGTGTGAAGGTTACTAAGATATGGGAGTCGTTGGAGACTGGTGGTTTGGTTAATATCAATGTTCTACTCACGGTTGCAGAGTTATGTCGGTTCTTGAAGTTGTTGGATGATATTTGAATAGATTTACAGAAATGGATAGGAGATTAACTTTGGATAGATTTACAGAAATTGATATGAGATTAACTTTGTCTCTCTTTAAGGAATGGTCTCAGAAACAGGGGGTTAGCCAGTGAGAATCAAACCTTGGAGGCCATAGGATCATTGCCCAAACTAATCCATCCAACCCCTTATGAACTCCATTTCGAGAGCAAGAGTTATTGGAGCTCTTAGTGGATATTTTCCAGCGATTTCCATCACTTCCATGTGGAGAATCGCCTAATGACATACAAGCCAGGGGTAGTGGTCATGTAGCCTTAAGATTTATCCAAAAGAGAGAGAATCTAGATTAAGACCATAAGCAAGAAGGATTAAGCATATGAAACCCTAATCTATCCCATCTCAAACCCTAATGGGTAACTACTCACTACACATGAATGTAAACACAAGCAAATGCAATGAAAGAGACATCATAAGAAAGAGGAGATGAAATAAACAACTTTTATTGAAATAAGCAAGTGCAAATACAGAAAGATATCCAGATCTAGGATTCAAGAAGCAAGAGCTTCAAGAACACAAAGATGGAGGGTTGCTAAAAAGTAAAAGACAATAAATTAAAAGAAAGCTAAAACAAAATTAAAATTAAGGGTTTGACTTTGACTTCTCAGCTCGATCGAGTTGAAGCTTGGCCGGTCGAGTTGAGGAACTCGACCGGTTGGTCGAGTAGGTGGTCGAGCTGGTCTTCAAGATGGCTTCCTCCTTCTTCCTTTGCGTATCCAGTTGAGCTGCGTCCATGCACCAAGTCCTTCCATGCTCCTCACGTCCCATATGCTCCAAATGCTCCAAAAGACCTATTTCAAAGGACCAAACATGCATATGTATGCAAATGCAACCTAAAACTACATGAATGCATAAGAAGAGAAAAGGAACAAGATATGATGCTAATGGATGCTAAAACTATGCAAAAGATGCATAAAAGATGTACTAAAACTATGTAAAATGCAAGTACATCAACACCCCCAAACTTGAACCTTTGCTTGCCCTCAAGCAAACAAATAGAACAAGAAAGAGATGAGGTTTGAAAACAAGTTGATTCAACACTTAAAAACATGTCCTCAAAAGCGATTTGCTAAATGTCCAACTTAGAGATTCTAGAATGCAACAAGGTGAGAGATATTCATTAAGATTTAACCATGCTTATCAACATCAATCCCACTTCACAGTCACTCAAACAATGCATTCAAATCAGCAAATCCCTTTAACATTCATTAAGCAAAAACAGTGAACCAAAAACATGCAAGATCAATCAACTCATTTGGTTTCAAGGGTTTATGGGTTAAGAGACAAAGAGGGTCTCTTTTGTATGGTGGTTTAGTAACAGGGATCTCTCAAGAAAGTGGCTTTGCTTTGGCAGAAGGCTAAGTGTTAGAACCAAAGATGATGCAAGAACAGCAGCTCGAGCCGCCTAATCCTAACTCGATCGAGTTCAACACTTAGAGCTTTTTAGAACAAAATCCTAACTACCCTTTTTGGCATTTCGCCTTTGAAACTGAGGAGCTTTGCTCACTTTTCTTTTAAGAACATCCTAGGGAGAGGCTTCTTGAGGTAACATCTAGCGGTTTGGGATTTTCTAAACACTTAGGGAACTTTTCTTTCTTTTTGACACTTGAGGCTTTGCCTTCTTTTCTTTCTACTTAGAACCCTTTTTACTTCCTTTTTTAACTTCCCAAACCTTTACTAGACCCTTTTTAACACTGCCAACTCCCTGGACTTAACTAAACTCTTTTTCCTTTGGATTTTCCCAATTTTTACCATTTTACACCCAACTCGATCGAGCTCGAGTTGGCACCCCCAAACTTAGCCTGAAAACAATCCCAAGAGAACTAGACAACTAGAACTACTGCCCTGCCGGTTTAAACACAACACCTTATGCTAAGCAAAGCCAAGAAAGGTTCTCACAATCGCACAAGAGATAATATGGGGTTTGAAATGAAAAGGCTTAGGTTTAAGGTGTGGTAACTGTCTCAAAGATGGAGATCAGCTATCTGGACAAGCAAGAGGGATATGAAAATAGGTAAAGAATGTCCAGATATGTATGTGGTAGCCATGAGTTGAAATCAAATGCAAGCTGATGCGACCATAGATGAGGAGGTTCAGGACGCACAGCTATTGGCCGAGGAAGAAGAAGAAGCTGCGCAGTTCTTAGCCGCGGATGGAGATGAGGCCGCGCAGCTTGTACCTGAGGAGAGTTTTAGCCATTCCCAGTGGCCCATCCTCGTTCACGAACTAAGGCACTAAACCAAGTGATTGGCAAAGTCCTTAGCTGTTTGAGTCAGCAAGAAACCAAACCAACTACTCTGGTTTGTTTGAAGGCCTTAACAATGGGATAAAGAGACAAGTGTGCTGGTGTGCTCTTTTTCCCTTGTCAAGTTTTGTCCCTATGGGTTTTCTTGACAAGGTTTTTAACGAGGCCCATTGCACACTTCCAAATCCTCTCTTTTCTCATTTGTGAAGGTCCGGCCCAAGAGAGAGCGCCAAAGGGTCGTTTTTTCTAGTCTTGTTTCATTATGTTTTGTGTGTTCTCTAAGATGATTGGAGCCTGTTCCAATCATCCCTTCTCTCTCTCTCGTTTTCTTTAAAACCCTAGTCCTTTCTCTCTTTGAAACTTATCAATCAATTTTATCAAAACCTCTCTTTTTGTTTGATCACTCTTCTGTTCACTTGTTGTGCGTAATATCAACTAAGTCCACAGAATTTCCTCTCACTTGTTGTGTGTAATATCAACAAGTTGAAGGCGGTGTTAGAGATCTCTTCCGCGGGTTCTCTAGTATAGCCACTCGATCCATTCATCTTCAATCATCCACCATCGGTTTCCTTTGTGATCCAATCCGCTCATTCACTTACCTTCAAGCCGATCTAGTCCAGGGGCGTATCAGGTGGTATCAGAGCCCCTTGAAGCTAAGTGATCTCGATTTTATGATTTTGACTGTTCATCTTCTAAATCTGAGAATCGTAGATCTTGAGTATGATTTTGCTTTGCTGTTGTGCTATTGATCGTTTCTTTGTTTCCATTGTCATTACCTTCACATCCAATGCTTGTTTACTCATCAAGGTTACTTTTCGATCATTTGAAATCATTTGTTCATCATCCATCACTTGTTTCATCATCCATTTGATCATTTTCATCCATCACTGCATTTTTAATTTATTCCATAATTTTAATAATTTTGCCACAATTTATTCTGGTCATTTTCATATAGATCTGTCATCTCTGAGTGGTTGCATAATTTTTAAAATTGTTTCTATGATTTTTAAAATTGTTGCAACAATTTTCCTTTGAACTTTTGACTGCCGCGGTTTTTTTAAATTTCAGGTACTATGGCGTCAGAAAAGGAAGAAGGATCAAGCGGTGTTGGTGAGGCCTTGCTGAGCAGATCAAGAAGATGATGGCAGAGGAGTTTGATCGGAGAGACAGATCAAACAAGGCAAAGGAAGGAGACTAGGTCCGATACATATCTCGATGGAGACAAGAGGAACGATCCCATGGCATCTCATGGTCTCGGAGACGATCAGGCTCATGTCTACTACGGTAGCGCTCATTCATCTCACTCAAGCCGGCGCCGATCTAGAAGGCCGCGAGATGAGCCAGACCGTATGGTTGGAAAACTTGGGAGGCTACAAAATGAAGATTCCACCGTTCCATGGCCGGAACAATCCAGACGAGTACATGGACTGGGAAAAGAAGTGCGAGTTCAATTTCAACTTGCACAACATCATTGGCGCAACCGTGTCAAGCTAGCCGTGTCGAGTTCAACGATTATGCGTAGATGGTGGGAGCAAATCATTTTGGCTCGCGAGATTGGTGGTGCCTTTGAGATTACCACTTGGGAAGAAATGAAGCGCATCATGAGGCAACGATTTGTCCCTGGCCATTACCAACGTGAGCTACACTCTAAGCTCAGGAAGCTTACTCAGGCTCCAAGACTGTGGAAGAGTATATCAAGAGATGGAGGTATGCTCTTGCGCGCCAATGTGATTGAAGACCGCGAGGCCACTATGTCTCGATTCCTTGGAGGCTTGAACCGTGAGATACAAGACATCGTGGAGATGCAAAATTGTGTGGCTTGAGTCCATGCTCCACAAAGCTGTCTTGGCCGAGACACAATTGAGGAGAAGCTCCACTCGAATACAAGCCGCGCCGACCAACCTTCACCGCGACCAAGTCCTTTCGCGCCCAAGTCAGAAACAAACCTCTGGCTACTAATCAAGACAGGAGCCGGACTGAGCGCACTCCACCAGCCAGAACCCGTGATCTCAAGTGCTTTAGGTGTCAAGGGTTTGGGCATTATGCCTCTGATTGCTTGAACAAGAAAGTGATGATCATCCGCGACAATGGAGAGATTGAGTCCGAGGAGGATCCAGAGCCGGAGAAACCAGAGAAAGAAGAAGAACCTGAGGAGTATGAGGCCGTGCCTGTCCAAGGCAAACTTCTGGTGGCCAGGTGTCTTGAGTACTCAAGTCAGACTGATAAGATGAGCAGCGCGAGAACCTCTTTCACACTCGTGCTTAGTCCAAGATAAGGTGTGCAGCTTGATTATCGATGGAGGAAGCTGTACCAATGTGGCGAGTGAAACTATGGTTGAGAAGTTGGGCTAACTATCAAGAAGCATCCACGGCCTTATCAAGCTTAACTGGTGAATGAAACTGGAGAGATGAGTGTCAAGAACCAAGTGGTTGTGCCTTTTCTATTGGCAACTACAAGGATGAGATCCTTTGTGACATTCTGCCCATGGACGCCGGTCACATCATCTTAGGGCGGCCTTGGCAATCTGATAGGCGTGTGATCCATGATGGATTCACAAACCGCTACACTCTTCTTCATGAGGGCCGTAAAACCACTTTGATTCCTTTGAGTCCACAAGAAGTCTATGAAGATCAGTTACAACTTGCTGGAAAAGAAGTCAAGCCCCAAGCTCCTAAGCCAAAGAACTTCCTGGTGAAGCCAAAACAGGTTAAACGTTCCTTGAACTTAAACAAACCTTTTCTTTTATTTATATATAAGGAACACTTGATTGGCTTGACTCACACTCCACCGGAGATTCCGAGTGAACTAGCTCAACTTTTGCAGGACTTTAGCGATGTCTTTCCTGATGATAGTCCACCAGGCTTGCCTCCTGTCCGAGGTATTGAGCACCAGATTGACTTTGTCCCCGGCTCCACTTTACCAAACAGGCCGGCTTACAGAACCAATCCGGTTGAGACCAAGGAGCTTCAGCGCCAAGTGGATGAACTCATGGAGAAAGGCCACATTAGAGAGAGCATGAGCCCTGTGCTGTTCCTGTTCTTCTTGTTCCTAAGAAGGATGGAAGCTGGAGAATGTGTGTCGACTGCCGCGCCATCAATAACATCACTGTAAAGTATCGACACCCTATCCCTAGACTTGATGACATGTTAGATGAGTTACATGGCTCTTGCATCTTCTCTAAAATTGATCTTAAGAGTGGATATCACCAAATCCGGATGAAGGAAGGTGATGAGTGGAAAACCGCCTTTAAAACCAAGCATGGTCTATATGAGTGGCTTGTGATGCCATTTGGCTTGACCAATGCGCCAAGTACTTTCATGCGGTTGATGAATCATGTCCTTAGGTCTTTCATTGGTCATTTTGTGGTTGTTTATTTTGATGATATCTGATCTATAGCAGGACCTTTGATGATCATCTTAAGCATCTTGCCGCGGTCATGAAAGTCCTTAGGGAGGAGAAACTGTTCGCCAACTTTAAGAAATGCACCTTTTGTACATAATTGGTGTTTCTAGGTTTTGTGGTGAGTGCAGATGGCGTACAGGTTGATGAAGAGAAGGTCGCAGCTATCCGGGATGGCCTAGTCCTAAGACCGTTGGAGAGGTCAGGAGCTTTCATGGCTTGGCCGGATTCTATCGGCGGTTTGTTAAGGATTTTAGCACCATAGCCGCGCCAATGACTGAGATTATCAAGAAGGAAGTTGGTTTCAAGTGGGAGAAGGCACAGGAGGAAGCATTTCAGACTCTTAAGGATCGACTTACTAATGCACCTGTTCTTATGTTGCCTGACTTTCTTAAAACTTTTGAAATTGAGTGTGATGCCTCAGGAATCGGAATAGGAGCTGTTCTCATGCAAGACAAGAAGCCGATTGCCTACTTCAGTGAGAAACTTGGAGGAGCCACTCTCAATTACCCAACTTATGACAAGGAGCTCTATGCCTGGTCCGAGCCTTACAAACTTGGCAGCACTTATCTTTGGCCCAAGGAGTTTGTTATCACACTGATCATGAATCACTCAAGCACTTCAAAGGCCAACAGAAGCTCAACAAGAGGCATGCTCGCTGGGCCGAGTTCATAGAAACCTTTCCCTATGTGATCAAGTACAAGAAAGGTAAGGACAATGTCGTGGCCGACGCATTGTCTAGACGGTATACACTTCTCTCTACTCTTGATGCCAAACTCTTAGGCTTTGAGCAAATTAAAGAACTATATGCTTCTGATGCTGATTTTTCTGATATTTATCAAGCTTGTTCTAAGTTTGCTTCTTATGTGAGACAGGATGGGTTTCTCTTTTATGAGAACCGCCTTTGTGTGCCTAATTGTTCTTTGAGGGACTTGTTTGTCAGGGAAGCACATGGAGGAGGACTTATGGGACATTTTGGAGTTGCCAAGACCATACAGATCATGAGAGATCATTTCCATTGGCCACACATGATTAGAGATGTGGAGCGCATATGTGCTCGCTGCACCACTTGTAAGTTGGCCAAATCCAAGGTCCAACCCCACGGTTTGTATACTCCTCTCCCTATTCCATCACAACCTTGGACTGATGTTTCCATGGACTTTGTTCTTGGTTTACCCAGAACTAGACATGGAAAGGATTCCATTTTTGATTGTGGATAGATTTTCTAAGATGGCTCATTTTGTTGCATGCAATAAAACTTATAAATGCCAGAGGCACGCCCCAAGCATTCACGTCCCAGCTGAAACACTCTCGTCGATCTCTTCACCTTATCCTTTTATGAGGTGGTCTATGGACATAATAGGCCTATGGTCTCTTCGGGACCAAAGCAATTCCAATACCTACTAGTCCTTACTGACTACTTCACTAAATGGATCGAGGCCAAACCATACCAACAAACGACCGAACTCGAGGTCCGGAAATTTATCTGGAAAGACATCATTTGTCGACACGGGCTCCCTTTCGAGATCGTGACAGATAACGGATCTCAGTTCATAGCTCGAACATTCAAAGACTTCTGCAAGAAGTGGAACATACGCATAACGTATTCCACACCTCGTTATCCTCAAGGAAACGGGCAAGCTGAAGCAACAAACAAAACCCTCTTGAGTAACCTCAAGAAACGGCTCGACGCCCGTAAACATAGGTGGTCCGAAGAGCTCGCAGCAGTTCTTTGGGCTTGCCGAACTACACCTCACAAAGCTACCCATGAGACCCCGTTCTCATTAGCTTACGGGCTAGAGGCCGTCATCCCAACTGAAACTTCCGTTCCAAGTCTTCGCAGGATGCAATGTCCAGCGAACGTCGAGCTGAACGAAGAAATGTTGAGAGATCACCTTGACCTTATCGACGAACGTCGAGATCAAGCTCTGATCCGGATACAAAACTATCAACAGGCCGCAGCTCGCTATTATAATTCCAAGGTCAAGCACCGAAGATTTCATATAGGCGACATGGTCTGAGAAAAGTACAAGACTATACCAAAGAGCCCGGTGCAGGGAAAACTTGGGACCAACTGGGAAGGTCCCTACCTCAACCGAAGTAGTTCGCGATGGCGTCTACAAGCTCACAAAAGTCAGAAACGGAATACCTGAACTAAGACCTTGGAATGCGATGAACCTGAAAAGGTACTATCACTGAAAAGGATCTAATCTGAGTATCTCCACCCCTCGAACTACGTTTAGGCTTGATCCTCCTTCCCTGGGGGTACGTAGGCAGCTCAACCACGAGTCCAGCCCCAATCCGAATTTACTTCGTTTTATTTGAGACGACCTCATTGGCCGGCCCTAAAACGGGCTCGATTTGTATCATCTCGAATATTATACTTAAATAAAATGTTTTCTATGTTTATCACTACGAATTGCTCGAATCAACTCAGCAAGTCCTTAAGAAATTCCGAATTACTTAAGCGTATCAATTTACGTCGAAAACGCCTGATCTTGCGTGACCTGAAAAGAAATCGAGCTCTTTCTCTCGTCTCAAAACAGATCGGAAGATCGAGATCACCTCGATATTCCCCTTTCGAACGAAGTGAGGTTCAGAGTCCACCTCTTTACCTTCAATTTCTTACTTCGCAAAAACCAATCGAAGTCCGCAGCGTCCAAGCATCCAGCGTAGTGTTCTAGCAATCGTAGAACCGAAGACCCAGAGACAGCCCGAAATCTAACACGAAGCCGAGCCATCCAGACGGACCTGAAGTTCACGATTAGCTCGGAACACTATCGGCGAAGCGACAAAACCAAGACGAACTTCGAAAGGTAATAAATTCCATCTCCAAAAGCCGAATAAGAAACACCTCGATCGAAAGACGGGAAAACAACTCCGCAAAGCGCGAGCTACATCAGTTCGCCAAAGAGCTCGAAAAAGAATAAACACCACGTTTAGCTCGATCCGTGCGATCGACGAAAATCGGTAAAATTCGCCTAAGTGTTGAATCGATCTAATCGTCCCGAATTGGACTTGATTCGACCTAAAACTATGTTTAGCTCGTTCCACGCGATCAGCCAAAACTAGTAAAATTTCGCCTAAGTGTTGAATCGATCTAATCGTCTGGACTCGATTCGACCTAAAACTATGTTTAGCTCGACATACGATCGGCCAAAACTAGTAAAAATATTCTAAGTGTTGAATCAACCTAAACGGATCGATTCGACCTCCGACTAAAGTACATCTTGGCCCTGGTCTCTCGACCGGCCAAAACACTTAGTCAAAAAGCCTCAAAACATTTTGGCAAGTAAAAACGAGCTAAAATGAAAGTTGCAAAACAATTTGAGCAAAAGCGCCTAAGGCAAAACGCCTAAGGCCAAAACATTAAAAGCCCCCGCGGGCAAACGAGTTTGTGGATAAAAGCCTTCCCAGGCACCAAATCCGAAACATAAAGCGTAAAAACCCCGCCGGGCAACCAAGTCTTAAAATAAATTGAAAAAGGAGTAGAGATAGAAAGAGGTCGACCAAGAGCTCAGTCCTCGACGGTCATCTCTTCATCTTCCTTCTCTTCCTCCTCGTTGCTTCCCTTCTCTTCGGCATTCGTCCCGAACGGGTTCAAGCCAACCGGGATGCTCGTCGATGGGTCGATCTCCATGCGCGCGACCGAGTCCTCCGAAACCACGGGAAGGTTAAACTTCCCGATCGAGAAATCGGAGACTTGGGCCGCCTTGGCTGCTTCGGCCACCTCATCCTCGAGCCCCTTCAACCTGGCGAGCTCTTCCTCCTGGTTGATCGCACCGGAGATCAGCGACGTAAGGAGATCGATGTTGGATTGGAGTTCGATCTGATCGCCCTCCTTCTCACCTTCCACCCTCTTCTCCTCGAACTTTGCCTTAGCCGATTCAAGCACTTCCCGATGCTTCGCGACCATCTCCCTCCGACCTGCGCGGTTGGCACGGCGAGCTACTTGTCCTTCTCGGCGACGAGTACCTGGTTCTCCCGGCTAAGGCGAAGCGACTGCGTCAGCGCACTCGAGCTCTCCTTCTGCAAAGCCGCCATCTGCTCCTGATTCTGGGACAGCTGGCGCAAGAGATCGGCCTCCCTGGTCTCGAGCTCTTTCACACGACCCTCCTGCGAGGTGTGTTTCTTCAAGAGCTCACCCTGACGAGCTACCCGCTCGTTCGCCGCAGAGAGATCGGAGGTCAACTTGGCAACGAGCTCCTTCACCTGATCGAGCTCTTTCTGCTGAGGCGCGTCTCTGATCCTCGACTCCAGGCGGGACACCAACATGTTACGAGCTGCCACAGCCTAACAAAAACAAAAAATTCAACCAAGGCCAAAACACAACAAAGACTCTCGTCTAAAGTTTTGACTAGGGAAACAGTTCTACCCTCCCGCTCGCAGCGCACGTCGCGATGTAGAGCTCCTTCTCAGACATCTGGTTCAGGGACGGGAGCCGGCATCCGACGGGCTTGAAGTGGAGCTGAATGCGAGCTGTTCCCTCCTCGTCGTCCTGAACGGGGAAGCCTTTGGAGTTCTCGTACTGCCAGTAAACGGCGGCTTTCCCCCGCTCCCGTTCGAGGCAGTCGGGCCGCCCTCGCGAGAACGAGCCTCTCCATCGTCACTCCGAGCTCGCTTCGACGCCTGCCTCGAGTGACCTTGATCCGAGTCCGATCGAACCGTACTCGGGAGAGGGAACGACCTCTCCTTCCGGTCGCGTCGACCTGGTCAACCACCTGGTCGGCAAGGGCAGAAGACCCCACCACGGGCTTCGAAGCCATGGCTTCCTCGGTTCTGAACCGTCCGATTCGAAAACATAATCATTTCGAATCTCGAAAATATGCGATATATATTATCGAGGAGCTCGGTTTGCGAGATTGCGGTGAGTTGACAAGATTTGCTCGTAATCTCGACTCAACGGCCAGATCTTATCTTCATCGCGAAGTAAAGAGAAATTAAAGGCCTAAGGCAATTTCCAACGACGAGATCCCCGCGATCTTTTACCCCGTTCAAACCGTTGCGGATAAGCTCGAATATACCCCGAATCGAGGAATTCGAATTAGCCCGGCAAAGTTTGAATTTTTGAAATTTAAAACAAACCGCCCGTTTTAAGTTCGAAACTCACTTAAAAGGGCTGGGGGGCAATTGTTGGACCCAGATTCCACACCTGGAATCTAGCCCGTAAGGGCCCATTACCTTGATCCAAGATTGAAGTCCAGGCCCACTCAAGCCCAGCAAGAAGACCTCGAGCCCACCAAGCAACTCCATCGTAAGCCAGTTAACTGCCATCTTAGCTATTCCGGTCGACGTAAAGATGAGCTCCAGCTCGATCAAGGACCAGGTCGGCACTACGAAGAAAGACGAAGTCAAAGAAGATCTCCTTCAAATCTGGTCTGGTCCGAGATCACCGGGATCGTTAGCTGCACGTGGCGAGATACGCGGAGGTGGATCGTAGCTACTTCTGGAGCTATAAAAGGAGCTTGAAGGCAGTCGGATCGGGGAACCTTCTTCCGATCATTGAGACCTAATTACTATCTTACTACCTTGTATTTTCCTTTGAGTTTAGTTCTTTCTCTCTTCTGAGAATTCATTGTAACCACTTTCATTCGAAATTTAAAGGTTTTGCAAGGCAGAAACTTAGGGCGATTTAGGGCTAGATTTTGATGTAAGTCGAATGAATTGTAAGCAAGGATTTGGCTAAAACGGATACTTGACTGAAAAATTACTATTGTAATTTCGTTTCTGCAGTTGTTTAGATTTCATGTTTCTGCAGTTGTTTAGATTTATGTTACTCTTAATCAGTTGATATAAAAGTCATGAACAAGGATGTATTGAAGACTGCATATTTACGAAAAGAGTAAAATTTAATTTCCAAGTTTTGTCACCTCTATGAACAGAGGAAAAGCTGCAAATGTTTACTTTCACGTGAAGGGTTCATCTTTTGTGGACTTTGGAAATATGTGTTTCCTTATTTTCATTTCCAAACGGTCAGATATATTAAATGTATGAAGAGTATATTTATTTTTCCTAACCGAAAAACAATGAAATGGTAACATAATTCGACATCCTATAAATAACTCAGCACTCTGTTTTTGTAGAACAGAGAATCACAACAAATCTTCAAAAATGGCAACTATATCGAAAATCAACGAACTTTCTCCTCATAGGAATGGTTGGACGATAAGAGTTAGAGTTTTGAAGAAATGGTCTGAGATGATAGATGGAGGTGGTGACATATTGCGTTTTCTTTTAGTAGATGATCACGTAAGTTTATTTATCTTCTTCATTCTTTTTTGTTAACATTTTGATTTATTCGGTATGATAGGAACTGCTATTAGTCGTTTTTATGTACTTTTAACAATAGAAATTGTTTATCGATAGGATGGAAAAATACCTGCCAAGGTCAGTCAAGAAAATGGTCTCTATGAGAATTTCGATGAACAGCTACACGAGGGCGACTGGAAAATCATCACTGATTTACCGTAGAGTTGTCACCTCCTGGATTTCGTTTTGCTATGAATCACCATACCATCATCTTCACAGGTAATACTAATCTGCAGAGGTCATGGGGTGTCATCACAGACCATTACATGAGTTTCAAGAACTTCCGGTCCATAATGAATGGAGTATATACTTCCAACTATCCAATTGGTATGTTTTTACTAACCGAGCAATTATTAATGTTCGTGAAAACTTATTATCTTGAAGTAGTAATCAATAGTCATATTCATATTTCATCAAAAAATATATAGATACACTCTAACTATTCTTTGAAATAGATCTCCTAGGCTATCTAGATGGCGTTGGTGAAATAGAAGTTGTGACAGACCACACCTTTACACTAGGTGATAACATGCAAACTTCAAGAGTAACATTCACGATCAAGGATCTTGAGTAAGTATAGTGGATAGAGTTCATGATTTTTTTACCTAGGTTTAAATGAGATTAAGTTGTAAATGCGACTTTTATCATCAACTTTATACTTTCCATCTTTAGAGGTCGCACACTGGAATGTGAAGCCAGGGGAGTTTTGGCTATCCAACTTTACAATAAATGGTGGAGGCATGGTGGAACCGAAACATTCATCACAATGAGTGATTGGATGGTTTACACGGACAGAGGTATGTATCACAGTTGCTTAGGAAGTTTTGCATCTGTATAGATGGAATGTTACATAAGATAGCATCTAGATAGAGTACAATCGACTATCAATGACTAGCTAAGTTTCCAACGTATAGGAACCAATGAGATGAAGATTAAGGATGCTGGAGGAATCTCTAGATTTGAGTTCAATGCCCTTTACCAGGATGTTTATGAGTTCAGGGCAGCATAGTAAGTGATGAATGTTTCAATTAGCATTAGACTCGAAATTTTTTCTCTGTAACTAATAAAACAACCTCTGTGCAGTTTTAATGAGAGCGACCCTACAAGGATAGAGAGTGATGGTTCAAGTGTTGAGCTGGATTGGTCTCCCTGAAAAATGTGTTTCACTTGGAGGGAAAATAAGTTGAACTTAAAGTCAACTTAGTGAACTGTTCTAGACCCGTGCTTCTATGCTGCCTATATTTAAATAATCTTTGGGGACTGTCGTTTGTTGTGTTTTCGTTGTCGTTTATAGACATTTTTACCTTAATTAAATCATCCGTATGGATGTTGTTAAAGTTTTTCTCTTCAATTTTGGCCCATTTTCAACAAAACTGAGTCCATTATCGGAGATATGGATCAGCTTAATAAATGTTTGTCTTTATATTTACTTTTTAACCTGTTATGCGAGTAGAATAAATTTTATTCATTACGAGTATTCAGTTAATTCATACCTTTCCCCTTTGCATGTTAGACCATAAAGAAAATCAGCTTTTCCTGTTTACATAGAGAAGACAAAACTGACAAACATTAGTCAATGCGAATCTATGACTGAAATATTTAGTTTACATAAAAAATTAAAATCATAACAAATATATTGCTGAAATATTTTGTTTACATAAAAATTAGGAGGCATAACAAAAAAGGGTAAAACCTAATTCTGGAATTATATAAGGGAGATGAATAGCTCTTTATGTATTAGGGTCTAAACGAAAACTTAAGAAAATCTTTCAGAACATGGCTAATTTTACTAGGATCGCCGAGCTTTCTCCTCATCGGAATGATTATATAATAAGAGTGAAGATTTTGAAAAAATGGAAGGAGATGATATTTGGAGGTGGAGACATATTGAGTTTTCTTTTAGTCGATGAACATGTAAGTTTAAGAATTCCTATTGTTTTTTAATCGTAGATAGGTCTAATGTTTTATCTATCTGGCTTACCTGGACTATCAACTAATTCAATTCTACTTTGTCAAATGAAAAGGGTGAAAAAATACCTGCTAAGGTTAGTCCGGAGATTGGCCTCAATGACGATTTCGACTTCAATCTGCACGAAGGCCACTGGATGATTATCTCAGGATTCATCGTTGAGTTAACACCACCTCCTTCACTTTTCTCTGAGAATAATCATACCATCATCTTCACCGAGGATACAGATCTGCATGTGTCAACTGGTGTTCATCAAGACCATTACATGGAGTTCAAGGACTACACAGATATAAAGAATGGAGTATACAACTCGCATCATCCTATCGGTAAGTGAATACGTCTCTACATTTTTAACTCGTGCAAATGAGACATATTGTATACTACTGTTAGACAAGCACATCTTTAATGGAGTTAGTCACAGACAATTTAACATTATGTTTTCAATGGAAACTAGATCTTATAGGTTATCTGGATGACGTTGAAGAGATAAGAACAGTGAAGGACCACAACTTTAGACTAGCTCCTGGCAAGAAGACTTCTAGAGTCATGTTCACGATAAAGGGCTTAGAGTAAGTGAAGCAAAATTGTCTGTGACTTAATTCAGACTTCTACCCGTTATGATATATTTCGTTTTTTGAGACTAAACTGTTTTTTAACATATTGAATTTAGTGGTGTAACACTGGAATGCAAAGCTTATGGAGTCTTGGCGGATCAGCTATATGATAAATGGTGGTATCATGGTACAACAGAAACATTCATCACAATGAGCGACTGGATGGTTTACGGAGAACAAAGTATGCAATCTTTTAATTTCATCATTTCGAAATAGTTACTACAATGAAAGTGTCTACAACTTCATTACTTGCGATCAACTGTTAAAATAAATGATAGGAACCGGTGAGCTGAAGATTAAGGACGCAGGAGGAATATCTAGATTTGAGTTCAATGCTGATTATCAGGATGTTTATGATTTCAGCGCTGAATAGTAAGTTAGAAATCTATTTACAATATCTTTACATTCCTTAATTTTTGGTTGTTAACATTCATCGTAACTAATACAAATTATGCTAAACATATTTTTTTTGCAGTTTCAATGACAGTGATGGCTCTGTTGAGGAGGTGGTAGTAGTATCTCCATGAAATACTACTTTGTTAGTATGAATTTCCATAAGAGATTGTTGCCATGTTGTTTTTGAACTATTGACTGTTTCAGTTTATGCTTGATTCACAATTCTATCTATGAACTATCTACTATCATCTTTGAATCTGTTTCTTCTATCTTTAAACTATCTCCTTCCTATATTTGAATCTGTTCTTCTATAACCATATCTGAGTGATTTTACATGCACTATTTCGTATATGCAATCATCATTATATTAATAGAGTGTCAAATCCCTAAAGATCTATTTAATATATAAATGATATTATATTAACTATGACATTAAATCCGGAAAGTTTGGTAAAGAAGATTCGGGAAAATAGCCATAGATATAATCATTGTTACCAGAATTTAAAAATGTTAAAAATATATAAAATTAAAAAATAAAGGAAATGAAAAAATTTGACCATTGCGTCGTTTAGTAATATCAACCGTCCCAATCAAAGACAACCCTAATTTGTTTCCCTATATAAGGAGAGTGTTCTCCGAACTTATGTTCCAGAGTAGAAAACTAAGAACTCCATATCTAGAAAATATCTTCAATGGCAAACTTCACCAGACTCAACGTGTTGACACCTAACCGTTCTGATTGGAGGGTTTTGGTTAGAGTTGAAAAGATGTGGGATACCTTGGAGGCAGATGTTGGTGAAGGTCTAAGCTTTCTTTTTGTGGATGAAACGGTTTGTTCTCAATCTATTCATATTCATATTTTCTCATATACAAGTTCTTTATGTTCCAAAATCATGTTCCTAATTGAAGTTTACAACTCTAACAGGGCACAAAGATGCATGCTTTTGTTGAACAAAGTAATCAGAGGAAAAGGTTCAAGAGATGTCTTCATGAAGGGGAGTGGAAGATTCTAACCGGATTTTCCGTGGTGATGGTGAATACAGAGATCCGTTTGACGGAAGCCAGAAACAAGATTGCTCTCACGTCCAACACCAGCGTCACACCCGCAGAGGACTCGGATGCTTGGATTCCGCTTGACATCGTTCCTTACGACTATGTTTCGAATTTTTGGAATGATGAACGAACTTCTTTCCCTAGAGGTTAGTTTTTCTTACTTAACATTTTGTATCATCTAAACGAGGAACCCTATAGGAAATAGCTTTCAATATGTTAATGTTATTTGGCATTTTTTTGTAGACTTTCTAGGGTTTATACTTGAAGTTCGTGAGACAATGCTCAGGGAAGATGTCTCTATTCCTAGGAACCCTTTAAACGATGATCCAAAGACCACTAACACAATAGATTTCACCCTACAGGACAACGAGTAAGTATATTTACACAAAACTAAATTGGAATAAGTTATGTATCGTTTCTGAATTCTAACCTGAAATACATACACTATTTGTGGCTACTTTAGTGGGGATCAAATACAGTGTCGTGTAAAGGGTGCCTTAGCATCTAAGTTTAAACGGTTTTGGCTTTACTATGGTAAAATTGAGACCATCGTATGCCTCTTAACCGATTGGCGGGTTCTTGAAGATGCCGGTTAGTGTATGAAAATTTCCAGTTACATCCTTGCTTGAATAATACTAATTTATTTATCTTATTTATCTTGATGGGATGTTATAACTTATATGTGTAGATCCTGCTCATATCGAAAGTGAAGAAGGAATCTCTAGATTTGAATTCAATCCTATTGGCTTTGATGAGGTTGACCATTTCACTGAGATAATGTAAGTATTCTACCTATGACTCTCTCTGATAACAAGAATTATGAAAAGGCTTAAAACTTGAGTATTACAGCTTAATAAAACTAATGTGTCTATGCAGGTGCTCTTCCTCACAAGACAGCAGCAAAGAAGAAGTTGAAGAAATGGAATTTGATTATTTCAATGGCTGTAGAACCGACAACAAAAGTTGATGGACTTCAGGATATGCTCAAGCAAAATGTCGGAAGATATTTTAAGATCATGCATGTCGTCTACTTTTCTTTATGCAACTTATCTAAGACAACTATATATTAAACCTTTGTTTCATGTTTGGGAACCTTTGTAAACTTTTCTGGCTTCTATTTAACTATGTTTGATTTAATTTGTTCATAGCCTTTTCTAATAACATAACAATAGGTCACAACTAAAAATGAAACAAACAGGAAAACACGGATTGCAAAGGATTGAAAAACAACAAACATTTACCTTAGTATATTTTGCATAGTAGTTCTTTTATATTGAAGAACAATGTTTCCTTTTCAATCCTCTTCACAAATGATTCCTACACAATGTTCAACTGTAAAAAATGTAATAAATGACAACCATCATAACTAAATCAATAATATAAAAACAAAGTTTACATATGTATAAAAACAAAGTTTACATATGAGAACTTATCTTAATATCGACTGACATACATCTATTCGAATATGTAATGATTCCCTGGCCGGTTACGTAGCAACCGCAACTTAATGAATACTCCTTTTCTGAAAATATCCGTATATTCAGTGAATTATCACAGGAAAATATTTAATCTTCAGAAAATCTTCAGGAAATATTTAAGAATCCATGATTAAATGCAACCGTCCACATAAACGCAACCCTAAAAAGAAAATCATATATAAGCGGAATAATTCATCCGATTTCAATCAAAACTCTGTAAAGAAGAAAAGAAACATAAAAACACTACAAGAATATTGGGCTTTAATAGCAGACGAATATAGCGTTTTTCACAATTGTGATATGTTTGACTGACTCGTTTTTTTCAATAGCGTTTATTTTATTGTAAACGCTACGATATAGTGGCACATGACAAAATTTATTTTGCCGCATCATTTATGTGTGACTTATTAGTCTGTTATAGCAGACTTATATTGAAAACGCTATTTTATGGTTAGGCGGAAAAATACATTTTTTTTCCCTCCACACTTAGTGAAAATTAAGCCCCGAAACGACTAACATTATCTGAGGATTACTTTCTCTTTTCCCCCTTTCCATCTAAAATTAGGGTTCATACAATCTACGCAAGATTCGATTCAATTTTTCAGAAACCACGGCAATTGCTGCTTTGATTCTCATACCCTCTCTCATTCAACCGAAACCCATATTGTATTCGATCTCTCATTATCGTTCTACAGAATCTCTGTATTCGTTCGATCAATCACACCATCTTTCAATTTCTCAGTCACCATTCTACTTTCCGGCGGCCCAGGCATAGAAACCCTGTGTGATTCCCATAAATCGAAGGTGATATTTGTATATATTTAAGCATGTGTTATTTGTACTGAATCAGAGTTTAAGCATGATGAATTGAGATACCAGTTGTTAGTTGTTTTGCAGGAAGGTTCGTTTAATCTAGACTGCTTGACTTATAGGTATTATTCAAGTGTTTCTCTACATATTTGGTTTTCATTTCTCGATTTCTGATTAATGTTTGCCTGATTCAAATCGATTAATTTGTTCTATTTCTTGTCTTTTCTTCTTCGAAATCAGGAGAGAAGTTTGAACTCAACACTTGTCAGGTATATTAATAACTAAGATTTACTTCTCAGTTTACACTGTTGTTCTGCGAAATTAACGTGGATTAATGTGAATGTATGTTTGAAATTTTGTATGTTCATTTCTTTGTGAGCTCTTGTACTTGCTCTTGAACCATGGATAAAGCTTGGGTCTGGTTGCCAAGGTATGAGTTTTTCGTATGTCTATGTTCTTACATCTTCTGCTACTCTTTAATTACATATTGGTGATAACTGGACATTTTATTTCGAAATGAATTTCCAGGGCTAGTCTTGAGTATGAACAAGGGGCAACTACATTTGTGTATGACTCAGCAAGGAAACTGGGTAATGTTGCTCACATGTTCTGTCCGTGTATTGATTGCCGGAATGTTTGCCATCAACCGAATGGGACAGTGTTGGATCATCTGGTCATAAAGGGTATGGATCAGAAGTATAAAAGGAATAAATGTTGGAGTAAGCATGGAGATATAAGGGCAGACAAGGCATTGAGCTTCAGACAAGTGAATCTGATGCATACAACTTGATAAGGACTGCATTTTTAGCGAGTGAATGTAATGAAGCTTTGTCTACGGGTCAGAATGGAGACCAGTCTGGATGTGATGACAATGGTGAAGAATCTGAGTTTAGGAAAAAGTTGGAGGATGCTGAAACTCCACTTGATCCGTCGTGTCTCAACTACACGAAGGTTTCTGCACTTATGGGACTTTACCGCATCAAAGTGAAGAGTGGTATGTCAGAGAACTTCTTCGACCAGCTTCTGATGCTAGTTCATGACATGCTACCTGAGAACAACGTGCTTCCTAAGTCGACTGATGAGATGAAGAAGTTCTTGAAGGTTTTTGGTTTTGGTTATGATCTCATTCATGCCTGCAAGAATGACTGCATCCTTTTTCGGAAAGAGTATGAGGATCTGGTCAGTTGTCCGAGGTGTAAGGGTTCAAGATGGGAAAGAGACAAGCACACTGGTGAGGAGAAAAAAGGGATCCCTGCAAAATTCTTAAGGTATTTTCCCATCAAAGACAGATTTAAAAGGATGTATAGGTCGAAACGATTAGCTGAGGAGTTGCGTTGGCATTTCACTAATGCTACTGAAGATGGTACAATGAGGCATCCTGTTGACTCATTGACTTGGGTTCAAGTGAACGACAAATGGCCAGAGTTTGCAGATGAAGCGAGAAACCTGAGACTAGGTCTCTCTACTGATGGGATGAATCCTTTCTCCATTCAGAACACCAAGTACAGTACATGGCCGGTTTTGCTTGTGAATTACAATATGGCTCCAACGAAATGTATGAAGGCGGAGAATATGATGCTGACTATGTTGATTCCCGGACCAACAGCACCAAGCAATAACATAGACGTCTACTTACAGCCACTGATAGACGATCTCAAAGATTTATGGAATGAAGGTATGGAAGTTTATGATGCATTTTTGAAAGAGAGATTTACACTTAAAGCTATGTTGTTGTGGAGCATCACTGTTTATCCCGCCTTAGGAACATTGGCTGGATGCAAGGTGAAAGGAAAACAAGCCTGTAATGTATGTGGGAAAGATACACCACATAGGTGGTTGAAGTTTAGTAGGAAACACATGTATATGAGCAATAGGAAAAGACTACAGCCTGGTCATCCTCTCAGACGCAGAAGAAGCTGGTTTGACAATACGGTTGAGACTGGTTCTGCAAATAGGATCCAAAGTGGAGTTCAGATACATGAAATGTTGAAAGACTTCAATAATGATTTTGGGATTCCTCTGAGTAAGAAAAGTAAGAGAAAAAGAGCAGAGATAAGCAACGATGAGGAGATTCAACAAGAAGAAGAACTTGGGGAGGAATCTGATCTATTGTAAGTATGTGCAATAATACTTACAATATTTTCTTTTGCGATTGCTTATGAGAAGTTTTTATAATAACAAATTCTCTAATATGTTGTATATGTTGTAGGATATGCCAGTGCGCCATAACATAGATGTAATGCATGTGGAGAAGAAAGTCTCTGATGCATTACTTTCTATTCTGATGCATAATGCTAAATCAAAGGATGGTTTGAAAGCAAGGAAGGATTTAGAAGATATGGGGATTAGAAGAACCTTACACTCTGAGGTTCGTGGGAAGAAAACATATTTGCCTCCAGCGTCATATTGGTTATCAAAGGCTGAGAAAATTAGATTCTGTAGGAGATTGTCTAAGTTCAGAGGTCCTGATGGGTACTGTGCGAATGTTGGTAATTGCGTTTCAGTAGAGCCTCCTGCAATTGGTAATATGAAGTCGCATGACCATCATGTGCTTATTCAGAACTTGTTTCATGTGGCATTGAGAGGATTACTGCATAAAGGACCGAGGATTGCAGTAAGTCGACTATGTAATTACTTCAATAGATTATGTCAGCGTGTTCTGGACCCAGAGATGTTGCTAGCCTTGGATTCTGAAATTGTGGAGACTTTGTGCCGTACTAGAGAGATTTTTTCCTCCTTCTCTCTTCGATATTATGTTCCACTTGCCACTGCATATGTCAAGAGAAGCAAGATTAGGTGGACCAGTACACTTTTGTTGGATGTATCCCTTTGAAAGGTATTATGAAGTTCTTATGTACTTTGAGTTTTGTTTGTGGTGGAAGAAATCAATAACTAATGTGTTCTTTGTCTGAGTTTGTAGGTACATGAAAACACTCAAGGCATATGTTAAAAATTTTGCAAGGCCAGAGGCGTGTATGCAGAGGGATATTTAGCTGGAGAATGCCTTGCATTTTGCCTAGAGTTTCTACAAAACTCTTTGCCAGTTCAAGACGTAGTAAACCGTAATGAAGACATTGACTCAGATCAACTCGCGCTTGAAGGCCGTCCTCTGCAGAAGGCTACTCAAGTTACACTTACTGATAAAGAGCGTGACATAGCACATCGGTATATTCTAATGAACACAGCAGTTATGGATCCTTATGTCGAGTAAGTACCTCTACTCTGCCTCTTACAACTACTATGTGTTTGTGTACATACTCTAAATTTTTCTTCAATCAGGCTCCATTAGGAAGAACTTCAGAATACATACGCTAAATGTGCTAAATACGAAACTGTTTTGTGGAAATATCACAACGAAAAAATTTGCAAAGTGGATAAGAGACAAGGTAACAAGTACGAAGAAACTAATGCAGTTGTGGTTACTGACTAATTTCTTGTACTTGTACTAATGAATATGCATCATTTTCATGTCATATACCCACTAATTCAAAGGATCATTCAACGAGGCTGAGATGGCTTGGTTTTGGACCAAGACATATTGCACAGACCTATAAGGGTTACATTATCAATGGACATCGGTTCCATATAGACGATGTCAAGCGGAAGACTCAGAACAGTGGGGTAACATATGAAGCATTCTCCATGTGTAGGTCTAGTGCTCGAGATTCTAGACACACCGCAGATATAGTAACTTTCTATGGAGTTGTGAAGGAGATCATACTGTTAGACTACCACATGTTCCAGGTTCCTCTATTTAGATATGTTTGGGCCAACAAAGGGAATGGAGTGAAAGAGGAGGAGGCGTTTACTTTAGTTAACCTATATATGAATCAGTCAGCATTTCTCCAAGATCCATATATCCTTGCATCACAAGCTAAACAAGTTTTCTACTCTAGAGAGGATGACACCTCTCCTTGGTACGTAGTTATGAGGACGCCACCAAGAGGTTATCACGAGCTATAGACAGAAGAAGAATTCATATCTGCCCCATTATCAGTTCAGGAATTTGAGGATAAAGAGAATGAGTCTGATGATGATGAGAGTTTATGTGCTAGAGATGATTGTGAAGGAGTCTTAGTAATGGATTAAGTTTCTTTTGGTTCTTATAAAATTGGTTATGTATGTTTCAGGTGAACAATGATGGGTAAAACTGGAACCCGTTTTAGTAAGCGCCAAGCAGGCATGGAGGTCATGCCTGTGTTAGCTAAAACCAAAACAAAGGACAGGCAGACTACTCAGACAGAGGATGCAATAAAAATGTAGTTTTATTGGATTTATAGTACTAAGAGTCTAAACAGGTGAAATGATGCATTTTGGAGCAAAACCGCAGGATTTGCACTTCAACCCGCTCCAACACCATATCAACTTTGAGAAGGCCTGAAACATAATCTACTCAATGGATTTCATCAAGACTGATTCCCTGCGTGTCATGAGTGAGTTAACTCTCCAACACAAGTGGATTGATATCATTTGGATGAGTAGAAATGAAGTTATGATCATATTAGTGAAGACTGGTCCAGACGGCTTAAACCGCGCAGCAAGGCCCAAAACCGCGCGCACCGGCTGACCGAGGAATTATCTTCCCACGGTCGACCTGCGTCCGAACTTCAATCCGTCCTGCCAGCACGGCACGAGCACGCATACCGACCTGGGAAGCAATAGCCCAGGGTCGACCTATCCAAGTCTCGCCACCATAAGCCGCGCACGACCACACCTCGAGAACAGGAAGGCATCGCCCCTTGTTCGTCCCGATCGCGCAACACAATCCGTGTCCCGTACACGATCACACCGTCCGACCAGAACATTCAAGCCAATAGCATCCGCCCGGCCGAACCCGACGAACGAACGAGAAATCCATCGGCCACGATCGTACCGATGGCCGATCATGACCCTATAGCCGTCCTAACGTCCCGACCGACCGTCCGAATGGTCCGGTCGACCCGAAGCCCGTTTCACACGTTTTCACTGTCCGACTTAACCTAATGCCGCCTCTGAAGACCTAGGACTATAAATACAACTTTTTAGCCTCTTGATCATGTCTGAGTAATCCACTAGTTAGGTTGTGAGATTTATCAACGAGTTCATGGTTTGATAGGTTGCTAGAAATGCTTAGGGTTTATCATATTAGATCTTCATCTTACTTGAATTCATTGCTGCTTCTTTTCTGATCAACTAGCATCAGATCTTAGGTTTCATATACATTCCAAAAGCTTGCTATATAACCGGAACTAAGTGTTTGGTGAGCAACATTTCATAGACTGCGAAAGTTGATCTATGCGGGGTTGTGAACAATTAGGTCTTGAACGAATTAATGCTTGATTTAACTATCTGAAGACATGCCAAAAGCTTAGCGATTAGATAAGTTAACAAAGGGGTCGGAGCCACGACAGTGGAAAGATTCTACCATCGTGATCTGAGTTCTAGATAGCGCGCAAAAACCCTAGTGAACCTTTCTATCATCTTGTCAACCTTGAATCTCCGCGAGTTTCTCATCGCCTAGCGTTTCGTCCTTATTGATTTCCTAAACCAGTTTAAATTACTTGCTTACTTCCTTAGTCACTTAAAAACCAACAAAACCCCAAATCATACTTTGTTATCTAGCTAAATTAGACTTGCAATACTCGTAGTATACTTATGCTCCTTGTGTTCGATAACCTATTACTACTTATGACACTGTGCACTTGCAGAATCAGGGCTAGGAATAGGTAAAACCTGATCCCCCATCAGATGTTCTGTTTGGTAGAACGCGACTGGAAATCGATCTAATAAATTATGCATTGAAGTATCAAAAACATGATCTATGAAGATCTATCCTTTGATAATACAATATACCATATATAACAACGAAAACCTTTTTCGAACGAAATGGGAAAGAGTATATTAACACTAATATGAGGTACACGATTTTAATACCAAATCCCGTAAAATGACATAAGTCAAACAAAACAAAACCACATTACACCAAATCGTATCAAAGGCATTTTTTTTGGTTCCTTGTATTCCGTATTACGACACAATAAGATTGAAACATAATAATATATCATTGCGAACCGAGTCCCGCCAAAATAAGATTTAACAAACTACGCAATATCATAAGAATATAATAAACACTCTCGTTTAATAATTAAAAAAATCCAAGCATAAAGCAAATGCGCCAAATAATCCAATATATGCATAATGCATCTTTCACATTCCTCGACGAACATCTCCGTGATCTCTTCCTTCCCAACCTTTATAAAATTTAACAATCATTAACAAAAATAACCAACATATAACCAAAAAATAAAGGACCAACAAACTGCTTACAAACCTTGACATAAACTCCTCCACTTCTTCAAAAGGTCGACTGAGCATCACACGAGTAGTTAAAGTCTCATATATAATTGTCTTACCTGTCAAAGAATTGATAGCTATTGGTCAGTATGTTAATCCGCAACACTTGTGTCATCATAACAAAAAAACTTTAGGAATATTAATACCTTTATAATAATCAACAATATCCCACCAAATCACACAAACAACAACACCACCCTTGACACGATTCCAAACATCAAAACTCGCAGCCATCGAACCCGATAACTCGCACTGAAGAAGCACACCATTGATTTTGGTGTACAGAATAAAATTAAAATCATAAGTACACAAAAACAACAGATACCAAATATCGATGTTTAAATAAACTATGAACCTTTTATCATGAATGTCAAACATTATGCTCTTATTTTCATGTCCACTTTCCTTGCCAAGACATGCAGCTGGATCAAATCTTCCAACACCAGCAACCTCACCAGTAAGATCTGGACAGCAGATAGGCATTCACAACATCGTGAAGTAACCAATAAATTGCACAATAGTTTAGCAAAAAGACCTAAACCATACAACAAACCCCACCGACTAAATAATTGTCATCAAGCCTACGATTAAGTATACGCTGAAACTCGACGAAGTAAAAAAAAGAAAAAACAACGATCACATTGTGTTGCAGTAACGAAGTAGCGTAAACACCAAGTCATTAATCTTTCGGGATCAATGAACTCGGAGACGAATCTACTTGAACTCGAGAGAGATTGCAAGAGATATCGATTTCCAAAGAGAAGATCTCTTAAGTTTTATAAATCAAAAGCTGTCTTACAATGAATCATAGCTTGGCTATTTATAATAAAAGAAGAGAAGAAACACCTTAAACCCTATTCTCTTCGTAGCTAAAGAAATAAGTAAAACTCTATAATAAATGGAAAACCATGAAGAAAAGGAAAAACGTGCAGCATACGTAAGTGTAGCAAATATACGCTACATCAGGTCGCCCGGGGTGATGAATAATTCGAGTCCGAATTCGCCATGTCGTCTTCAGGTAGATAAGGAAGCAAATGTTTGACATTAAAGACATCCGCCGTATGCATGTGAGGAGGAAGACGGAGACGATAAGCGTTGCTATTAATCTTCTCGAGAATCTCAAGGGGACCAACCTTACGAGGTTTAAGCTTGTTGTATTGACCCTGTGGAAAACGATCTTTTGTCAAAACAGCCCAAACTAGATCTCCGACATTAAGTTGGACCTCTCGGCGATGAACATCCACTGCTGCTTTATACTTTTCTACAGCTTTCTCCAAATTTGCTTTGACCCGATGATGTAATGCGGTGAACTCTTCGACTGTGTCACAAGCACGAGCATGAAATCGATTCTTATCCGGTGGCATAGATAAGTCAACAGGAGCATGAGGCGGCACTCCATAGATCACTTGAAAAGGCCTCAACCCAGTACTACGATTCACAACATGAATATGAGCAAACTTGGCTTGGCAAATCACTTTATCCCATGTTCGTATGTTATCACCAACCAAGCTGCGAAGTAAATCTCTCAATGCACGATAAGTGACCTCCGTTTGCCCATCCGTTTGGGGATGATAAGCAGAACTCATGTCCAAAGAAGTCTTCAATAATCTCCACAACGAACGCCAAAAATGGCCCAAGAATCTCGAATCTCTATCCGGAACAATGGATATAGGAAGGCCGTGTAAACGGTAAATCTCTCGGAAAAAGAGGCCTGCAACTTGTAACGCATCAGTGGTTTTCTTACATGGTACAAAATTAGCCATTTTAGAAAACCGATCAACAATCACAAAGATCGAATCATGTCCTTGTTAAGTGCGAGGTAAGCCAAGAACGAAGTCCATGCTAATATATGTCCACGGTTGAGTAGGAATAGGTAGTGGCAAATAGAGACCAGCATTGTTAGCATGACCTTTAGATTTCTGGCACACAGTACAACGCGAGACGTAGCGTTCAACATCACATCTAAGATAAGGCCAGAAGTAGGAATTGGTCAAGAGCTGAAGAGTACGATCTCGACCAACATGTCCTTCATTGTGTTACTCACGGATCAGCTGGAGGCGGAAACTACAGTCTGGAATACACAACATGTTTCCTCGAAACAGAAACCCATCAAACACAAAGTAATATGAAATCGCACCTTGACATGCATCTGATGTAATTGCATTTTACATAGTTTTAGTACATCTTTTGTGCATCTTTTGCATAGTTTTAGCATCCATTAGCATCATATCTTGTTCCTTTTCCTTTCTTTTGCATTCATAGTAGTTTTAGGTTGCATTTGCATACATGTGCATGTTTGGTCCTTGAAATAGGTCTTTTGGAGCACTTTGGAGCATTTGAGACGTGAGGAGCAAGGAATGACTCGGTGCATGGACGCAGCACAACTGGACACACAAAGGACGAAGGAGGAAGTCATCTTGAAGACCAGCTCGACCACCTACTCGACCGGCCAAACTTCAACTCGATCGAGCTGAGAAGTCAACAGTCAAACCTGAAAATTGTTGCTTCCTCCTTGACTTCCCTTTGACCCTAAACCTCATCTCCTTTGTATTTAAAGGCTCTAAACCATGAAAAATCAACAACTTTTAGCTTATCTTTAATTTTAGCTTTCTCTTAATTTATTGTCTTTTACTTTTTAGCAACCCTAAACCTCTCTTTGTGTTCTTGAGCGTCATGCTCATAGAACCCTAGATCTTGGTTTATTTGCTTTGTATTTGCACTTTGCTATTTCAATAAAAGTTGTCCATCTTTATCTTATCTATCTTTTAATGTCTTCTTCATTGCATTTGATTGAGTTTTCATTCATGTGTAGTGAGTAGTTCCATTTAGGGTTTCAGATGGGCTAGATTAGGGGATCTTTATGCTTAATCCTTCTTGTTTATGTTCTTAATCTAGAAATCTCTCTCTTTTGGACAATCCTTAAGGCTACTGATGCGGCATCTATGGGATGAGTACAAGTAATAATTCCCTAAGACAACTAGTGTTGCAAGTGCACAACATATAATTGTAGTATTTAGGGGTCGAACCACAAGGGATTGGATTTCACACATTACATAATCATAGAGTTCAAATGATCTAAGCTAAATCAAAAGATGCAAGGGTTTGTGTTTGTTAGAACACAAAAGAAATAACAATGCAATTCTATACAAGCAACATTATTGAACTATTGAAAACTCTTTGAAAACATGAGCCAAGTCGATTGAAAAGTTTGTTAAAATCCGATTCTTTTGAACTCAAAACACTAAGGAAGGATTATTCCACTTTCGTGGTTCCAATCCCCTATGTCTCTTAAACCAATGGGCTCAGCTTTCGTTGGTCATTGTAGAGTGAGACATGCATTACACCAAGTAATGATTGTTCACAAAACTCTTTAGGTCTACTTTCGTAGCCTAAAACGATTTGCCCATCAAATACTATATCCGGAGATATAACAAGCTTTTGGAGAGTATATCAACCTAAAATCAAGTCACTAGTTAGCTACTCTAGCAACAAGCATTAAGCATAAATAAAGATGGAGAACCATAGGGTTTCCCCTTTTAACAATCGATTTTCGATGGCCATTATATCACGTCCTCATTGGAAGGATCCATAATTCAACAATGAGTCTTAGATAGTAGATGAAGTCTCATGAATCCTTAGAGAGAGGCGGGAATATGAGTCTAAACCGCACCTCACCCTTAGGGAGAAATCTCTACTTCTAGACTATATAAATTGAAACATGCAAGCTATATACAAATGCAAAAGAAGAAAAGAAAGAAGAAGGAGACCACCTAAGTGGCTCCGAACTTTATTGAATAAGTGTTCTTGTTATGCGGCTGGTGATTCTATTACAAGAGGCTAAAAGCAAGTATATATAGGTAGAGAGCGGGTCTAGGTCGGCAAAGTTGAGCGCGCGCAGAAGAGGAAAGTTTCCATTTCTCTTTAGCCGCTTGAGCTTGCTCTCCAAGTTCTTGAATGGGCCGCGTTCAGGCCAATGGAAGCTTCTGGATTGAGTTATCTAGTGTCAAGATGAGCCAAGGCCTTGGGCGCGGTATCTCGGGCCTCTTGATCCATCAAAGTCTCCATGGGCTCTACTTAGGCGCTCGTCGGACATGTCTTGGTAGAAAATAAGTTCCGGTCCAACGAGTGATCCAAATGACCTCTTTCCACTTCGCGGTCATGACTCAAATATCTATCTTTCCATATAAGAATCATGACTTTTGGACGTCGGGAAGGCATGAATATGCGGTCGTACTTCGGATGCTCCGGTTTGGTCTTTAGCGAGAAATATAGATTTGGTGCTCTAGACTTGGGAACTTGGTGATTTGACTCCTTTTTGCTCCATTTTGACTCTTCTTTGCTATTTTGACCTGAATGATGCTCAAAACCAGAATATACAAGAAAACTACCTCTTGGGCATAAAAACCACATTATTTGTATTAAAAACATAGTGAAAACCTTGGTAAAAACATGAAAGATATGGATATATCAGCTACATGACCACTACCCCTGACTTGTATGTCATTAGGCGATTCTCCACATGGAAATGATGGAAATCGTTGGAAAAGGTCCACTAAGAGCTCCAATAACTCTTGCTCTCGAAATGGAGTTCATAGGGGTTGGATGGATTAGTTTCTTGTGATTGCATATCCAGTAAGTACTATCATCTTACTTACTGTCTGCTTGAATTTCTTGTAATTGCATATCCTCATAGAGTAATAATTTCACCCTTATGGATTGATACCCCTTATACTTCAATGACTATGATGGTTAAGGGGAATTGATTGATTGTGATTGTGTTTTGCATCATACCACCTCATCTTCATATACCAATGTTGCATTCCACCTCATTTACATTTCATACCATATCATCACATCACATACAAAAATCCTATCATCAATTTGGCGCCGTTGCCATTTCGGTTGAATATTGTTGCATTTGAGTTTCCAATACACTTGGACGATCAAGCTATCCCACCCATGTTCTTTGTATTGCTGGGTTTTTGATTCTTTTTGTAGGTATATGCGAACTCGATCGAGTCGAACAACAGAAGACTTGGTCGAGCTAGATTTCACCACAGGTAGAAAGAGAAGTCAGATAACTCAGAGGGTACAAGAGGAACCTGAGGTGCTTGTTACTGATACAATGGATGTACCAGAGGGTAATGGAAACCCTTTGGGCAATGGACTCGGTCGAGCTAGGCAACCTCGACCGATTGGTCTAGGAGATGCTCCAAACCGCCATCAACAAAGACAAGGGATTGTCCCACCACCTGTTCAGAACCACAACTTTGAGATCAAGCTGGGAATGATCAACCTTGTGCAGAACAAGATGTTCCATGGATTGCCAAGTGAAGACCCCATTGATCACCTTGATGAGCTTGATAGGTTATGTGATTTGACATTGATCAATGGTATCTCTGAAGATGCCATCAAGCTGAGACTCTTCCCCATGTCTCTTGCTGACAAAGCTCACCAATGGGAGAAGAACTTGCCCCATGGCACAATCTCCACCGGTCTCACAGCCAAGCTAAGGAGTGAGATCTCGAGCTTCATACAGAGAAGCTTCATACAGAGGAACAATGAGACTTTTGCTGAGGCTTGGGAGAGGTTCAAAGGGTACACAAGTCAGTGCCCCCATCATGGCTTCAACAATGAGTCTTTGCTATCTACTTTTTATAGAGGTTGTTTGGCAAGATATAGAGAGATGTTGGACACAGCCAGCAATGGGAACTTCCTTAATCAGAATGTTGATGATGGTTGGCAGCTTGTGGAAAACATGGCCATTTCAACTGAATGCTATGGAGAGCATTATGACAGTACAGACTGGAGCTCGACCGCGCACTCGATCGAGCTGGAAGCACAGATGAGAAAAGACATGCTTGCACTCAATTCAAAGTTGGACAAACTGATCCTGGCTCAATTCCCTGCTAAGCATGTCAATTCTGTCTCTGGAAAAACTCTAGTTAAGGATCAGGAAGGGGAGGAGACCCAACATGAGGTTTGCTATATTCAAAATAGACAAGGAGGCTATAGGAATCCTCAGCAAGGACATCAAGTCAACTATGGCCAACAAGGGACATACACTAGCTATCCAACCACCTTGCCGCAACAACAACCTAGTGTCCCACCAGGCTTCATCTAAAGGTCTAATCATACCCAACCAAGTCAAGATTGGGATATGAAGGAAATGCTCCAACAACTCTTACAAGGGCAAGCCAAAGGTTCACTGGAAATGAACCACAAGTTGGTTGAGATAAACTCCAAAATTGAGTCATTAACTTCAAGAGTCCAAATCATTGAGTCTTCTAGTGCTCATCCTCTTCACCTCAAGAGTATTGATGTACTTGCATTTTACATAGTTTTAGTACATCTTTTATGCATCTTTTGCATAGTTTTAGTTCCATTAGCATCATATCTTGTTCCTTTTCTCTTCTTATGCATTCATAGTAGTTTTAGGTTGCATTTGCATACATATGCATGTTTGGTCCTTTGAAATAGGTCTTTTGGAGCATTCTGGAGCATATGGGATAAGGAGCATGGAGGGACTTGGGCATGGACGCAGCTCAACTGGATACGCAAAGGAAGAAGGAGGAAGCCATCTTGAAGACCAGCTCGACCACCTACTCGACCAACCGGTCGAGTTCCTCAACTCGACCGGCCAAGCTTCAACTCGATCGAGCTGAGAAGTCAAAGTCAAACCCGAAAAATGTTGCTTCCCCCTTGACTTTCCTTTGACCCTAAACCTAAATCCTCTTGTATTTAAAGGCTCTAAGCCACGAAAAAAACCAAGCTTTAGATTATTTTGTTTTAGTTTCTTTTAATTTATTGTCTTTTACTTTTTAGCAACCCTAATCCCATCTTTGTGTTCTTGAAGCTCTTGCTTCTTGAATCCTAGATCCTGGATATCTTTTGTATTTGCACTTGCTTATTTCAATAAAAGTTGTTTATCTTTCATCTCCTCTTTCTTATGATGTCTTTTCATTGCATTTGCTTGTGTTTACATTCATGTGTAGTGAGTAGTTACCCATTAGGGTTTGAGATGGGATAGATTAGAGGTTTTATGCTTAATCCTTCTTGCTTATGGTCTTAATCTAGATCTCTCTCTTTTGGATAATCTTAAGGCTACATGACCACTACCCCTGGCTTGTATGTCCTTAGGCGATTCTCCACATGGAAGTGATGGAAATCGCTGGAAAAGTCCACTAAGAGCTCCAATACTCTTGCTCTCGAAATGGAGGTCTAAGGGGTTGGATGGATTAGTTTGGCAATGATCCTATGGCCTCCAAGGTTTGATTCTCACTGGCTAACCCCCTGTTTCTGAGATCATTCCTTGGTTGATAGCTTTCACCTTGGGAAAGGGTTAGCTAGGCATTGAGAAGCTCAATATCAAGAGAACCTTGATACAAGTTTTAAGAGCAAGATTGATTAAGTATAGATTCCTCTGATTGTAAACCCTGTCTTAGACCCTAATTCTCGCATTAGCTTGTTAAAGTCTGCCTTTAGCTTTTTCTCAACTCGACCCTAAACTCGATCGAGCTGGTACTCTGTTCCCACTCGACTCGAGTCCTTGGTCGAGCTGCTTTGTTTACTTTTATTGCACTGTTTCATTTAGGTTGTTAGTGTTACCACCTTATCTTTACTGCTTGCTTGACTTCCTGGTTGTTTCATATTCTCATAGAGTGACAATTTCCCATTTTGGATTGATAACCCTTATACTTAATGACTATGATGGTTAAGGGAATTGTTGACTGTGTTTGTGTTTGCATCTTACCACCTCATCTTATATACCACTGTTGCATTCCACCACATTTCATTCATATCTTTCACACACACACAAATCCTATCATCAATTTGGCGCCGTTGCCGATTTGGGGATATTTTTGTTGCATTTGAGTTTCAAATACACTTGGACGATCAAGCTATACCACCCCTGTTCTATTGTACTGCTGGGTTTTTGTCTCTTTTTGCAGGTGTATGCGAACTCGATCGAGTCGGTCTACAGAAGACTTGGTCGAGCTAGACTTACAACGGGTAGAAAGAGGTTCAGAGGTCACAGAGGGTACAAGAGGAACCTGAGGTGCTTGTTGCTGATACAATGGATGTACCAGAGGGGAATGGAAACCCTTTGGGCAATGGACTCGGTCGAGCTAGGCAAACTCGACCGATTGGTCTAGGAGATGCTCCAAACCGCCACCAACAGAGACAAGGGATTGTTCCACCACCAGTGCAGAACCACAACTTTGAGATCAAGCTGGGAATGATCAACCTTGTCCAGAACAAGATGTTCCATGGATTGCCAAGTGAAGACCCCATTGACCACCTTGATGAGTTTGATAGGCTTTGTGATTTGACAAAGATCAATGGTGTCTCTGAAGATGCCATCAAGCTGAGACTCTTTCCTATGTCTCTAGCTGACAAAGCTCACCAATGGGAGAAGAGCTTGCCCCATGGCACAATCACCACTTGGGATGAATGCAAGAAGGCCTTTCTTGCTAAGTTTTTCTCCACCGGTCGCACAGCCAAGCTTAGAGGAGAGATATCCAGCTTCATCCAGCGAAACAATGAGACATTCGAGAGGCTTGGGAGAGGTTCAAACTACACAAGTCAGTGCCCACACCATGGATTCAACAATGAATCTCACTACTCTCCACTCTTTATAGAGGATGCTTGCCTAGGTATAGGGAGATGCTAGACACAGCTAGCAATGGGAACTTCCTCAACCAGGATGTAGATGATGGCTGGCAACTTGTGGAGAACATGCTAACTCAAATGGAAGCTATGGAGAAGAGTATGATCGCACCAACCGGAGCTCGACCCACCACTCGATCGAGTCAGACGAAAAGTTGAGAAAAGATGTTAAGGCATTGAATGAGAAGTTGGATAAGCTGATCCTAGCTCAGTCCACAATGAAGAAAGTCAACTTTGTGTCTGCTGAGGAGATGGAACCAGTCCAAGAAGGGGAGGATACACAATTTGCTGAGGTGTGCTACATGAGCAATGGGCAAGGAGGTTACAACAAAGGATACTATAATTACAAGTCCAACCCTGCCATGTCATACCGCAACACTGATGTTGCTAACCCTCAGGACCAAGTCTATCCTCAACAACAAGCAGCTCGATCGAGTCAAGCCACAACATGGGTATGGTCCAAAAGAACAATTACCAAGGACCCCAAGATGACGATATTGTTGCTACTGAGGCTCCTACTGTGGCCTTTCACACTTCACCAGTTGAGCTCACAGACCAAGCTCGATCGGCTGCTCGATCGACTCGAACTCTAGCTCGATCGAGTCAGACTTCATCAGACCTCAAGCTGATTTTGCTTGATCCTTACCAGCCAGTTGATACATCATCCGACCGCCTACTCAGTCAAAGCCATAAGGAAGTGATTCACAAGTTCAGGAAAGACCTAAGTGAGATTGGAGTTGAGTTGCTTTCTATGGAAAGCATGAGTGAGGCCTTTGAGCAAATGAAGTTGATTCAAGATGTTCTGGCTCACAAGGAAAAGGTTTATGAGCTGTCTACTCACCAAATCAACCTGCTTACTTCACCTACTTTCTTACCAAAGGTGAAGGATCAAGGGAAATTCACTCTCCCTTGTACACTTGGGCATATTGAGCTTGACAATGGCAGAAAAGATTGGCATTGCTGGAGCATTGCAGTGCCCTAGTACTTCAATTATGTTTGGAGATGCCACTTCCAAGTCTCCTCTTGGTGTTTCCAAGAACTATCACTTGAAAATTGGAGAATGCATCATCCAAACCGATCTTACTGTCATGGAGATGGAAGAAGCGAAAGATCTACCTCTGCTATTGGGAACCCCATTCCTTAGCACAGTTGGCGCTTCAATAGACTTTCACAAACAAGAAGTGATTCTTCACAAAGTGAATAGTTTGGTGTCCTATCGCTTACAGCCTAGAGGTTCAGACTTTTGTGCCACAATTGAAAGCACTACTCTCAGTTCCAAGCCTCTTGCAGTTACAAAGGTTGTGACGGAAAGGGTTGACAAAGAACCAAGAGTTGGGAAGGATAAGGTTGCGAAAGAAAAAAGAGTTGATAAGGGACCAAGGATTGAGAAGCCACGTCTTGAGAGGGCTAGAGTTGAGAGACCACGTTCTGAGACACCACGTCCTTGATGAGGAAAGCACCTTGTGTCCTTGATGAGGAAAGCCTCCAAGCTTTGTTGGATGAGCCACTAGGAAGCGCTCAAAAAGAAGGGGAGAATGCAGCCTCAAAGGCACTTGTGGGAGAGAAAAGAAAGAACCCATCAGCCCAGGTTTTCTCAACCAAGCCATCTCAGCTCACTATGACCTTGTTCCCCACCAAATTCGAAAATAGGAAAATTGAGTACAAGATAAGGTACAAGGGGAGATCAAGACCATTCTCTAGAGCCAAGGCTTTGGTCACTTCAGAGCAGTCCAAGGATCCAACCAAGCTATAAGAGCTTCTGTCTCAAGGCCTCACTATCACCCTTGATGGTGGGACTAGCTCAACCAATGCCTAAAAAGGTAAAGGTCAAGCTATGAGACCTTAAACAAGCTCACTTGGGAGGAAGTCCCATGACTATCCTTGTACATACTTTTATGCAATTCTCTATTTTAGTTTTGTGTCTTTAACCTTTCAATAAGTTAAGTTTAGTTGATAAAGGAGCCAGCTCGACCGACAGCTCGATCGAGCTAGAAACAAAGGCAACTCGATCGAGTTCCACAACTCGGCCAAGGTAAGTTTTCAAAATTCAAAATTTTCCAACCGTTTCCTTGGTCAAGGGGGGGGGGATCCCACAAGTTTATTTTGGTCCCCCACTTCCTGAAATTCAATAAGAAAAACCCTTGCCTTTCGTCCCCTCTTTAATTCACCTTTTAATCCCAACCACACATGTCAAACACTCCCTCTTCCCCATAACTCGATCGGGCCCCCTTCTCCCTCTCTCCCACACTCTAAATTTTCTGAAAATCATCCCTCTCTCTCATCACCACAAGAAAAATCCGAAATTCACTCTTTCTCTCTTAAGTTTTGCGATTCCTCTTGTTCATTATCTTGGTTTGCTTTGGTTCTAGCTACTGTATTTCAATCATCATTCAAGCAAGGTATGAACCCTAAAACCCCTTGAATCATTCATCTCGATTCCTTTCTATTGCTTGTTTTCTCTTTGATTTTTGTTGCATGTGTCCCTTGTGGGATTGTTATTGAGTAATTGCCTTCATATCCTTCTCTATAGTTTTGTGAATTTGCCTCACCTCACCTCTGTTTTGCCTTTAAACTTGTTGCATGTGCTTGAATCCTTTGAATTTGAGTTTGGTATTGGTTAAGATGCTTTTGTTTTCACTAGAATTGCTTATTGTTCCAAGTTCTCGATGTTCTTGGTTCGATTTGATTGTCTAGCATCCTTTCCAGCTCTTATTACTTGATGTAGGTTCGGTTTTACTCTGTTTTCACTTAGCTCAATCGAGTTTGTCACTTGAGTTTTTTGACTCGATCGAGCTGGGTGTCGAGCTGACCGAACCAGTGGTTCCAACTCTAATTCCTTGAGTTTTTGGTGAATTTCAGGGACTCAAATTCAAGGAGAAACAAGTTTAAGATGTTCAGAGGTGAAGGAAGCAAGGCATCGTTCACAAAGGAGGAGATAACAAGAGGAGCAAGGAGAATGCTAAAGACACTAACCAAGGAAGATGAGGAAGGGAGAAGAACCAAGAGGACTAATGACCCAATCAGCAGTGAGAGTGAATTAGGAGAATTCGAGATTGGGTTGAACCATGGAAGGGGAGAAAGTGATGACTCCTCAAATGAAGAAGGGGAAGAGGTTAATCAAGAGATAGAAGGAAGTGAGCATGAGAGCAATGAGAATGTACCCATGGAGGAGGCTGAGTCAGAGGAAGAGGAGCATGAGCTCCCTATGTACCAAGAGCACTACAATGCTCTCTTCTCCATGGACTTTGTGGAGACCAAGTACCCACATGATGACACAATGAGGGCTCTTGGGATCTTTGAGGATGTGGAGTTAGTCCTCAAGAACATGCGCTTGGGAAAATTCTTCTCTCATCGCATGGAGTCATACAAGGAGCTCACTTGTGACTTTTTGGCGTCGATGAGGTTTCACAAGTATGGTGAGCTCGATCGAGCTGAGTTGGACCTGGGGATGGATAACATTCTTGGCAAGAGGAGAAAGGAAGGTGATCACCTTCAGGCAGCTGAAGATCCTCTTTGGTTTTGCTTATGGAGAAGGAACCCATTGGGATATCAAGGAGAATGTGCTCCAAAGAGTGTGGGCTACAATTGCTGAGCCAGGATTCTCCTCTTCAAGATCCAAGGCTGCTCAGATAAGGAGCCCTGTGCTAAGATATGTACACAAGGCCCTTGCCAACACCTTCTTTGCAAGGAAGGCCACTGGNTGTTCAAGCACCTTGTGTCCTTGATGAGGAAAGCCTCCAAGCTTTGTTTGATGAGCCACTAGGAAGCGCTCAAAAAGAAGGGGAGGATGCAGCCTCAAAGGCACTTGTGGGAGAGAAAAGAAAGAACCCATCAGCTCAGGTTTCCTCAACCAAGCCATCTCAGCTCACTATGACCTTGTTCCCCACCAAATTCGAAAATAGGAAAATTGAGTACAAGATAAGGTACAAGGGGAGATCAAGACCATTCTCTAGAGCCAAGGCCTTGGTCACTTCAGAGCAGTCCAAGGATCCAACCAAGCTAAGGAGCTTCTGTCTCAAGTCCTCACTATCACCCTTGATGGTGGGACTAGCTCAACCAATGCCCAAATGCCTTAAACAAGCTCACTTGGGAGGAAGTCCCATGACTATCCTTGTACATACTTTTAAATGCTTTCTCTATTTTAGTTTTGTGTCTTTAACCTTTCAATAAGTTAAGTTTAGTTGATAAAGGAGCCAGCTCGACCGACAGCTCGATCGAGCTAGAAACAAAGGCAACTCGATCGAGTTCCACAACTCGGCCAAGGTAAGTTTTCAAAATTCAAAATTTTCCAACCGTTTCCTTGGTCAAGGGAGTGGGTCCCACAAGTTAATTTTGGTCCCCCACTTCCTGAAATCGATCAGAAAACCCTTGCCTTTTGTCCCCTCTTTAATTCACCTTTTAATCTCAACCACACATCTCAAACACTCCCTCTTCCCCATAACTCGATCGCCCCCTTCTCCCTCTCTCCCACACTCTAAATTTTCTGAAAATCATCCCTCTCTCTCATCACCACAAGAAAAATCCGAAATTCCTCTTTCTCTCTTAAGTTTTGCGATTCCTTTGTTCATTATCTTGGTTTGCTTTGGTTCTAGCTACTGTAGTTCAATCATCATTCAAGCAAGGTATGAACCCTAAAACCCCTTGAATCATTCATCTCGATTCCTTTCTATTGCTTGTTTTCTCTTTGATTTTTGTTGCATGTGTCCCTTGTGGGATTGTTATTGAGTAATTGCCTTCATATCCTTCTCTATAGTTTTGTGAATTTGCCTCACCTCACCTCTGTTTTGCCTTTAAACTTGTTGCATGTGCTTGAATCCTTTGAATTTGAGTTTGGTATTGGTTAAGATGCTTTTGTTTTCACTAGAATTGCTTATTGTTCCAAGTTCTCGATGTTCTTGGTTCGATTTGATTGTCTAGCATCCTTTCCAGCTCTTATTACTTGATGTAGGTTCGGTTTTACTCTGTTTTCACTTAGCTCAATCGAGTTTGTCACTTGAGTTTTTTGACTCGATCGAGCTGGGTGTCGAGCTGACCGAACCAGTGGTTCCAACTCTAATTCCTTGAGTTTTTGGTGAATTTCAGGGACTCAAATTCAAGGAGAAACAAGTTTAAGATGTTCAGAGGTGAAGGAAGCAAGGCATCGTTCACAAAGGAGGAGATAACAAGAGGAGCAAGGAGAATGCTAAAGACACTAACCAAGGAAGATGAGGAAGGGAGAAGAACCAAGAGGACTAATGACCCAATCAGCAGTGAGAGTGAATTAGGAGAATTCGAGATTGGGTTGAACCATGGAAGGGGAGAAAGTGATGACTCCTCAAATGAAGAAGGGAAGAGGTTAATCAAGAGATAGAAGGAAGTGAGCATGAGAGCAATGAGAATGTACCCATGGAGGAGGCTGAGTCAGAGGAAGAGGAGCATGAGCTCCCTATGTACCAAGAGCACTACAATGCTCTCTTCTCCATGGACTTTGTGGAGACCAAGTACCCACATGATGACACAATGAGGGCTCTTGGGATCTTTGAGGATGTGGAGTTAGTCCTCAAGAACATGCGCTTGGGAAAATTCTTCTCTCATCGCATGGAGTCATACAAGGAGCTCACTTGTGACTTTTTGGCGTCGATGAGGTTTCACAAGTATGGTGAGCTCGATCGAGCTGAGTTGGACCTGGGGATGGATAACATTCTTGGCAAGAGGAGAAAGGAAGGTGATCACCTTCAGGCAGCTGAAGATCCTCTTTGGTTTTGCTTATGGAGAAGGAACCCATTGGGATATCAAGGAGAATGTGCTCCAAAGAGTGTGGGCTACAATTGCTGAGCCAGGATTCTCCTCTTCAAGATCCAAGGCTGCTCAGATAAGGAGCCCTGTGCTAAGATATGTACACAAGGCCCTTGCCAACACCTTCTTTGCAAGGAAGGCCACTGGTACAATCAATGAGGGAGAAGTAAAAATCCTTGACATGGGGATTAAGCCCATCATCTCACGCACAAAGGATGGGAAGAAGATCAGAGGAGATAGGATCCACGCAGAGAATCTCATGCCCCTCCTTGAGCAGCTACTCTCCTAGAAGATAACCGCCTATAGCACTCGGTTTCAACAAGGAAGAAAGCTTAGTGGTGGAGAGGTCATTACACCAATCCTATGTGCAGCTGGGGTCCAATTAGACAAGAGGAGGTCAACTCCAGCTGGATGGATGGATATCAAGTTGATAGACCCCTGATTATAGATCGGCACTTTGAAGCAAGATTGGATGATGAAATGATGAAGGATGGAATGAAAACAAGATGGAATGGACTTGGGCGTTGTGGCAAGAAGATGGATGATCATGGTTAGTTTTAAATGCAGTTTTCCATTCATCACCTTCTTTTATCCTAATCTGATGATAACCACTTTTTAAATCAATTTTAGAGAAAATGCTAGAACCATGCAACTCATCAAGCATATTATCAAGTTTAGGGATAGGATGTCGATACTTTACAGTGATATTGTTGATGGCTCTGCAGTCCACACACATGCGCCAACTTCCATCTTTCTTGGGCACAAGAAGAACATGAACAGCACAAGGACTCATGCTTTCCCTGATGTGACCCTTATCCATAAGCTCATCAATTTGGCGCTGGAGTTCTTTGGTTTCCACAGGATTAGTTCTGTATGCTGGACGGTTTGGAAGAGTGGATCCAGGGACAAAGTCTATTTGATGCTCAATGCCCCTAACTGGTGGCAATCCCTTAGGACCATCTGGAAACACATCCTGGAAATCCTGTAAAAGTTTGGACATCTCACTCGGAATCTCCGGTGCATTGTCAATCAAAAGGTTAAATGATCCTTTAAAGATAAATAAAAGAAAAGGTTTATCAGAAGACATGGAACTCTTAACCTATTTGGATTTGACCAGATAGTTCAGGGACTTGCTTGGTTTAGTTGGTTCCTTCTTGGCTTGAGGTTTAGTCCTTTGGTCACTCAACTGAACTTGATCTTCATACACCTCTGATGATAGGATTTGTGTGTGGATGTGAATGATATGAATGAAGGATGATAAGATATGAGGTGGAATGCAAACAGGGGTGAATAAAGATGAAATGGTGCAATCACAATCAATCAATTCCTCTTAACCATCATAGTCATGTAGTATAAGAGGTTATCAATCCAAAATGGGAAACTTGTCACTCTATGAGAATATGAAACAACAAGAAAGTCAAGCAAGCAGTAATAGATTTGAAGTAACACTAACAACCTAAAAATGAAAATGCAATGCAATAAAATAAAGCAGTAGAGCAACAGCTCGACCAAGGACTCGAGTCGAGTGGAACAGAGTACCAGCTCGATCGAGTTTAGGGTCGAGTTGAAGAAAAAGCTAAAGGACGACTTTAACAAGCTAAAGAGAGAATTAGGGTTCAAGACAGGGTTTTGCAATCAAGGAATCTACACTTAATCAATCTGCTCTTAAAACTCCTTGTATCAAGGCTTCTCTTGATATTGGGCTTCTCAATGCCTAGCCAACCCTTTCCCAAGGTGAAGGCTATCAACCAAGGAATGATCTCAGAAACAGGGGGTTAGCCAGTGAGAATCAAACCTTGGAGGCCATAGGATCATTGCCCAAACTAATCCATCCAACCCCTTAGACCTCTATTTCTAGAGCAAGAGATATTGGAGCTCTTAGTGGATCTTTTCCAGCGAATGCCATCACTTTCGTGTGGGGATCCCTAAGGACTTACAAGCCAGGGGTAGTGGTCATGTAGCCTTAAGATCTATCCAAAAGAGAGAGAATCTAGATTAAGACCATAAGCTAGAAGGATTAAGCATATGAAACCTCTAATCTATCCCATCTCAAACCCTAATGGGTAACTACTCACTACACATGAATGTAAACACAAGCAAATGCAATAAAAGAGACATCATAAGAAAGAGGAGATGAAATTAAACAACTTTTATTGAAATAAGCAAGTGCAAATACAAAGAGATTATCCAGGATCTAGGATTCAAGAAGCAAGAGCTTCAAGAACACAAAGATGGGATTAGAGCTCTAAAAAGTAAAAGACAATAAATTAAAAAACTAAAACAAAAGTAATCTAAAGCTTGGTGGTTTTTTCGTGGCTTAGCCTTTAAATACAAGAGGATTAGGTTTAGGGTCAAAGGAAAGTCAAGGGGGAAGCAACATTTTTCGGGTTTGACTTTGACTTCTCAGCTCGATCGAGTTGAAGCTTGGCCGGTCGAGTTGAGGAACTCGACCGGTTGGTCGAGTAGACGGTCGAGCTGGTCTTCAAGATGGCTTCTCCCTTCTTCCTTTGCGTATCCAGTTGAGCTGCGTCCATGTGCCAAGTCCCTCCATGCTCCTCTGTCCCATATGCTCCAGAATGCTCCAAAAGACCTATTTCAAAGGACCAAACATGCATATGTATGCAAATGCAACCTAAAACTAACATGAATGCATAAGAAGAGAAAAGGAACAAGATATGATGCAAATGGATGCTAAAACTATGCAAAAGATGCATAAAAGATGTGCTAAAACTATGTAAAATGCAAGTACATCAACACCCCCAAACTTGAACTTTGCTTGCCCTCAAGCAAACAAATAGAACAAGAAAGAGATGAGGTTTGAAAAAAGCTGATTCAACACTTAAAAACATGTCCTCAAAAGCGATTTGCTAAATGTCCAACTTAGAGATTCTAGAATGCAACAAGGTGAGAGATATTCATTAAGATTTAACCATGCTTATCAACATCAATCCCACTTCACAGTCACTCAAACAATGCATTCAAATCAGCAAATCCCTTTAACATTCATTAAGCAAAAACAGTGAACCAAAAACATGCAAGATCAATCAACTCATTTGGTTTCAAGGGTTTATGGGTTAAGAGACAAAGAGGGTCTCTTTTGTATGGTGGTTTAGTAACAGGGATCTCTCAAGAAAGTGGCTTTGCTTTGGCAGAAGGCTAAGTGTTAGAACCAAAGATGATGCAAGAACAGCAGCTCGAGCCGCCTAATCCTAACTCGATCGAGTTCAACACTTAGAGCTTTTTAGAACAAAATCCTAACTACCCTTTTTGGCATTTCGCCTTTGAAACTGAGGAGCTTTGCTCACTTTTCTTTTAAGAACTTCCTAGGGAGAGGCTTCTTGAGGTAACATCTAGCGGTTTGGGATTTTCTAAACACTTAGGGAACTTTTCTTTCCTTTTTGACACTTGAGGCTTTGCCTTCTTTTCATTCTACTTAGAACCCTTTTTACTTCCTTTTTTAACTTCCCAAACCTTTACTAGACCCTTTTTAACACTGCCAACTCCCTGGACTTAACTAAACTCTTTTTCCTTTGGGTTTTTCCCAACTTTTACCACTTTTCTGGTTTTTACACCCAACTCGATCGAGCTCGAGTTGGCACCCCCAAACTTAGCCTGAAAACAATCCCAAGAGAACTAGACAACTAGAACTACTGCCCCTGCCGGTTTAAACACAACACCTTATGCTAAGCAAAGCCAAGAAAGGTTCTCACATTCGCACAAGAGATAAAATGGGGTTTGAAATGAAAAGGCTTAGGTTTAAGGTGTGGTAACTGTCTCAAAGATAGAGATCAGCTATCTGGACAAGCAAAAGGGATATGAAAAGTGTAAAGAATGTCCAGATATGTATGTGGTAGCCATGAGTTGAAATCAAATGCAAGCATTGGTAATTAAAGATCAAGTTATGGTTCAAATAGATAGGGAAATGCATCAAATCACAGCAATGGTTGAATGAGATGTGCATGCAGTGATATGATCAAGATAAACATGGTTCTTGCTGCTCAATCAATCTCACCCTAATGCACAAAAGAATCTAAAAACAGGGCACTCAAGAAATCGCAAAAGATGGACAAGTTTTCAAAGTCAAATCAACAATGCAAGTGAAAAATGCAATCCTAAACAAGTCTAACAAATATGAATGCAAAAAGATGAAAATATTTTTGGATTTTTTGAAAATTTTATGATTTTTTTGGTTTTTCTATGCAAAAGATAAATGAAAAACTAAGAACAAAGAAAACAAGGTTAAATCATCTCTTGAACCCTCCCCCAAACTTAAATCACACAGTCCCTTGTGTGAGAAAAATTTAGTGAAAGATTCAAGAGGGCAAAACCAAGAAAAACAAGAACAAAGCAAGAAAATATGAAATGGTATATACAAGGGTTGGTGTTTGGATACCTCAGTGCCCCCCAAAGAACTGGGAGGCAAGGTCGTGGTCTGGAGAGGGAGACGGCCATCAGGAGCACTCCACTCGACTGGGTTGCCTCACTCGATCGAGCTTGCTCTTGGCTCGATCGAGTTGTTCCTCGAGTTGGCCATTTCCTTCCTAAAACCTGCTCCTGCAAGACTTAGCCAAGAAAAAAGAGATAAAAGGATAAAGAAATATGTACAAGATAGACATGGGAATTCCTCCCAAGTGAGCTTGTTTTAGGTCTCATAGCTTGACCTTACCCCTTTTAGGCCGGGGTTGGATCTTCTAGAGGAGTGATGATCTCCTCTGTGGGGGTCATTCCTAGATATGGCTTGCATCTATGTCCATTCACTGTGAATTCCTTCCCCTCTTGATTGAGTAAAGTGAGGGATCCATAGGGTAGAACTTCGTGAATCTTGAATGGTCCCGCCCACTTTGACCTCAGCTTCCCGGGAAACAACCTTAGCTTGGAGTTATACAAGAGCACACTGTCCCCAACCTTGAAGTCCTTAAGGCGAATCAGTTTGTCGTGGGCTGCCTTGGTTCTCATCTTATAATCAGGAGTTCTCATAGGCATTCATTCTGATTTCTTCCAACTCAAACAAGTTCATTACCCTCCTTTCTTGTGCTGCCTTTATATCAAAGTTCAGCATCTTTACTGCCCATAAAGCCTTGTATTCGACCTCCACAGGTAAGTGGCAATCCTTTCCCATACAGCAAATTGAAAGGAGACCTTCCAATGGGGGTTTTGTAAGCTGTTCTATAAGCCCAAAGTGCTCATCAAGCCTTGCTGCCCAATCCTTTCCTAGTGAAGCTCACAGTCTTCTCAATATGGCCTTGATCTGTCTGTTGGAGACTTCAACTTGCCCACTGGTTTGAGGGTGGTAAGGGTGTAGCGACCTTGTGCTTGACTCCATAACTCTTCATCAACTTTCAAACACCTTGTTGATGAAATGGGAACCTCCATCCGAAATAACAACCCTTGGGATGCCATATCTTGGAAAGATGATGGTTCTGAAAGTTTGATAACAACCTTAGCATCACAGGTTGGGCAGGGGATGGCTTCAATCCATTTGGACACATAGTCTACAGCAACCAAAATGTAGTTGTGCCCGTTTGAGAAGGTTTGAAAGGTCCCATGAAGTCTATTCCCCATACATCAAAGATCTCAACTTCTAGAATTGGGTTTAGTGGCATTTCATCTCTCTTGGTGATCCCTCCTTTCCTTTGGCATGGATCACACTTGGCAATGTAGCTTGCTGCATCTTTAAACAAGTAGGCCACCATAAACCCAGATTGCAAAACCTTAGTTGCTGTTTTGAATGTAGCAAAGTGACCTCCATAAGCTGACCCATGGCAATGCTCTAGAACTCCTTGTACATCCTCTTCAGCTATGCATCTCCTGTAAATGCTGTCTGGTCCTCTCTTGTACAAGTAAGGCTCATCCCAATAGTAATGCCTAGCATCCTTGAAGAATTTCTTCCTCTTGTAAGCATCAAAGCTACTAGGGACTTCTCCGGACACCATGAAGTTCACTATATCAGCATACCATGGCAAATTCTCATCACGCAGAGCCTTAACTTCTTCCAGCCTGGCTTTCTCATCAAAACTCTCCTTCAAGATCATGATTGCCATAAGCTGTTCTTCAGGCATAGAATCATTGATGGGGATCATGTCTTCAACTCGCATCCTAGAGAGATGATCAGCAACTCCATTTTCTACTCCCTTTTTGTCCACAACTTCTATGTCAAACTCTTGAAGCAAAAGGATCCATCTGAGAAGTCTTGGCTTTGTATCTTTCTTAGCGAAGATGTGCCTAAGGGCAGCATGGTCAGTGTGCACAATCACCTTGGATCCAACTATATAGCTTCGAAACTTTCTCAAAGGCAAAGACTATGGCAAGGAGTTCCTTCTCTGTGGTTGCATACTTGCACTGAGCATCATCCATAGTCTTGCTTGCATAGTAGATGACATTGAGTTTCTTGTCTATCTTTTGGCCAAGCACTGCTCCTACTGCATAGTCAGATGCATCACACATAATCTCAAATGGGTGATCCCAGTTTGGAGCTTGAACTATTGGCGCAGATACCAGAGCATCCTTCAGCAAGGTCCAAGACTTGTGGCATTCTTCATCAAACTCAAAATCTGTCTCCTTGCACAGAAGCCTTGTCAAGGGTCTTGCTATCTTTGAGAAATCCTTGATGAATCTTCTGTAGAACCCTGCATGACCCAGAAAACTCCTTATGTCCTTCACAGTCTTGGGAACAGGGAGCTGCAACATGACATCCACCTTAGCTCGATCGAGCTCGATCCCTTTCTCGGAAATCTTGTGTCCAAGCACAATCCCTTCTCGAACCATGAAGTGGCACTTCTCCCAGTTGAGTACTAGATTGTCTCCTCACACCTCTGCAACACCCTGCACAAGTTAGACAAACATGAGGAGAAGGATGCTCCATAGACTGAGAAATCGTCCATGAAGACTTCTACCATCTCCTCTATCAGATCTGAAAAAATGGAGGTCATGCACCTCTGGAAAGTAGCTGGGGCATTGCACAGCCCAAATGGCATCCTTCGATAAGCAAAGGTGCCATAAGGGCATGTGAAAGTGGTCTTCTCCTGATCATTAGGGTGGATCGGGATTTGGAAGAAACCACTGTAGCCATCAAGAAAACAATAAAAAGGGTGGTTTGCCAATCTTTCTAACATCTGATCAATGAAAGGGAGAGGGAAATGATCCTTTCTAGATGCTGAATTTAACTTCCTATAGTCAATACACATGCGATGCCCCACTATTGTTCTAGTGGGAATCAGCTCCTCTTTGTCATTTTTAATGACAGTGATCCCCCCTTTCTTTGGGACGCAATGAACTGGAGATATCCAAGTGCTATCACTGATGGGATAGATTATCCCAGCATCAAGCAACTTGAGTATCTCTTTCTTCACTACTTCCTTTAGATTGGGGTTCAATCTCCTTTGAGGTTCAATGCTTGACTTACTTTCATCCTCTAGATGAATCCTATGGATGCATAGGTCAGGGGAGATCCCCTTGATATCATCTAGAGTGTAACCTATTGCCTTTCTGTACTTCCTCAATTCAACAAGCAAAGCACTCAACTGTTCAGGTTCCAAATCAGAGTTCACAATGACAGGGTAAGTTGAGTTTTCACCCAGAAATGCATACCTGAGGCCCTCAGGCAAAGGTTTGAGGTCGACTTTAGGCGCCTTGAGCTCAGACCAATCTCCTTGAGCTTGCTCCTTGCATTCAGTCCCCAGCTCGATCGAGTTCGTTTGTTCGAGCTCGACTCGATCGAGTCTTGATCGAGCTCACTGCCATGACTTCGCAAACTGGCCTGTCCAACCCTCAATGCTCAGAATGTTTGGAACTGGTCTGAAGGTGTCAAGGAGCTTCTTGTACTCATCAGTTTCTGAGCTCACATATCCTTCTGAAGAATCCTTGGTCAAAGCAACTTGTAGGGATCCTCTGTTGATAACTCTTCTAAAAGCTCATCTGCCAACTGATCCATTTCCTCAACATAAAAGAGCTGACCTTCTATAGTTGGTTTCCTCATTGTATCCTTGATATCAAACTTCATCTTAGGTCCTTTCCCAAGTTTAGCTCAATTGTTCCTTCACAGACATCTATCATTGCTCTTGCTGTAGCTAGGAATGGCCTTCCTAGTATCAATGGATCTGTTGGTTCCTCATCCATCTCAAGCACAATGAAGTCGGTGGGGATTTCTACATTCCCTATCCTCAAAGGCAGGTCTTCAAGCATCCCAGTTGGTAACCTTATCGATCTATCTGCCAAGACTAGTGAGATTCCGCAGGCTTGGTACTTGTGATATCCCAGTCTCTTTGCTACAGACAAAGGCATGAGGCTGACAGATGATCCTAGATCGCAGAGGCTGTTTTTGAAAGATAGGGGTCCCAACATGCAGGGCAAAGTGAAACTCCCCGGATCTTCCTTTTTGTCGGAGATGACCTTCCGCTGAATGATTGCACTGCACTCACGAGTCAACACTACCATCCCTTGTGCTTCCCTGGTTCTTTGCTGAACAGCATCCTTCAGAAATTTCTGATAAGGTGGAATGAGCATCAAGGCGTCGATGAAAGGCAACTTCAGCTCAAGCTGTCTCATTAGTTCATCAAACTTGGCCTTGTGTGCTTCCAACAGTTGTTTCTTGAACCTTCCTGGAAAGGGCAGAGGGGGTTTGTATGGTGGTGGTCCTGCTGGAGTGTCTTTCTTCTTTGCAACAGGTTTAGCTGGTTGGCTGGAGCTTGCTTTGTCTGTTCTCTTCTCAGCTCGATCGAGCTCTGGTTTGTCTTGCAGTCTCAGTTTCTCCAGCTCGATCGAGTTCTGGTTCAGGGTTTTGTTCCAGCTCGATCGAGTTGGTGCCGGATGTCAGCATACTCGACTAAATCCTCCCCTTCCTCGTCATCGATGTCCACAGCGATTTGGGGTGGGCTACCTCTGCTTGGAATTGTCGCCCACTTCTTAGTGTAACTGCTTGGGCATACTCTTGTGGTGAAGAGGATGATGCACTTGAAGACTCAATGATTTGGACTCTTGAAGTCAATGACTCTAGTTTAGAGTGTATCTCAACCAGCTTGTTGTTCATTTCCAGTGAACCTTTGGCTTGCCCTTGAAGGAGTTGTTGGAGCATTTCCTTCATATCCCAATCTTGGCTTGGTTGGGTATGGCATTGGTGAATCCTTGGTGGAAACTTGGGAGGTGCCTTGCTGGTTGGATCTGTGTGGATTGATTTGTAGCCGCATGCCTGGTTGTGTGACCATAGATGGTCCTTGTCTTTTTGAGTGCTTGTTGTTGTCTCCTCCCCTTCCTGGTCCTTGACTAGGTTTGTTCTGAGACATAGACATGCTTGGCAGGGAATTGGGCTAGGATCAGTTTGTCCAACTTCGAGTTGAGTGCAAGCATGTCTTTTCTCATCTGAGCCTCCAGCTCGATCGAGTGCGGTCGAGCTCCAGTCTGTACTCATATTGTCTCCATAGCATTCTGTTGATATGGCCATGTTCTCCACAAGTTGCCAGCCATCATCTACATCCTGGTTGAGGAAGTTCCCATTGCTAGCTGTGTCTAGCATCTCCCTATACCTAGGCAAGCATCCTCTATAAAGAGTGGAGAGTAGTGATTCATTGTTGAATCCATGGTGTGGGCACTGACTTGTGTAGCCCTTTGAACCTCTCCCAAGCCTCTGCGAATGTCTCATTGTTCGCTGGATGAAGCTGGATATCTCTCCTCTAAGCTTGGCTGTGCGACCGGTGGAGAAAAACTTAGCAAGAAAGGCCTTCTTGCATTCATCCCAAGTGGTGATTGTGCCATGGGGCAAGCTCTTCTCCCATTGGTGAGCTTTGTCAGCTAGAGACATAGGAAAGAGTCTCAGCTTGATGGCATCTTCAGAGACACCATTGATCTTTGTCAAATCACAAAGCCTATCAAACTCATCAAGGTGGTCAATGGGGTCTTCACTTGGCAATCCATGGAACATCTTGTTCTGACAAGGTTGATCATTCCCAGCTTGATCTCAAAGTTGTGGTTCTGCACTGGTGGTGGAACAATCCCTTGTCTCTGTTGGTGGCGGTTTGGAGCATCTCCTTGACCAATCGGTCGAGTTTGCCTAGCTCGACCGAGTCCATTGCCCAAAGGGTTTCCATTCCCCTCTGGTACATCCATTGTATCAGCAACAAGCACCTCAGGTTCCTCTTGTACCCTCTGTGACCTCTGAACCCTCTTTCTACCCGTTGTAAGTCTAGCTCGACCAAGTCTCTGTAGACCGACTCGATCGAGTTCGCATACACCTGCAAAAAGAGACAAAAACCCAGCAGTACAATAGAACAGGGGTGGTATAGCTTGATCGTCCAAGTGTGTTTGAAACTCAAATGCAACAAAAATATCCCAAATCGGCAACGGCGCCAAATTGATGATAGGATTTGTGTGTGGATGTGAATGATATGAATGAAATGATGATATGTGGAATGCAAACAGTGGTGAATAAAGATGAAATGGTGCAATCACAATCAATCAATTCCTCTTAACCATCATAGTCATGTATAAGAGGTTATCAATCCAAAATGGGAAACTTGTCACTCTATGAGAATATGAAACACAAGGAAGTCAAGCAAGCAGTAATAGATTTGAGTAACACTAACAACCTAAAAATGAAATGCAATGCAGAAAAAATAAAGCAGTAGAGCAACAGCTCGACCAAGGACTCGAGTCGAGTGGAACAGAGTACCGAGCTCGATCGAGTTTAGGGTCGAGTTGAAGTAAAAAGCTAAAGGCAGCGACTTTAACAAGCTAGAAGAAGAATTAGGGTCTAAGACAGGGTTTTGCAATCAGAGGAATCTATACTTAATCAATCTTGCTCTTAAAACTCCTTGTATCAAGGCTTCTCTTGATATTGGCTTCTCAATGCCTAGCCAACCCTTTCCCAAGGTGAAAGGCTATCAACCAAGGAATGATCTCAGAAACAGGGGGTTAGCCAGTGAGAATCAAGCCTTGGAGGCCATAGGATCATTGCCCAAACTAATCCATCCAACCCCTTAGACCTCTATTTCTAGAGCAAGAGATATTGGAGCTCTTAGTGGACTTTTCCAGCGATTTCCATCACTTCCATGTGGAGAATCGCCTAAGGACATACAAGCCAGGGGTAGTGGTCATGTAGCCTTAAGATTATCCAAAAGAGAGAGAATCTAGATTAAGACATAAGCAAGAAGGATTAAGCATATGAAACCTCTAATCTATCCCATCAACCTTGTCCAGAACAAGATGTTCCATGGATTGCCAAGTGAAGACCCCATTGACCACCTTGATGAGTTTGATAGGCTTTGTGATTTGACAAAGATCAATGGTGTCTCTGAAGATGCCATCAAGCTGAGACTCTTTCCTATGTCTCTAGCTGACAAAGCTCACCAATGGGAGAAGAGCTTGCCCCATGGCACAATCACCACTTGGGATGAATGCAAGAAGGCCTTTCTTGCTAAGTTTTTCTCCACCGGTCGCACAGCCAAGCTTAGAGGAGAGATATCCAGCTTCATCCAGCGAAACAATGAGACATTCGCAGAGGCTTGGGAGAGGTTCAAAGGGTACACAAGTCAGTGCCCACACCATGGATTCAACAATGAATCACTACTCTCCACTCTTTATAGAGGATGCTTGCCTAGGTATAGGGAGATGCTAGACACAGCTAGCAATGGGAACTTCCTCAACCAGGATGTAGATGATGGCTGGCAACTTGTGGAGAACATAGCTAACTCAAATGGAAGCTATGGAGAAGAGTATGATCGCACCAACCGGAGCTCGACCCACCACTCGATCGAGTCAGACGAAAAGTTGAGAAAAGATGTTAAGGCATTGAATGAGAAGTTGGATAAGCTGATCCTAGCTCAGTCCACAATGAAGAAAGTCAACTTTGTGTCTGCTGAGGAGATGGAACCAGTCCAAGAAGGGGAGGATACACAATTTGCTGAGGTGTGCTACATGAGCAATGGGCAAGGAGGTTACAACAAAGGATACTATAATTACAAGTCCAACCCTGCCATGTCATACCGCAACACTGATGTTGCTAACCCTCAGGACCAAGTCTATCCTCAACAACAAGCAGCTCGATCGAGTCAAGGTGCCACAACATGGGTATGGTCAAAAGAACAATTACCAAGGACCACAAGGCACTTTCCCTGGACAACAAATGAATATCCCACCAGGCTTCCCCCACCAACCGCCCCAGCCTGCACCTTCACAAGAGAATGAGCTCAAGGCAATGCTAAAGCAACTACTTCAAGGGCAAGCTGATGGGGTAGTGGACACAAGCAAGAAGCTAGCTGAAATAAACTCTAAGATCGAGAACCTCAACACAAGGGTTTACTCTCTGGAGAATCATGCTTCTTCTGTTGCTGCTGCTACAAAGCAAGGACAACTACCTGGTAAAGCTATTCAGAACCCCAAGGAACAGTGCAAGGTCATCTTCACTCAAGAAGGACTTGTTGAAGAAGAGGATCAAGAAAGGGTCATTGAAGATTTTTGTTTACTGCTGAATGATGAAGAGATTGTTGCTGCTGAGGCTCCTGGAGTCCAGATTGATCAACCAGAAGTGCAGGCACCTACTGTGGCCATTCACACTTCACCAGTTGAGCTCGCACGACAAGCTCGATCGGCAGCTCGATCGAGTCCAACTCTAGCTCGATCGAGTCCGACCTCTTCTGTCCCAACCTTTTTGCTTGATCCTTACCAACCGGTTGCCGCTTCCTCGTCTCGCCTACTTAGTCAAGGTCACAAGGAAGTGATTCACAAGTTCAGAAGAGATCTCAGTGGGATTGGAATTGAGTTGCCTCTATGGATAGCATGAGTGAGGCATTTGATCACCAGAGCCTTGGTGACTTCAGAACAATCCAGGGACCCAACCAAGCTAAAGGAGCTTCTGTCTCAAGTCCTCACTATCACCCTTGATGGTGGGACTAGCTCAACCAATGCCTAAGAAGGTAAAGGTCAAGCTATGGGACCTAAACAAGCTCACTTGGGAGGAAGTCCCATGTTTATCCTTGTACATATTCTATTTTATGCAATTTCTTCTAGTATTCTGTGTTTTAACCTTTGAATAAGTTAAGTTTAGGTGTCAAGAGAGCCAGCTCGACCCACAGCTCGATCGAGCCCAAGAACAAGGGCAACTCGACCAAGGTAAGTTTTTGAATTTCAAATTCATAACCGTTTTCTTGGTCAAGGGAGTGGGTCCCACAAGCTGATTTTGGTCCCCCACTACCCTAAATTGATCAGAAAATCCCTAGCTTTTGTCCCCTCTTATTTCACTTTTAATCTCAACCACACATCTCAAACAACTCTCTTCCCCATAACTCGATCGAATCCCACTCTCCCATACCCTAAATTTTCTGAAAACCATCTCTCTCTATCTTCACCACAAGAAAAACTCGATTTCCTCTTTTCCTCTCCTAAGTTTTTGCGATTTCTATTGTTGCGATTTCTAGCTACTGTGATCTTCAATCATCATTCCAAGCAAGGTATGAACACCCTAACCCTCTGAATCCTTCATCTCGATTCTTCCATTGCTTGCTTCCTCTTTGATTTTTGATTGCATGTGTCCCTTGAGGACTTGTCCTTGAGTAATTGCTTTCCTTTATGCTTCATATTTGTATAATCTTGTGAATTTGCCTCACCTCACCTCTGTTTTATCATTAGAACTTGTTGCATGTGCTTGAAATTTTGAATTTGAGTTTGGTAATGGTTAAAATGCTAAGCGCTTCACTAGAATTGCTCTTTGTTCCCTTAACTTGATGTTACTGGTTCAATTTGATTTGATTAGCATCTTTTCCAGCTCTTATTGTTTGATTTGGTCGGTTATACTCTGTTTTCACTTGACTCGATCGAGTTTGTCACTCGAGTTTTTTGACTCGATCGAGTTGAGTGTCGAGTTGGCCGAACCAACGATTACAACTCTAATTCCTTGAGTTTTTGATGCATTTCAGGAACCCAACTTCAAGAAGCAACCATTTTAAGATGTTGAGAGGTGAAGGAAGCAAGCCAGCATTCACAAAGAGGGAGATAACAAGAGGAGCAAGGAATCTCAAGACACTACCAAGGAGGATGAGGAAGAGATTAAGAGGGTGAGGGAAGAGAGAAGAACCAAGAGAAGGAATGATCCCATCAGCAGTGAGAGCGAAGTGGGAGAGTTTGAAATTGGGTAAACATTCCACAAGAAGAGGGTGATGACTCTTCACAAGAGGAAGGAGAAGAGGTGAATCAAAGATTGAGGAGAGTGAGCATGAGAGCAATGAGAATGTGCCCATGGAAGAGGAGGAGTCAGAGGAAGAAGAGGATGAGCTCCCCATGTACCAAGAGCATTATGATGCTCTCTTCTCCATGGACTTTGTGGAGACCAAGTACCCACATGATGACACAATGAGGCTCTTGGGATCTTTGAGATGTGGAGCTGGTCCTCAAGAACATGCGCTTGGCCAAGTTCTTCTCTTACCGCTTGGAGTCATACAAGGAGCTCACTTGTGAGTTCTTGGCATCAATGAGGTTCCACAAGTACAAGCAGCTCGATCGAGCTGAGTTGGATCAAGGTTGGGGATGGATCACGTTCTTGGCAAGGGGAGAAAGGAAGGATTACCTTCAGGCAGTTGGAGATCCTATTCGGTTTCACTATGGAGAGGGAACCCATTGGGATATCAAGGAAGAGAGCTACAAAGGGTTTGGGCTACAATCGCTGATGGAGTATACTCTTCCTCACGGTCTAAGGCAGCTCAAATCAGGAGCCCAGTGTTGAGATATGTACACAAGGCTCTCGCCAACACCTTCTTTGCAAGGAAAGCGACTGGGACAATAAATGAAGAAGAGGTGAAGCTCCTTGACATGGGAATCAAGCCCATCATCTCACGCACCAAGGATGGGAAGAAAATCAGGGGAGATAGAATCCATGCAGGGAATCTCATGCCTCTCATTGACCAGCTACTCTCCTACAAGACAACCGCCTATAGCACTCGGTTTCAAACGGGTAGGAAGCTTAGTGTTGGAGGAGTCATCACGCCTATCCTCTGTGCAGCTGGAGTCCATTTGGACAAGAGAAGGTCCACTCCAGCAGGATGGATGGATATTAAGTTTTGCAAGACCAACCTCTTCATTGAACACAAGGAGTTGGATGGGAGGTTCCAATTCAAATTCACTTAAAAGAAAAGTGAGCAAAGCTCCTCAGTTTCAAAGGCGAAATGCCAAAAAGGGTAGTTAGGATTTTGTTCTAAAAAGCTCTAAGTGTTGAACTCGATCGAGTTAGGATTAGACGGCTCGAGCTGCTGTTCTTGCATCATCTTTGGTTCTAACACTTAGCCTTCTGCCAAAGCAAAGCCACTTTCTTGAGAGATCCCTGTTACTAAACCACCATACAAAAGAGACCCTCTTTGTCTCTTAACCCATAAACCCTTGAAACCAAATGAGTTGATTGATCTTGCATGTTTTTGGTTCACTGTTTTTGCTTAATGAATGTTAAAGGGATTTGCTGATTTGAATGCATTGTTTGAGTGACTGTGAAGTGGGATTGATGTTGATAAGCATGGTTAAATCTTAATGAATATCTCTCACCTTGTTGCATTCTAGAATCTCTAAGTTGGACATTTAGCAAATCGCTTTTGAGGACATGTTTTTAAGTGTTGAATCAGCTTTTTTCAAACCTCATCTCTTTCTTGTTCTATTTGTTTGCTTGAGGGCAAGCAAAGTTCAAGTTTGGGGGTGTTGATGTACTTGCATTTTACATAGTTTTAGCACATCTTTTATGCATCTTTTGCATAGTTTTAGCTTCCATTTGCATCATATCTTGTTCCTTTTCTCTTCTTATGCATTCATGTTAGTTTTAGGTTGCATTTGCATACATATGCATGTTTGGTCCTTTGAAATAGGTCTTTTGGAGCATTCTGGAGCATATGGGACATGAGGAGCATGGAGGGACTTGGCACATGGACGCAGCTCAACTGGATACGCAAAGGAAGAAGGGAGAAGCCATCTTGAAGACCAGCTCGACCGTCTACTCGACCAACCGGTCGAGTTCCTCAACTCGACCGGCCAAGCTTCAACTCGATCGAGCTGAGAAGTCAAAGTCAAACCCGAAAAATGTTGCTTCCCCCTTGACTTTCCTTTGACCCTAAACCTAATCCTCTTGTATTTAAAGGCTCTAAGCCACGAAAAAACCACCAAGCTTTAGATTATTTTGTTTTAGTTTCTTTTAATTTATTGTCTTTTACTTTTTAGAGATCTAATCCCATCTTTGTGTTCTTGAAGCTCTTGCTTCTTGAATCCTAGATCCTGGATAATCTCTCTTGTATTTGCACTTGCTTATTTCAATAAAAGTTGTTTAATTTCATCTCCTCTTTCTTATGATGTCTCTTTTATTGCATTTGCTTGTGTTTACATTCATGTGTAGTGAGTAGTTACCCATTAGGGTTTGAGATGGGATAGATTAGAGGTTTCATATGCTTAATCCTTCTAGCTTATGGTCTTAATCTAGATTCTCTCTCTTTTGGATAGATCTTAAGGCTACATGACCACTACCCCTGGCTTGTAAGTCCTTAGGCGACTCCCCACACGAAGTGATGGCATTCGCTGGAAAAGATCCACTAAGAGCTCCAATATCTCTTGCTCTAGACAATAGAGGTCTAAGGGGTTGGATGGATTAGTTTGGGCAATGATCCTATAGCCTCCAAGGTTTGATTCTCACTGGCTAACCCCCTGTTTCTGAGATCATTCCTTGGTTGATAGCCTCACCTTGGGAAAGGGTTGGCTAGGCATTGAGAAGCCCAATATCAAGAGAAGCCTTGATACAAGGAGTTTTAAGAGCTAGATTGATTAAGTGTAGATTCCTTTGATTGCAAAACCCTGTCTTGAACCCTAATTCTCCTAAACCCTCCCTAAACCCACTCCTCTTCTTCCTCTTCTTCATCGAAGTGTGTGTGGCTTCCTTGGCCTTGTTGGAGCATGGCTAGCTCGTACTGTCAATTGGGGTTCCATCTTCTCCGAGGGTGCTCCTGGTAAGGCGTTGGATCGTATGCAAATCCCGGATCCTCAAACTGTGACTCCTCAAGACCAACTCGACCGTCAGCTCGACCGAGTTGAGTTTCCTCTGTTTGGACTCGATCGAGTCCGGTGGTCGAGCTGGAGCGTCTGGCCTTAGAGCTCTTCTCCTTCTCTGTGAGTTGTCTTCTCCTCTCCCTTGGCTCGAATGAAGAGGCTCTGTGAGGCTCTTGGGCAGGGAGCCTCCTTGGAGTGGTGAGAAGGGATCTACTCCTAAGGAATGTGGAACTCATGGGGGCCTTCTTCTTCTTGCTTGAAGAACCAGAAACCTTCTTCTCCAAACTTTTGATCTTGCTCACCATCTTGTCCATGGACTTTTGCATCTTTTCAATGGCCTTCCCTTGCCATTTGTTGAACTTTTGGAGAAGTCCAATCCTCTTGTGGGCAGCCACAACAGAGGGGTTCATCCTTGGAGCCTCATACTCCTCAAATAATAGCACTCAGGCTCACCCAAATCCGCACTTTCCTGGACCTGATCCTCAGCTTGAGACTCAGCTCGATCTCAGCTCGATCCTCAGCTCGATCGAGCTCAGGCTCCTCTTCTCGCAAAACATCCTCATGCCCAACTAATGTGTATACAGGGGGTCTGAAGTCAATGTTCTCACCCCTGACTACTGTGGTGAGCTCTGGGTTAGGCAGGAGAAACTTGGAGGGTCCAACCAATGGATGTGTGAACTTGAATTGGAACCTCCCATCCAACTCCTTGTGCTCAATGAGAAGGTTGGTCTTGCAAAACTTGATGTCCATCCAACCTGGTTCAGTGGCTCTCTATCAGTTGGGTTCACTCCAGCAGCACACAAGATAGGAGTGATGAGCCCTCCAACACTTAGGCGCCTCCCTCGTTGATGTCTAGTGTTGTAGGCTGTGGTCTTGTAGGTGAGGAGATGGTCAAGGAAAGGCATCAAGTTTCCTGTGTCAGATCTATCTCCCCTATCCTCTTGCCATCGCTTGTGCGTGAGAGAATGGGCTTGATTCCCATGTCAAGAAACTTGAGTTCCCCCTCGTTAATGGTCCCGGTCGCCTTCCTTGCAAAGAAGGTGTTGGCAAGTGCCTTGTGCACATACCTCAACACTGGGCTCCTGATTTGAGCTGCCTTGGACCTTGAGGAAGAGTACACTCCATCAGCGATTGTAGCCCAAACCCTTTGGAGTTCCTTCTCCTTGAAGTTCCACTTGGTACCTTCTCCATAGTTGAACCCAAACAAGATCTCCAACTGCCTAAAGGTCACCATTCTCTTCTCTCCCTTAGCCAAGAACGTGATCCATCCCAATCCTTGGTCCAAATCAGCTCTATCTTCCTCTTCATACATGTGGTACCTCATTGAAGCTAGAACTCGCAAGTGAGCTCCTTGTAGGATTCCATGTGATAAGAGAAAAGCTTGGCCAAGTGATGTACTTGCATTTTACATAGTTTTAGCACATCTTTTATGCATCTTTTGCATAGTTTTAGCTTCCATTTGCATCATATCTTGTTCCTTTTCTCTTCTTATGCATTCATGTTAGTTTTAGGTTGCATTTGCATACATATGCATGTTTGGTCCTTTGAAATAGGTCTTTTGGAGCATTCTGGAGCATATGGGACATAAGGAGCATGGAGGGACTTGGCACATGGAAGCAGCTCAACTGGATACGCAAAGGAAGAAGGGAGAAGCCATCTTGAAGACCAGCTCGACCGTCTACTCGACCAACCGGTCGAGTTCCTCAACTCGACCGGCCAAGCTTCAACTCGATCGAGCTGAGAAGTCAACAGTCAAACCCGAAAAATGTTGCTTCCCCCTTGACTTTCCTTTGACCCTAAACCTAATCCTCTTTGTATTTAAAGGCTCTAAGCCACGAAAAAACCACCAAGCTTTAGATTATTTTGTTTTAGTTTCTTTTAATTTATTGTCTTTTACTTTTTAGAGATCTAATCCCATCTTTGTGTTCTTGAAGCTCTTGCTTCTTGAATCCTAGATCCTGGATAATCTCTCTTGTATTTGCACTTGCTTATTTCAATAAAAGTTGTTTAATTTCATCTCCTCTTTCTTATGATGTCTCTTTTATTGCATTTGCTTGTGTTTACATTCATGTGTAGTGAGTAGTTACCCATTAGGGTTTGAGATGGGATAGATTAGAGGTTTCATATGCTTAATCCTTCTAGCTTATGGTCTTAATCTAGATTCTCTCTCTTTTGGATAGATCTTAAGGCTACATGACCACTACCCCTGGCTTGTAAGTCCTTAGGCGACTCCCCACACGAAAGTGATGGCATTCGCTGGAAAAGATCCACTAAGAGCTCCAATATCTCTTGCTCTAGACAATAGAGGTCTAAGGGGTTGGATGGATTAGTTTGGGCAATGATCCTATAGCCTCCAAGGTTTGATTCTCACTGGCTAACCCCCTGTTTCTGAGATCATTCCTTGGTTGATAGCCTCCACCTTGGGAAAGGGTTGGCTAGGCATTGAGAAGCCCAATATCAAGAGAAGCCTTGATACAAGGAGTTTTAAGAGCTAGATTGATTAAGTGTAGATTCCTTTGATTGCAAAACCCTGTCTTGAACCCTAATTCTCTCTTTATCTTGTTAAAGTCGTCACCTTTAGCTTTGTTTGTCTCAACTCGTCCCTAAACTCGATCGAGCTGGTACTTTGCTCTACTCGACTCGAGTCTTGGTCGAGCTGACACTTCACTGCTTTGTTTACTTTTATTGCACTGCTTTTCATTTTATTTAGGTTGTTAGTGTTACTTCAAATCTATTACTGCTTGCTTGACTTTCCTGGTTGTTTCATATTCTCAAAGAGTGACAAGTTTCCCATTTTGGATTGATAACCTCTTATACTTCAATGACTATGATGGTTAAGAGGAATTGATTGATTGTGATTGCACCATACCATCATCTTTATTCACCCTGTTTGCATTCCACCTCATTTCATATCACATCCACACAAAATCCTATCATCAATTTGGCGCCGTTGCCGATTTGGGAATATTTTTGTTGCATTTGAGTTTCAAACACACTTGGACGATCAAGCTATACCACCCCTGTTCTATTGTACTGCTGGGTTTTTGTCTCTTTTTGCAGGTGTATGCGAACTCGATCGAGTCGGTCTACTGAAGACTTGGTCGAGCTAGACTTACAACGGGTAGAAAGAGGGTTCAGAGGTCACAGAGGGTACAAGAGGAACCTGAGGTGCTTGTTGCTGATACAATGGATGTACCAGAGGGGAATGGAAACCCTTTGGGAATGGACTCGGTCGAGCTAGGCAAACTCGACCGATTGGTCAAGGAGATGCTCCAAACCGCCACCAACAGAGACAAGGGATTGTTCCACCACCAGTGCAGAACCACAACTTTGAGATCAAGCTGGGAATGATCAACCTTGTCCAGAACAAGATGTTCCATGGATTGCCAAGTGAAGACCCCATTGACCACCTTGATGAGTTTGATAGGCTTTGTGATTTGACAAAGATCAATGGTGTCTCTGAAGATGCCATCAAGCTGAGACTCTTTCCTATGTCTCTAGCTGACAAAGCTCACCAATGGGAGAAGAGCTTGCCCCATGGCACAATCACCACTTGGGATGAATGCAAGAAGGCCTTTCTTGCTAAGTTTTTCTCCACCGGTCGCACAGCCAAGCTTAGAGGAGAGATATCCAGCTTCATCCAGCGAAACAATGAGACATTCGCAGAGGCTTGGGAGAGGTTCAAAGGCTACACAAGTCAGTGCCCACACCATGGATTCAACAATGAATCACTACTCTCCACTCTTTATAGAGGATGCTTGCCTAGGTATAGGGAGATGCTAGACACAGCTAGCAATGGGAACTTCCTCAACCAGGATGTAGATGATGGCTGGCAACTTGTGGAGAACATAGCTAACTCAAATGGAAGCTATGGAGAAGAGTATGATCGCACCAACCGGAGCTCGACCCACTCGATCGAGCTGACGCTCAAATGAGAAAAGACATGCTTGCACTCAACTCGAAGTTGGACAAACTGATCCTAGCCCAATTCCCTGCCAAGCATGTCAACTATGTCTCAGAACAAACCTTAGTAAAGGACCAGGAAGGGGAGGAGACAACATGAGGTCTGCTACATCCACAATATAGAATCCTCAACAAGGGAGATACAACAATTATCATGCCCCATGGCCGCTCCAACACCAAAGTCTTGCCCAAGGTTCCAACCCAAGGACTACCCATACCCAATGATATACCCATATCTTTCATGTTTTTATCAAGGTTTTCACTATGTTTTTAATACAAATAATGTGGTTTTTAAGCCCAAGAGGTAGTTTTCTTGTATATTCTGGTTTTGAGCATCATTCAGGTCAAAATAGCAAAGAAGAGTCCAAAATGGAGCAAAAAGAGTCAAATCACCAAGTTCCCAAGTCTAGAGCACCAAAATCTACATTTCTCGCTAAAGACCAAACCGGAGCATCCGAAGTACGACCGCATATTCATGCCTTCCCGACGTCCAAAAGTCATGATTCTTATATGGAAAGATAGATATTTGAGTCGTGACCCGCGGCGAAGTGGAAAGAGGTCATTTGGATCACTCGTTGGACCGGAACTTATTTTCTACCAAGACATGTCCGACGAGCGCCTAAGTAGAGCCCATGGAGACTTTGATGGATCAAGAGGCCCGAGATACCGCGCCCAAGGCCTTGGCTCATCTTGACACTAGCATAACTCAATCCAGAAGCTTCCATTGGCCTGAACGCGGCCCATTCAAGAACTTGGAGAGCAAGCTCAAGCGGCTAAAGAGAAATGGAAACTTTCCTCTTCTGCGCGCGCTCAACTTTGCCGACCTAGACCCGCTCTCTACCTATATATACTTGCTTTTAGCCTCTTGTAATAAGAATCACCAGCCGCATAACAAGAAACACTTATTCAATAAAGTTCGGAGCCACTTAGGTGGTCTCCTTCTTCTTTCTTTTCTTCTTTTGCATTTGTATATAGCTTGCATGTTTCAATTTATATAGTCTAGAAGTAGAGATTTCTCCCTAAGGGTGAGGCGTGGTTTAGTCCATATTCCGCCGCCTCTCTCTCTAAGGATTCATGAGACTTCATCTACTATCTAAGACTCATTGTTGAATTATGGATCCTTCCAATGAGGACGTGATATAATGGCCATCGAAAATCGATTGTTAAAAGGGGAAACCCTATGGTTCTCCATCTTTATTTATGCTTAATGCTGTTGCTAGAGTAGCTAACTAGTGACTTGATTTTAGGTTGATATACTCTCCAAAAGCTTGTTATATCTCCGGATATAGTATTTGATGGGCAAATCGTTTTAGGCTACGAAAGTAGACCTAAAGAGTTTTGTGAACAATCATTACTTGGATGTAATGCATGTCTCACTCTACAATGACCAACGAAAGCTGAGCCCATTGGTTTAAGAGACATAGGGGATTGGAACCACGAAAGTGGAATAATCCTTCCTTAGTGTTTTGAGTTCAAAAGAATCGGATTTTAACAAACTTTTCAATCGACTTGGCTCATGTTTTCAAAAGAGTTTTCAATAGTTCAATAATGTTGCTTGTATAGAATTGCATTGTTATTTCTTTTGCGTGTTCTAAACAAACACAAACCCTTGCATCTTTTGATTTAGCTTAGTCATTTAAACTCTATGATTATGTAATGTGTGAAATCCAATCCCTTGTGGTTCGACCCCTAAATACTACAATTATATGTTGTGCACTTGCAACACTAGTTGTCTTAGGGAATTATTACTTGTACTCATCCCATAGATGCAGCGCAATCACCCAATCAACTCAAGATTGGGATATGAAGGAAATGCTCCAACAACTTACAAGGGCAAGCCAAAGGTTCTCTGGAAATGAACAACAAGCTGGTTGAGATACACTCTAAACTAGAGTCATTGACTTCAAGAGTCCAAATCATTGAGTCTTCAAGTGCATCATCCTCTTCACCACAAGAGTATGCCCAAGCAGTTACACTAAGAAGTGGGAGGCAATTCCCTAGTAGAGGTAGCCCACCCCAAATCGCTGTGGACATCGATGACGAGGAAGGGGAGGATTTAGTCGACTATGCTGATAACTCGACCCGAACTCGATCGAGCTGGAACAAAACCCTGAACCAGAACTCGATCGAGCTGGAGAGAACTGAGACACTGCAAGACAAACCAGAGCTCGATCGAGCCAGAAGAACAGACAAAGCAAACTCCAGCCAACCAGCTAAACCTGTTGCAAAGAAGAAAGACACTCCAGCAGGACCACCACCATACAAGCCCCCTCTGCCCTTTCCAGGAAGGTTCAAGAAACAACTGTTGGAAGCACACAAGGCCAAGTTTGATGAACTAATGAGACAGCTTGAGCTGAAGTTGCCCTTCATCGACGCCTTGATGCTCATTCCACCTTATCAGAAATTTCTGAAGGATGCTGTTCAGCAAAGAACCAGGGAAGCACAAGGGATGGTAGTGTTGACTCGCGAGTGCAGTGCAATCATTCAGCGGAAGGTCATCTCCGACAAAAAGGAAGATCCGGGGAGTTTCACTTTGCCCTGCATGTTGGGACCCCTATCTTTCAAAAACAGCCTCTGCGATCTAGGATCATCTGTCAGCCTCATGCCTTTGTCTGTAGCAAAGAGACTGGGATATCACAAGTACCAAGCCTGCGGAATCTCACTAGTCTTGGCAGATAGATCGATAAGGTTACCAACTGGGATGCTTGAAGACCTGCCTTTGAGGATAGGGAATGTGGAAATCCCCACAGACTTCATTGTGCTTGAGATGGATGAGGAACCAACAGATCCATTGATTCTAGGAAGGCCATTCCTAGCTACAGCAAGAGCAATGATAGATGTCTGTGAAGGAACAATTGAGTTAAACTTGGGAAAGGACCTAAGATGAAGTTTGATATCAAGGATACAATGAGGAAACCAACATAGAAGGTCAGCTCTTTTATGTTGAGGAAATGGATCAGTTGGCAGATGAGCTTTTAGAAGAGTTATCAACAGAGGATCCCTACAAGTTGCTTTGACCAAGGATTCTTCAGAGGATATGTGAGCTCAGAAACTGATGAGTACAAGAAGCTCCTTGACACCTTCAGACCAGTTCCAAACATTCTGAGCATTGAGGGATTGGACAGGCCAGTTTGCGAAGTCATGGCAGTGAGCTCGATCAAGAACTCGATCGAGTCGAGCCTCGAACAAACGAACTCGATCGAGCTGGGGACTGAATGCAAGGAGCAAGCTCAAGGAGATTGGTCTGAGCTTAAGGCGCCTAAAGTCGACCTCAAACCTTTGCCTGAGGGCCTCAGGTATGCATTTCTGGGTGAAAACTCAACTTACCCTGTCATTGTGAACTCTGATTTGGAACCTGAACAGTTGAGTGCTTTGCTTGTTGAATTGAGAAAGTACAGAAAGGCAATAGGTTACACTCTAGATGATATCAAGGGGATCTCCCCTGACCTATGCATCCATAGGATTCATCTAGAGGATGAAAGTAAGTCAAGCATTGAACCTCAGAGAAGATTGAACCCCAATCTAAAGGAAGTAGTGAAGAAAGAGATACTCAAGTTGCTTGATGCTGGGATAATCTATCCCATCAGTGATAGCACTTGGATATCTCCAGTTCATTGCGTCCCAAAGAAAGGGGGGATCACTGTCATTAAAAACGACAAAGAGGAGCTGATTCCCACTAGAACAATAGTGGGGCATCGCATGTGTATTGACTATAGGAAGCTAAATTCAGCATCTAGAAAGGATCATTTCCCTCTCCCTTTCATTGATCAGATGTTAGAAAGATTGGCAAACCACCCTTTTATTGTTTTCTTGATGGCTACAGTGGTTTCTTCCAAATCCCGATCCACCCTAATGATCAGGAGAAGACCACTTTCACATGCCCTTATGGCACCTTTGCTTATCGAAGGATGCCATTTGGGCTGTGCAATGCTCCAGCTACTTTCCAGAGGTGCATGACCTCCATTTTTTCAGATCTGATAGAGGAGATGGTAGAAGTCTTCATGGACGATTTCTCAGTCTATGGAGCATCCTTCTCCTCATGTTTGTCTAACTTGTGCAGGGTGTTGCAGAGGTGTGAGGAGACCAATCTAGTACTCAACTGGGAGAAGTGCCACTTCATGGTTCGAGAAGGGATTGTGCTTGGACACAAGATTTCCGAGAAAGGGATCGAGCTCGATCGAGCTAAGGTGGATGTCATGTTGCAGCTCCCTGTTCCCAAGACTGTGAAGGACATAAGGAGTTTTCTGGGTCATGCAGGGTTCTACAGAAGATTCATCAAGGATTTCTCAAAGATAGCAAGACCCTTGACAAGGCTTCTGTGCAAGGAGACAGATTTTGAGTTTGATGAAGAATGCCACAAGTCTTGGACCTTGCTGAAGGATGCTCTGGTATCTGCGCCAATAGTACAAGCTCCAAACTGGGATCACCCATTTGAGATTATGTGTGATGCATCTGACTATGCAGTAGGAGCAGTGCTTGGCCAAAAGATAGACAAGAAACTCAATGTCATCTACTATGCAAGCAAGACTATGGATGATGCTCAGTGCAAGTATGCAACCACAGAGAAGGAGCTCCTTGCCATAGTCTTTGCCTTTGAGAAATTTCGAAGCTATATAGTTGGATCCAAGGTGATTGTGCACACTGACCATGCTGCCCTTAGGCACATCTTTGCTAAGAAAGATACAAAGCCAAGACTTCTCAGATGGATCCTTTTGCTTCAAGAGTTTGACATAGAAGTTGTGGACAAAAAGGGAGTAGAAAATGGAGTTGCTGATCATCTCTCTAGGATGCGAGTTGAAGACATGATCCCCATCAATGATTCTATGCCTGAAGAACAGCTTATGGCAATCATGATCTTGAAAGGAGAGTTTTGATGAGAAAGCAGGCTGGAAGAAGTTAAGGCTCTGCGTGATGAGAATTTGCCATGGTATGCTGATATAGTGAACTTCATGGTGTCCGGAGAAGTCCCTAGTAGCTTTGATGCTTACAAGAGGAAGAAATTCTTCAAGGATGCTAGGCATTACTATTGGGATGAGCCCTACTGTACAAGAGAGGACCAGACAGCATTTACAGGAGATGCATTGCTGAAGAGGATGTGCAAGGAGTTCTAGAGCATTGCCATGGGTCAGCTTATGGAGGTCACTTTGCTACATTCAAAACAGCAACTAAGGTTTTGCAATCTGGGTTTATGGTGGCCTACTTGTTTAAGGATGCAGCAACTACATTGCCAAGTGTGATCCATGCCAAAGGAAAGGGATCACCAAGAGGGATGAGATGCCACTAAACCCAATTCTAGAAGTTGAGATCTTTGATGTATGGGGAATAGACTTCATGGGACCTTTCAAACCTTCCTCAAACGGGCACAACTACATTTTGTTGTGGACTATGTGTCCAAATGGATTGAAGCCATTCCCTGCCCAACCTGTGATGCTAAGGTTGTTATCAAATTGTTCAGAACCATCATCTTTCCAAGATATGGCATCCCAAGGGTTGTTATTTCGGATGGAGGTTCCCATTTCATCAACAAGGTGTTTGAGAAGTTGATGAAGAGTTATGGAGTCAAGCACAAGGTCGCTACACCTTATCACCCTCAAACCAGTGGGCAAGTTGAAGTCTCCAACAGACAGATCAAAGGCCATATTGGAGAAGACTGTGAGCTTCACTAGGAAAGACTGGGCAGCAAGGCTTGATGAGCACTTTGGGCTTATAGAACAGCTTACAAAACCCCCATTGGAAGGTCTCCTTTCAATTTGCTGTATGGGAAAGGACTGCCACTTACCTGTGGAGGTCGAATATAAGGCTTTATGGGCAGTAAAGATGCTGAACTTTGATATAAAGGCTGCACAAGAGAAGGAAGGGTAATGAACTTGTTTGAGTTGGAGGAAATCAGAATGAATGCCTATGAGAACTCCATGATCTATAAGATGAGAACCAAGGCAGCCCACGACAAACTGATTCGCCTTAAGGACTTCAAGGTTGGGGACAGTGTGCTCTTGTATAACTCCAAGCTAAGGTTGTTTCCCGGGAAGCTAAGGTCAAAGTGGGCGGGACCATTCAAGATTCACGAAGTTCTACCCTATGGATCCCTCACTTACTCAATCAAGAGGGGAAGGAATTCACAGTGAATGGACATAGATGCAAGCCATATCTAGGAATGACCCCCACAGAGGAGATCATCACTCCTCTAGAAGATCCAACCCCGGCCTAAAAAGGGGTAAGGTCAAGCTAAGAGACCTAAAACAAGCTCACTTGGGAGGAATTCCCATGTCTATCTTATATATTTATTTTATCCTTTTATTTTTATGATTTTTCTTGGCTAAGTCTTACAGGAGCAGGTTTTAGGAAGAAGAGTGGCTAACTCGAGGCACAACTCGATCGAGCAAGAGCAAGCTCGATCGAGTGAGCCACAAGAGGCAACCCAGTTGCGAGTGGAGTGCTCCTGATGGCCGTCTCCCATCTCCAGACCACGACCTAGTCTCCCAGTTCTTTGGGGGACACTGAGGTATCCAAACACCAACCCTTGTATATACCATTTCATATTTTCTTGCATTTGTTCTTGTTTTTCTTGGTTTTGCCCTCTTGAATCTTTCACTAAATTTTTCTCACACAAGGGACTGTGTGATTTAAGTTTGGGGGAGGGTTCAAGAGATGATTTAACCTTGTTTTCTTTGTTCTTAGTTTTTCATTTATCTTTTGCATAGAAAAACCAAAAAAATCATAAAATTTTCAAAAAATCCAAAAATATTTTCATCTTTTTGCATTCATATTTGTTAGACTTGTTTAGGATTGCATTTTTCACTTGCATTGTTGATTTGACTTTGAAAACTTGTCCATCTTTTGCGATTTCTTGAGTGCCCTGTTTTTAGATTCTTTTGTGCATTAGGGTGAGATTGATTGAGCAGCAAGAACCATGTTTATCTTGATCATATCACTGCATGCACATCTCATTCAACCATTGCTGTGATTTGATGCATTTCCCTATCTATTTGAACCATAACTTGATCTTTAATTACCAATGCTTGCATTTGATTTCAACTCATGGCTACCACATACATATCTGGACATTCTTTACCTATTTTCATATCCCTTTTGCTTGTCCAGATAGCTGATCTCTATCTTTGAGACAGTTACCACACCTTAAACCTAAGCCTTTTCATTTCAAACCCCATATTATCTCTTGTGCGAATGTGAGAACCTTTCTTGGCTTTGCTTAGCATAAGGTGTTGTGTTTAAACCGGCAGGGGCAGTAGTTCTAGTTGTCTAGTTCTCTTGGGATTGTTTTCAGGCTAAGTTTGGGGGTGCCAACTCGAGCTCGATCGAGTTGGGTGTCAAAAACCAGAAAAGTGGTAAAAGTTGGGAAAAACCCAAAGAAAAAGAGGTTAGTCCAGGGAGTTGGCAGTGTTTAAAAGGGTCAAAGTAAAAAGAAGGGAGAAGCCATCTTGAAGACCAGCTCTACCGTCTACTCGACCAACCGGTCGAGTTCCTCAACTCGACCGGCCAAGCTTCAACTCGATCGAGCTGAGAGTCAACAGTCAAACCCGAAAAATGTTGCTTCCCCTTGACTTTCCTTTGACCCTAAACCTAATCCTCTTTGTATTTAAAGGCTAAAAGCCACGAAAAAACCACCAAGCTTTACTTTAATTTTGTTTTAGTTTCTTTTAATTTATTGTACCTTTTACTTTTTAGAGATCTAATCTCATCTTTGTGTTCTTGAAGCTCTTGCTTCTTGAATCCTAGATCTGGATAATCTCTCTTGTATTTGCACTTGCTTATTTCAATAAAAGTTGTTTATTTCATCTCCTCTTTCTTATGATGTCTCTTTTATTGCATTTGCTTGTGTTTACATTCATGTGTAGTGAGTAGTTACCCATTGGGGTTTGAGATGGGATAGATTAGAGGTTTCATATGCTTAATCCTTCTAGCTTATGGTCTTAATCTAGATTCTCTCTCTTTTGGATAGATCTTAAGGCTACATGACCACTACCCCTGGCTTGTAAGTCCTTAGGCGACTCCCCACACGAAAGTGATGGCATTCGCTGGAAAAGATCCACTAAGAGCTCCAATATCTCTTGCTCTAGACAATAGAGGTCTAAGGGGTTGGATGGATTAGTTTGGGCAATGATCCTATAGCCTCCAAGGTTTGATTCTCACTGGCTAACCCCCTGTTTCTGAGATCATTCCTTGGTTGATAGCCTCCACCTTGGGAAAGGGTTGGCTAGGCATTGAGAAGCCCAATATCAAGAGAAGCCTTGATACAAGGAGTTTTAAGAGCTAGATGATTAAGTGTAGATTCCTTTGATTGCAAAACCCTGTCTTGAACCCTAATTCTCTCTTTATCTTGTTAAAGTCGTCACCTTTAGCTTTGTTTGTCTCAACTCGTCCCTAAACTCGATCGAGCTGGTACTTTGCTCTACTCGACTCGAGCTCTTGGTCGAGCTGACACTTCACTGCTTTCTTTACTTTTATTGCACTGCTTTTCATTTTATTTAGGTTGTTAGTGTTACTTCAAATCTTTACTGCTTGCTTGACTTTCTGGTTGTTTCATATTCTCATAGAGTGACAAGTTTCCCATTTTGGATTGATAACCTCTTATACTTCAATGACTATGATGGTTAAGAGGAATTGATTGATTGTGATTGCACCATACCATTTCATCTTTATTCACCCCTGTTTGCATTCCACCTCATTTCATATCACATCCACCTAAAATCCTATCATTAAAAGGTGATTTGAAAGTGGGGAACAAAAGGCAAGGGTTTTTCTGATCAATTCAGGAAGTGGGGGACCAAAATTAACTTGTGGGACCCACTCCTTTGACCAAGAAAACGGTTAGAAAATTTGAAATTCGAAAACTTACCTTGGTCGAGTTGTGGAACTCGATCGAGTTACCCCGGTTTCTAGCTCGATCGAGCTGTCGATCGAGCTGGTTCCTTTGTCACCTAAACTTAGCTTATTGAAGGGTTAAAGACACGAAAATAGATAGAAATTGTTAAATAGAATATGTACAAGGATAAACATGGGACTTCCTCCCAAGTGAGCTTGTTTAAGGTCCCATAGCTTGACCTTTACCTTCTTAGGCATTGGTTGAGCTAGTCCCACCATCAAGGGTGATAGTGAGGACTTGAGACAGAAGCTCCTTTAGCTTGGATGGGTCCCTGGATTGTTCTGAAGTCACCAAGGCTTTGGCTCTAGAGAATGGCCTTGATCTCCCCTTGTACCTTATCTTGTACTCAATCTTCCCATTTTCAAACTTGGTGGGGAACAAAGTCATTGTGAGCTGAGATGGCTTGAATGAAGGGGCCTGAGCTGGTGGATCTTTTCTTTTATCCCCTGGTCTTGCCTTAGAGGCTACATCCTCCCCTTCTTTTAGAGCCCTTCCTAGTGGCTCATCAAACAAAGCTTGAAGGCTTTCTTCATCAAGCACACAAGGGGCTTGAACAAGTCGATCAGCTCGTGGTCTATCAGAGCGTGGTTTCTCAACTCTAGCCCTCTCAAGACGTGGCTTCTCAATCCTTGGTCCTCTCTCATCCTTATCCTTCCCAACTCTTGGTTCTTTGTCAACCCTTTCCTTCACAACCTTTGTAGCTCCATGACTCTTAGAACTGAGAGTGGTACTGTCAATTGTGGCACAAAAGTCTGAACCTCTAGGCTGCAAGCGATATGACACCAAACTATTCACCTTGTGAAGGATCACTTCTTGCTTGTGAAAGTCTATTGAAGCGCCAACTGTACTAAGGAAATGGGGTTCCCAATAACAGAGGTAGATCCTTCTCTTCTTCCATTTCCATCACAGTGAGATCAGTTTGGATGATGCATTCTCCAATTTTCAAGTGATAGTTCTTGAACACTCCAAGAGGAGACTTAGAAGTTGCATCTCCAAACATGATTGAAGTAGTAGGGCGCTGCAAGGCTCCAGCAATGCCTAGCTTCTCTGCCATGGAGAGAGAGATCAGATTGATGCTTGCTCCAGAATCCACTAAGGCATTGTCAATCTCAAGATGCCCAAGTGTGCAAGGGAGAGTGAATTTCCCTTGATCTTTGACCTTTGGTAGGAAGGTGGGTGAAGTAAGCAGGTTGAACTGATGAGTAGACTCTTTCAGGACCTCTGAAACTTTATCACTGTTGGCTAGAACATCCTTGACCATTTGCATTTGATCAAATGCCTCACTCATGCTATCCATAGGAGGCAACTCAATTCCAATCCCACTGAGATCTCTTCTGAACTTGTGAATCACTTCCTTGTGACCTTGACTAAGTAGGCGAGACGAGGAAGTGCAACCGGTTGGTAAGGATCAAGCAAAATGGCTTTGGGACAGAGAGGTCGGACTCGATCGAGCGGACTCGATCGAGCTAGAGTTGGACTCTTGAGTGAAGATGACCTTGCACTGTTCCTTGAGGTCTGAATAGCTTTACCAGGTAGTTGTCCTTGCTTTGTATCAGCAGCAACAGAAGAAGCATGATTCTCCAGAGAGTAAACCCTTGTGTTGAGATTCTCGATCTTGAGTTTATTTCAGCTAGCTTCTTGCTTGTGTCCACTACCCCATCAGCTTGCCCTTGAAGTAGTTGCTTTAGCATTGCTTTGAGCTCATTCTCTTGTGAAGGTGCAGGCTGGGGCGGTTGGTGGGGGAAGCCTGGTGGGATATTCATTTGTTGTCCAGGGAAAGTGCCTTGTGGTCCTTGGTAATTGTTCTTTTGTCCATACCCATGTTGTGGCACCTGACTCGATCGAGCTGCTTGTTGTTGAGGATATACTTGGTCCTGAGGGTTAGCAACATCAGTGTTGCGGTATGACATGGCAGGGTTGGACTTGTAGTTATAGTATCCTTTGTTGTAACCTCCTTGCCCATTGCTCATGTAGCACACCTCAGCGAATTGTGTATCCTCCCCTTCTTTTGACTGGTTCCATCTCCTCAGCAGACACAAAGTTGACTTTCTTCATTGTGGACTGAGCTAGATCAGCTTATCCAACTTCTCATTCAATGCCTTAACATCTTTTCTCAACTTTTCGTCTGACTTCGATCGAGTGGTGGGTCGAGCTCCGGTTGGTGCGATCATACTCTTCTCCATAGCTTCCATTTGAGTTGGCTATGTTCTCCACAAGTTGCCAGCCATTATCTACATCCTGTTTGAGGAAGTTCCCATTGCTAGCTGTGTCTAGCATCTCCCTATACCTAGGCAAGCAACCTCTATAAAGAGTGGAGAGTAGTGATTCATTGTTGAATCCATGGTGTGGGCACTAACTTGTGTAGCCCTTGAATCTCTCCCAAGCCTCTGCGAATGTCTCATTGTTTCGCTGGATGAAGCTGGATATCTCTCCTCTAAGCTTGGCTGTGCGACCAATGGAGAAAAACTTAGCAAGAAAGGCCTTCTTGCATTCATCCCAAGTGGTGATTGTGCCATGGGGCAAGCTCTTCTCCCATTGGTGAGCTTTGTCAGCCAGAGACATGGGAAATAGTCTCAGCTTGATGACATCCTCAGAGACACCATTGATCTTTGTCAGATCACAAAGCCTATCAAACTCATCAAGGTGGTCAATGGGGTCTTCACTTGGCAATCCATGGAACATCTTGTTCTG